GACCGGAATGGATTGGCATTCCGTGAGATTGGCCAATCTCATGGAATGCCAATCAACTTTGACAGGATCCATTCGCGTTCCATAACAATTCTTGCAGGTGACCTTCCGGTTTTGTCACTTGAGCGGAGTGGATCCCGCAATGGACTGTTGCAAAACCTCTCTAATATTAGTGTGAAGTACAGCGACAGCGTACTGCACACCAACCGCTTGCAACCACAGCTTTTGATTTCCCTTGTAGTCGACAGATCTCAACAAGTTTCGAACAATGCGGAAACCCCATTCCACACTCACACGCACAGCACTCATCTGACGATTGAATTGAGCTTGGTCCTCCAAGAGCAAAGCCCCTTTATACCCCGAGATAATGACATCATTGATCCCGTAAGCTGGATCTCCGTAAATAACATACCGGGATTCGTTGTGGCCAAGTTTATCCCACAAATCTTCCACTAAATTGCTTGTGGGCAAGAGAAATGCATCATATCGCGACCCAGGCTCGGGACCGTACAAGTGCACTATGATTCCGTCTGGGGCGGTCACAGCTTGGTACTTTAGTGCATGTTTACGCTACAAAACTCTGTCACCAAAAGTTGGAATGTCGTGAACTGACCTTGTGTCCGTTGAACGCCGCTCTTTGGACACTCTTGCCAGGCCGACAAATCTCGCGAACCGTACCATCAATGAAGCCAATGCATGTCGTCAGTGGGGCTCCGGCGCGATGAATGGCGTCGCCACACGTTTTCATCCATTGAGAGTTGAGGGGTCTGTTGTCCCAGTGGAGCAAGGTGGAATACTTGTTGTATATGTGGAACATGACTGGTTTTGAAATGCATTAGAGGGCTTCGCGGCTTCGGCCAAACGTTTCTGTCATAGTACCGAGTCGATGAGGCCATGCCAAGCGATTCAGGATGATGCACAGAGACTCAAGAGCAGTTGCTCGGTGTCTATTCGAGGTAATTATTGGGTTGGGGATGGAGAGCAAGTTGACAAGCTCGGGTATTTCGTTCATCACGAACTGGAACTTGAACACACAGTCGGCTTCAGTCTGGGAAGCGAAGTCAAACCGGCAGGAAGGGATGCTGTTGGCGCGAGTTGACTGGGCTAGGTGCACAAAAAGAGCAGCCGCTAGTGGCAACAGGAGGGCTACCTCGTCACTCATTCTCAACTCAGTGACAACTAAATTTCCCTGTGGCGAAATCAACACGCCACAAAAGTATTCCTGTGAGACTTTTTGTAAATTCTTGCAGGGAAAATCGTGTGGATTCCATTTGCGAAATCACTTATTGCTCCTTGAGTTGAGAGATGCCCCATGCGTGGGAAGCTTACCTTGGACAAGGGTGATGCAGACTCCAGCGGTCCTTCCTCGCCGAATACTTCCTTATACGTTCAAATTACACTACCTGTAAGCTGCCATGATGCGTGTGCTGCCTATGTTTAAACTTCGCCTCAATGGTCAAGGTGACCTTAGCTGTGACGAACCATTCTGGGTGTGCCACAACGGGGTACGTTTAAACTTTGCTCAAAAACCTGTGGAGCGCACCTTCCATCACCCTGCGTGACGGTGTTTTCATCGTTTGACCGACGAGCAAAGCGCGTTTATGCTGTAGAGTCACGAGCCGCGTCTGGAAGGTGGGCATTGTGTGCAAAATTATGATTGGTCAAAAAGGATTATATTTCCAGCGAATGAGTGAAAAGCACTGCATTGGTTGGTGATTCCGTTGATCGAGGTGGTTGGTGGGTTTGGGAATTTGAAGTTGCAGATGGGGAAGAAAGAGCGGCAGCTTGCGATCGGTCGCACGAAGAAAGTGGCGGGCAAGGGCGTGAAAGCGTCGTTCGGAAAGGGCAAAGGAGGCAATGCGTTCGATGTGCAGAAGAACTCCAAGTCCAAGTACGAAGTGCTGGGTAAACGCGTGAAAGGGCAAGGACGAAACGTGGCGGCGGCGCGCGCGGACGCGGAAGAGCGCCGCCGCAAGACGTTGCTCAAGCAATTCCAGGGTCGAAAGAAGAACAACGAGTACAAAGATCGTCGCTTGGGCGAACAGAACGAAGACATGTCGTTGGAGGACAAGATGATTGCGCGATTCCAAACTGAACGCAAACGGCAATACCAGCAACGCAATGCCGCCAAGTTTAACCTGAACGACGACGGCGAGTCGGATCGCGAGGAGGAGCTCTTGACACATCGCGGGGCGAAAATCGACGACTTTGACAACATCGACATTGCGGGCGAAGCCAGCGACGACGAGGAAGATCGTGCGTTCGACCACAAACTCGGCCGTGACATTGTGAACCAACTGCATTTCGGTGGCGGCGACAGCAAAGCAGTCAAGGACAGCGCCACGGCGGCAGAGGGTCCTGAGCGCAAGAAAACGCACGAGGAAATCATGCAAGAAGTCATGATGAAGTCGAAGATGTACAAGGCAGAAAAGCAAAAGAACAAAGCAACGCAGGACGAAACTACCGAGCAGTTGGACGCTGAATTTGCCGACTTTCAATCGCTGCTGCAGTTCCGACCAAAGAAGGAGGACCGACCCCGGGAAATGCTGGACGACTTCGATAAGATGACGCGGGAGCTGGCGATGGAAGCAAAGGCCAAGGCGACCGAGCGCAAGTTGTCACCCGAGGAACTGGCCAAGAAGGAGCATGACAAGCTTGCCGAGCTCGAACGAAAGCGTGTAGCGCGCATGAACGGGGAAGACGAAGATGCCGTCGACGACGACAAGGTCAGCAAGCGCAAGGGCCGCAAGGACAAGAAGGGCGGCAAGAGGGACGAACCAGAACTCGTGTTGTTGCCACCGAAACACTTGCGCGCTTCGGACGATGCACTCGTTGATGACTTTCAAATCCAGGACGAGTACCGCCAACGCGTTGAAGGGGAGAACGATGAAGACGAGGACGGCGACGACGATTGTGAAAGTGGTGAAGATGACGACGAAGTTGACGACGAGGAAGACGATGACGATGACGAGGAAGACGATGACGAGGAAGACGATGACAATGACGATTTGAAAGACGACGAGGAGCACAACGATGACGAGGTAGATGACGAAGAAGACGAAGAAAACGAAGAAGACGACGACGAGCAAGCCCGCGCGGCCGCTCTCCTGAAGCGACAGGAAGCGCAAAAGGAAATGCCCTTCGTGTTCCCGTGCCCGGAGTCCCCGGCCGAGTTGACCGCCCTCTTTGCGCAGCATGGCCCAACGCCGGCCGACCGCAACACGATCGTGACGCGGATTCGCACGTTTTACTCGCCCAGAGTCAGTGCCGAGAACCAAGCCAAAATGAAGAAATTCCTTGCGGTGCTCGTACGGCACTTTTTGAAGCTTGCCGCCCACTTCAAGCGGAACCAACAGGACGTACGTGGTGCACGTTGGGCAACGGCACGACGACATTTACGATGCAAATGTAGGCGGACGCAATCGCGGCGCACATTTTCACCATCGCGCAGGACCAGCCGAATGTGGCGGGTACCGTGTTTCGGGAATTCGTTGCTGCACTGGCCAAGAAATTGGACAAAAATTGCTGGCCCGAGATGCGCGATCTCCTGCTCTTGCGCGTCGCGCTGAGTGTGTTTCCAATTACGGATCTTCGGCATAATGTCGTGTCGCCGATCGAACTCGTCCTTGGCCAGGTGGGTTGTCCGCTGAATTGGATCGCTACGAGCATGTCGAGGGGGACCTCGTTGTGAGAGGTATGCATGGTGTGGCTGACATGGGGTGTGGACATAGTGCTTGTCGAGGGCGACATTGGAAAGCCCAGATCACGTCCGTCGGGCGTTGTTTTGCGTGGGGCTGTCCCTGCATATCACGGAAAAGAAGAGCAAGTTCATGCCAGAGCTCGTGCATTGCCTCCACGAGATCTTGGCGCTCGTGCACTCGCACGACGACGACTGGTTTGTTGCCCCGCTCAAGGCGTTTGTGAAGTCGAAGTCGACCGACTTTCCGTCGTTGGCACTCCATGCTGGCGACCAAACCGACCCTGCTCAAGTGTCTGCTGCGATCTTTCACTCAACGTACGTCAGCCTCTCATATGGTTATGGTTTTGCCCTTTAAACTTCTCCGATGCAGGTTAACGTCGATTCGTCTGGCGGCGACGCAATACGCGTCGTTGGCGTCGTTTGTGGAGCTCTTTGCGTCGATTCATACGCTTCTGTCGCAACTCAAGGCCAAGATGCTCAAGGCTCACGCAGAGTCGACTGTCGCCCTGTTAATGGAGAAGATGGAGGCATCGTTGAAACAGCGTCGGCCTCTGCGGCTCCAAGCACATGCCCCGACCGTCCTCCCAACCTTTGTGCCTCGCTTTGATGAAAACTACGCGATGCGCAAGGACAAAACGATGGAGCGCGACAGGGCACAGCTCAAGCAGCTCCAGCGACAAGTCAAGCGCGAACGCAAGGGGGCGAGCCGCGAGCTCAAACGCGACGCAGCGTTCCTCAGTCGCCAACGCGCGGAAGAGCAAAAGACGTGGCGAGCCGAGAAAGACGCCAAGCAAAAGGAAATCCGGTCGTGGATGGAGCAGCAAAACGCCACGTTCAACCAACAAGTGCGCAAGGGCGGCGAACTCATCAAGGGCGGCGGGTCCGGCCCGGCCAAGAAGCGCCGCATCAGCAAGAAGTAGACCAGTCTGTAATACACACACTATCTATTGCCGCCAATGCGTGTGCTACCTGACTGTCCCCGACGTTTGCAAGGTCCCCGATGCGGCACGTGGCACAAGGAGAAAGCGCGAGGCCGCTCTTGGCGTCCGCCACACAGTGGATCGATCATGCCAAATTCAATCCTCTGTGGCATAGGGAGTGGGGGGAATTAGTGTGACATAGCCATAAATAGTGTTACCATGATATACTGAAATAGTGTGTGCTGTCAACGCCAATCGTCGCCATGGCGCAACGAACTGGGTCGGATCCATCGAGGCAAGCGCTGGCGCTGGAGAAGTTGGCGGCTCTGGCAAAGAAACATGACTTCATTGAGTACCCTCTTGCCATCCCGCTCACATGCACGTCGTTCCACGTGTCCGAAGAAGTCTATGTTTCTGCGAGCAGAGGCAAAGCCAACGTCACGGACGCCACGTCGAGCGGTGCCGGTCGGCTCTTTGCACGAGGCAAAGTCGTCGATATCGCACCTCCTCAGTACCCTGGACGTGTGAAGATTGAGTACGGGGATGGGTCGACATACCATGCAAATCCTGCCCGTTTGATGCCGCGTCTGTGTCAGGCGGTGAGCCGAGGCAATGCATGCAAGCAAGTTGGCGTAATCGTGACTGCGACGACCGACCATTACCGTCGGATTGCACGTACTCAAATCACGTCGTCGGACATCGTCCTCGAGATTGGTTGTGATCTCGGCATCACGGTGGACTTGGTCGCGGACATTGTCGGGCCGTCGAAAGTCATTGGCGTCGACAAGTCACACGACTCGATTCAAATTGCCAAGGAAACGTACCCCCGATGCCGCTTTGTCGAAATGGACATCTTTCACTCCCGCGACGACCTCCTCGTCCTCGCCGCCGATTGCACCAAAGTGCTCATCGACATCAACGGAAATCGGCTGCTCCCAGCTGTCGTCGACGCGCTTCAGCTGGTCGTCGACGGGCTACACAAAGTCGACCTCGTCGTTGTCAAGAGCGTCGAGATGCACAGAGAGCGGCGTAAGAAGTAACATGCTCTTCCTCGTATCCTTCCGCCTCCATCCACCGTCTTAACCACTTTCATCGATCTTGCGATGCCGCTGAGAATAGGAGAGCGAATGAGCCAATCAGAACGCGTCTTGATGTCCGTACCAACCAATCAATTCTCGCGACGCCGCACCAGCCAACTCAAAAGCGATCGCAATACGCGGGCAACCATGAGCACCGAGTTCATGGACGACGTGATGGTGGCTGCGGCGTACGCGGGTGTAGACGAGGTTGCAGTACAAGTATATGCCCCGCCAAGCGACGTGGTGAAGCCTGAGATCGTGGAAGAGGGAGAGATCAAGGCAGAGGAATTGGAGCAGGGCGAGGTCAAGGCCGAAGTCGTGGAGCACGTGGATGCAGACATGGGAGCATCGGACGAATCAAGCGACGACGACGACGAGAGCGAGCCAGACAGTGACGACGAAGATCAATCCAAGCTTCGCCTTGAGATCGAGACCGCGCTGAAGAAAGAAGAACAGGGGAGCTTGACCTCTGCACCGGTGGTGACCGCCCACGAAGTGTCGCAACTCCCTGTCACGAAACCCGCGATGGAGCAACTCACGGCGGAGTGTCCGATCTCGAAGATGGGTCGAATCCTGAACGTCAACTCAGCCGAGCGTGCCATTACGATCCAGAGCGTCCCGAATCAACTCCCGCTGGACGAAGGCAGTGTGCTGTGTCTGCCCGACCGCGTCGTCCTCGGGTGCGTCGACGAAGTGTTTGGGCCCGTCTCGCTGCCCATGTACCTCATTCGGTTCGACACAGCCGACGAAATCCCAGCGGGCGCGACTCTACACACCGACGTGTTTTACGCAACCGAGCACGCCACGTACGTCCAGCCAGAAAAGTGCCGCGTGAAGGGATCGGACGCATCCAACTTGTACGACGAAGAACTTGGCCCTGATGAGATGGACTTTTCCGACGATGAAGCGGAGCAATCGGCCAAAAAATGCAAGCGAAAGCGAAGTTCTGCGGCGGCGACCCCTTCAGCTCCCAGACCAACTTCGTCGGGATATTCCAGCCACCACACCCAGCGAGAGCACTTTAGCCACCCATCTGCTCCCCGTCGGGACCAACTTCGCCACCACCAGGCGCCGTACCAGCACGCGCTTCATTCGTATCCACAGGGCGGCCAATATCGCGAAGACCACCATGCTCCTCCACCTCACCACCATCAGCCAGGCTGCTACCCACCGTCGCAACACGGATACCCCACGCCAGCTGCTACGCCATACCCTCGTCATCCGCACAATGGGCCAGGCTTCTACGATCCGCATCCATCAGCCGGGTACTATTACCCGCCTCCAGTCCCGTACCCGCCTCCACCAGCGTACTCTCAGCACGCGAATGCTTTCCACCATGACCCTCAACGACCCCCGCCCCACGGAAACTACCCCCCTCATCGTCCTGACCAACAGCCCCCGGCTTCGTGGCAGCCCCATCAACACCCTCAGCACCCACCACCTCCGTCAGGGTACAGTCGGCATTTGTATTAGGTAGTTCCTGGCGCGAACGAGGTTGCGGCCCCAGTCGTCGACTTCGTCGTGGCCGACAGCGCGTCACTGGTTGCATGGGTCGCCTTGTGCCGCTTCGTGGACGGTGTAAAGTAATACACGGTCACTGCTCGCAGATGCTTCTTGATCAAGCGCTCGACCGCGTACCAATTGAAGCCGGGGGTGCCGGCTCCGAGCCGTGGCATGTGAATCGTGGCATGGCACTGGCGCGCCTTGGCAGCGACCGCCGCCAGCGCCAGCTGCAGCGAATTCAGTCGTACCGCGAGGGTTTTGCCCGTGCGCTTCTTCTTTTGGTGGAGGTACGTCTGAACGACTAGCAAACACACAAACGTGTGGTTGTCGAGAGGGATGCAATGCGCCTGGCCGAGTTTCAAGTCGTGGTTCACCTTCATCTGCCTGTACGCGGCTTCGACGTACGGTGCGCGGTGCGAAATCGCGCCAAAAAACCCCCGCGACGTCCACTCGCCACTCGTGTCGACACAATGCAAAATGATTGCTGGCCGTACATCGTCGCCACTTGCCAGCGCCGCATTCCCAGTCTTGTACGTGATCGCGCATGCTTCGTCATCGTCGTCATTGCTACCACTCGCATGGCCCAACTCGGACAACGTCGCGTCGATAGCGTACGACGTGTAGTTGTTTTTGGCCCACAGCGCGTGCTTCCGAGCAAGTCGTTGCTGCGCGAGAGCGTCAGCATCCACAACGTCGACCGCATCGTCGGCATCGTGCTCGTATTCGATGGTCGATGGGGTCGTCTTGCGCAACCGAGGCGTGGACGCCATGTCGAGCTGCAATTGCTTGAGGCAGGTGGCGTCGGCCGCGGTTGTCGTCGAGTAATCGTGGCCGTCAAAGTAATACATGTTTTCATCGTCCACGAGCTGCGTCGGAAGCGCCGGCGCGACCATGGCAGTCGTTGACCGTCCTCGATGCAAGATCGTTTCGAGTTGGTCGTCCGTGAGCGGTTGGAGCCCGTCGTCGTCGCTCTGCTCCATCAAGTACTGAAGCCCGTACTGAACCATGTCGTCCCTCCATTCCGGCGTCCCGTCGACGGCGAGCGCATGTCGAGCTTTCGAGCATTCGCGGACCTACGCATGCTCGCAACACGAATGAGAACCACAACATGCCGGACCGTGTTTACCGTGGCCGAGAGCTTCAATTTCTCCAGCGACCGCTTGTACATGATTTCTTCGACCGAGTGAGCGCACACGAGATGCATGACGTGGATCGCGTTTGTCTGGCCCATCCGATATGCCCGCGCCAGCGCTTGCAGCTCCATTTGCGGGTTGTAGTCGACATCGCAAAAGATGACCTTACCGCGGTCAGTGCGCCATGGCGTTCGCTCTGTCATGATGCCCAACGAGTCGTACCGTGTCGGCGCGCTGGAGGTTGAGCCCGACTCCACCGGCCCGTGTGCTGAGCAAAAACAAAAACGCATCTTCGTGTCGAAACCGGTCGATCGCTTGCCAGCTAGACAATTGCCGGGTCAAATGTTGCGGCCGCGGTGCTTTCCTCACCGCTCTTCGCCGCGCACAGACCCGTCCAAGCGCTCGTACGACAGCTTCTGCCACGTGCAGTAGTCCTGGATGATATCGAGGAATGCCGTGGACGTGCTAAAGAGCAGGACGACGTGGTTCCGTGCATGAAGAGCATGCAGCAGCGTGTGGAGGACAAAGAGCTTGCCACTATTCATGTACAAATGCGGGCCTTCCTCGAACGGCTCAGGTTCAGCGTTCGGGAACAGGTACGGGTGATTGCATGCTTTCCGGAGTTGCGCCAGGACGTTCATGAGGGACAGCCTACATCCACCGACCCAGTCCATGTCAACCCAAGTCGCAACGAGCGCACATACGTCGACTCGAACGCTGTGCCCTTGGACACAATTTGCTTGTAATACGCCCGCTGCATGGGCGACAACTCGGTGTGAATCACGACTTTGGTCAGTGGCGGGAGTTGCACCGCTTCTTGGACGTCGTCGACCGTTCGAAGCAGCATCACAGGCGCGAGAATCGACCGCAGCAACGATGGCGAAGGCTGCGTCGCCGTAAACGCGAGGCAGACCGCGGGAGTAAATGCCATGGGGTTGAGCAACGACAGGAGGGCGGCGAGTTCCGCCAAGTTGTTTTGAACGGGCGTGCCGGTGAGGATCATTTTTCGCTCCGAGCTACACACACCAGAGTGGTCAGCAGCGACGTCGCGGCGCCACTTTGTCGACGTGGTACATGACGTCGTCGCGCAAGGTTTGATGAATCTGGGACTTGGCGTTTTTCAAGCGATGGCCTTCGTCAAATACACCGAGCGACCATGGCGCACATGCCTTTAGGAACGTCGTGTCCAGCGCGACGAGCTCGTACGACGTCAACAGGATTTTCGGGCTCGCTTGCGAGTGAAACTAGAGATGTGGGAATCAAACCACAATCAGGACGGGCCGTGATTCACTTGAAAGTCCTACCTTTGTCTGTAGGTCCCGCCGCTCGTTCTTGTCGCCGCAATACGTCACCACGGACAAATGCGGGGCGTACCGAGTGAACTGCTCGTTCCAGTTTGGGAGGACGCTCAACGGAGCGACGACGAGGCACGTCTTGAACGATGCCGCGTACGCAACGTTCAAGTAGCACACGAATGCAATCGTTTGCACCGTCTTGCCAAGCCCCATCTCGTCGCCCAAGATCACGTTCACGTGGGCGCGTTCACGATGCGCGAGCCATGCCAAGCCATCCTTCTGGTATGGATGCAACTCGACGTTGTGCAGACAACCGATCGCCATCGACACAGCGTCTTTTCCGTCAGTGTCCGTCACGGCAGCATGCTCGAGCTGCTTCTCCAGCGCTTTCACCGCGGATTCCACCGTTGCTACCGCCATGCTCGTTTAAAACTGCAATGTTGAATGATGGTCTCCCCCCCCATCATCACTCTTCTCACATAAAATTGGCGCGGACGTCGGTAACGTGGCGCACCGCCGACGCGCGCGGGTGTCCGTCTACTCCTCGTACACGTCCATGTGATGGAATAACGTGTTACGCATGGTTTCTACAGCCTCATGGCCTGCTACGGCGGGCACGAAAGGGTCACGGAGGCGACGCAGTCGTTCTTGAGGACCTTTTACGTAGCACACGCGGCCGTGAGCAGTCGCGTCCAACGTGTGCGCGCACCTACCTCAACAAGACAGCCTGCAAACGGTTCGTAGAATCGGCTGGCGTCGAATGGGTCTTTCACCGATCCATTTTCAAACACGATCGGGCGCAGGTCGTCGCGTGAGATGGCGAGCGCTTTGAGCATGGTCGACCACTACGTACGCTGGTGAACACGCAACTACCACACTTCTACCGTGGTTTCGGGGGTGACGGTGATCCGATCTTGTGGCGGCATTGGCGCTGTCGCGCCAAAATGGCGCAGCTCGTAATTGCATTTCAAGTACGCATTGAACTCGCCATGGCTACAGCAGCAGCACACATGACACAACGACGCCGTCGACGGCATGTACCCTGGCAGGTTTGATCGCAGGATGACCTTGACAACAACGTGCCAAGCCGAGTACATGACGTCGATGCCCAAATCGGCAAAGTTGTGAAAGTATTCGCCGCCACGACATCTATGACATGCCCGTGTGACGCGCGGCGGGGGGAGTGTGATGTACCCTGCAGCATCGAGGCTCGACTTGAAATACGCCGACGAAGGAGGACCCAGCGCGCTGATCACGTCCTTTGTTGCACATGAGGGTATCGTGGATATATATCTGCACAGATATGACGACATACTTGCGGAGTCGCGCCGAGTGCTATGGACCTGTTCGAGGTCGAGAACGCCAAGCTGATCTTGTGCATGTTGGATAGATCGACGACGACGGGCTCGTAATAATGCCTGCGCACGAACGTGGCATGAGGATCATGGAGGAAGGATGCGCCGCGACAGACTGTCTCAGCGGCACCAGCGGAAGGACACTGGTCGTGGTAGTAGAAGGCTCGTCGGTGCCGCTGTAGATGGAGAATCCAATCGCGGCGGGCGTGCTGCCATTCTGTACATGCATAGGATGCTACGAGAGGACGACGGGGATGCATCTTCGTACGGGCAGCTCCAACGGGAGAACGTCCTTGTTCGTGTACAGCTTCTTGTACTCTTTCGGAATGGGAAACCGGAAGGATCCTCCCATGTAATGCAGCGTGTATATCGTTGTCGTCGGGTTATATGTGCCGGGGTATGTCGGGCCCACCACCTACATGGACGGCGAGATCAGAACGGGCCGACGACGAGAAGGCCGTGAATACCTCGTACACGGACTGGAACGTTGGAGTCGCATTCTTCCCGCACAGAATGCTGCTTTGGTATCGAAGGGACATGTTGCCCATTTGGAAGACGTCAATTACCGTCAAGAGCTGAGTCACGCTGTGGAATTGCAACTAGGGAACGATGCACCGTTGTTGTTCCGACAATGCGTGGGTCCTCCTGGGTCGCACCTTGAATCCGTCTTCGGGCGAGGTTATCACAATATCGGACGCATATGGATCATCTTCGTTGTACTCGATCTGTGTTCCAGTGAGACTGCGTTCTGCCGCGGGGTGGGCACGCATACCTCAAACGCACGGACAGGACTTCGTCGCTGCAATGTCAACGGCATGACGCCACGATCGTGAACAAGAGACACAGGCATGCCATGTATGTGCATACCTTGAGCACGGCGATGGCGTCCGAGAGCGTCGCCCCCAGCTGCAGCGGGCCCACCTTCCTTCCGAGCACGACCTCCCACACTTCGTCATCTTGGTGCATCGTGCTGTGAATTCTTCAGATCCGAAGTATCCGGATAAAAATCCGACGTTTCCGAAATCTTTTTTCCACTGTGTGCGGTGTTTTATTGGCCATACCGATATGCATGTGATGAACTTGCACGGGATGAAGGCCGAGCCGTCGAGTCCAGTGCGCCCCCGCGCAGCTGAAGCGACAGACCGTGCTGCGTTACGCTATTCGCCGCCCAGGCGCTCTAGCGATAGCGCGAACAAGCTCCAGGCGTTCCACATCGACGGCAACCCGGCCCTGGGGAAGCGGAAGCGATTGCAGCACACGTCGTCGATCGATGCAATGCCGCGCATCAGCCCGAAAACGTCGACGAGCAACAACGAGGAAGACCGATCCATCTCGGTTCGAATCATCGATCAACCTCCTCGTGTCTGGTACCGAGACCAGAAAGGCCGACGCACCGTGTTCTGCATGACGGTCGGGATCGTCGACCAGCTCGAACGATTCATGTCCGCCGACCACATCACCGGCGGGTACTTTACAACGACGCTCTTGTACGAAAACGGGTACGCTCCGTCGTAGTGTCCATCGTGTTTCTGAAGCATAGCTGCGTCTATGCTTGCAGCGTCGAAGTCGCGGACAAGCGCATTGTCGAGCTGCGGAAAGGGGCGTTCTTCGACCCGCATGCGTCGACCGTGACGATGGAAATCCGCATCGCGGACATCTCGAAAAACCACCAGAATCAAGTAAGGCGCACCGGCATGTTGTCACCCGTGGGTTGATTCTTGCGACAGAAGTTTCGCGTGCGGGTCCACTTCGTATGGCCCAACGTGACGGTGGCGGCGGCCGTGTCCACCGCGATCCATGTGCTATCCAAGCACGTCGTACGTACGCCCCCCTTTCATCGATTCGCTCACGCGGATTGCCCTGTGCGTCGCAGAAGAAGAGCTTACCGTTGGAAATGCACCTGGTCAAGTCGCACCAGACCCCGTCCAGTGGGTCGAGCGACGACTTGATGGCTGTGCGAACACCGCCTCTCAACACTCCGACGCCGCCTCTGTCCCCAGTAAACTCGACGTCGTCGCAGCCCATGCCGCCGTCCCGACCACCGACCTGGACGAATGACGCGGCAGCGCCAGTCAAAATTGCAAATCAAATGTCCATGTCGCGGTGGTGCACGGTTGCCCATCGGGTACTCACGCAAATCGAATGGTCGCCGTACCCGAATCCAAACGCGAGTCCTCCTACGTGCTCGTACAAGTGCCTGTGGTGCCAAGCCGTCGAGCCCGACATCGCCACAGCCAAGCACGCGGAATCGTGCATGCTCAAGTATCTGCTCATGATGATCGGTGTGTACGCGTGTGCATCCAACGAAATGAGCTGACCGTCCGGGGTAGCGACCGACGACACCGAGTCGGCGCTGCCGCCCCCAGCGCCTCTTCCATCCGCCAGCGAAATGCAACAGCGGCTCGCCACCACGAACGTGTACAAACCAGTGCCCCATACGCTCTCGACCGTTCTCAAGTAAAGTGGACGAAGGTCATCCTGCCAACGCGTTGAATCGCTTCTTAGGGCAGACTCCATGGCGTACCACGATGAGAGCAGCCGCGACTTGACGCTGCTGTCCATCGGGGACCTGTCGACATTTGCCACATCAGCCAAATCGTCGACGTTTGACGATGCACTCATGCTCAAGAGCTTGAGCCAAGTGTCCGTCGCAGACTACGGCGCGCCATCATCGTGCCCCACCACCGCAGCCACGACAACGTTGGCCACCGACTCCACCTCCCACCGTCATTACATGGTGGATTCCACCATGCACGATGCGCTGTCTCGGTTCACGGACTCGACCATCTGCGCAAGCAACACGGAGGCGTCTGTGGTGGTCGTGGGGCTATCCCCGCTTGAAGGCGACGGCGTGAGCGGGGGGCTTCCTGCATTTGACGGCGACTGGCGTTTGGTCGGGGTGTACCACCACGGCCCGCCGCGAGGAGGCTTGGTAAGTCGATGCACATTCATCGTTGGCGTTGGTCTGGATGGTGGCAACTCGTGCTGGGCTGGCTGACACAATCTTGTGGCATGTGTGTAGCCACCACGGAGCGGGGCAGCGTGCGTAGGGCCGTCATTGTGTTTTATGCCGATCCGCCACGACGACATCGAGCTCGTATGGGACGCTAATGTTAACATGGAAGACGAAGTGCGCCAGATGAAAGAGGGCACAGCCGGGCGGCGGGCGACGGAACAGTACCTTGCGCTCGGAGATCCGGGAATTGGAACGCTCGACAAGCTGAAGGCTGCTGTGCTCCGTCGTAGCATCCACTAACGAATCCAATACACATGCCATGTCCATTGCCTTTATTCGACGACACAGAGCCGCGTGGCCGTGCGCGACTAGAGCTCGCGACGGTCGGTGTGGGCCGTCGACGTTGTTTCGAGGACACGCTTTCAATTAAGAATTACTATGAATACAGTACCTCTGTTCCATAGTAGTGTCGACATTTGTCTTTACGGTGACCCCAAAAACTGAATTTTTGGTCAAAATTGATGAAACAAAGCCCCAATGATGTATCAAGGAATACTGAACAAAGTTTCTATTGGACAAAACGACCGAAAATGAAATCTTCGGCCCAAAAAACAAATTCGTCAACTTGTTTCTGAATAAAAATACAAAATGTGAGTTACTGGAATTATAATATGGGGACTGTCTATTTCCGGAAATCCGGATAACAGTGATATGCCGTTTGAGCACAAACCAAGGGCGGCATTCCGAAGTCCGTCCCCGAATCATTTCTAGCCAATAAGAATGAAATATCGCGAGTAATTTGGAAAAAGTGTGATTTTCAAATGTCGCCAGTAATATGGAACGGAGGTAGTATCAAAAAATTGAATCATTTAAACAAGCCTTTTTAAATAAGAAACCGACCCACACCCAGCCGTTGTCCGTTCTTTCGTAACTGCCAGTGGAACTCCAACGGGACGCGATGCAGCCGTCGTCATCGCCACCGCCGCTGCTGGGCGGACCGCGGGGCAGCCGGTTGCAGGTGGTCCCGGTGTCCACAAGGGGGCTCGTCGACCAGAAGCGCCATTCGATCCTGTTGTCGCCCGAGCAGCGCGCCCAGATTGAGGCGGACAGTTCCAAGGTCAAGATGCAATCCCTTGCACGGCGCAACTCGTTCATGGCCAACACACTCCTCAACAAAGTCGCCCCGGTCGCGTCAACGCTTGCGCCCACGACCCTCCGACAGACGAAACGATCCGTCAAGCGTCGGAAAAAGTCGCAGGAGTACGACAAGCATTACCGCCGGTCCAAGATCGGGGAAGGCGCGGCCAAATTTGAAGAGCACGCCAACGAGTGGGAAAATTATCAACTCGGCGGGTTCATCGGCATCGTGAACGAGATGATCGCGACCAAGAAGAAAGAGAAAATGCTGTCCACGAAATGGGTCATCATGCCCAACAGCTCGTTTCGGAAACTCTGGGACGTCGTGCTCATCACGTGCCTCAGCTACGTCGGTGCGTCGTGCTCCCGCGCGCAGTACACCCCTCGCCTCACCACGTCCCCGATTCTCTTGCCGTTGTAGCTGTTTTCTTGCCGATGCAGCTCTCGTTCTTCTCCAGCCGCATGTACGTCGTCGCACGCGTCGGTCGACGCTCACACGTCACGCGCGCCGTGCGTAGGAACATCGACAACATCCAGCCATGGCTTGGCGTGTACATTGTCGACCGATTCACGGACGCGATCTTTTTAACGGACATCGCTATCAACTTTCGCAGCCCGGAAGTATCGCGCAAGGGCGATATCACGGTCTTTAACGCCAAGCAAGTCGCGCTCAAGTACCTCCACTCGTGGTTCGTCCTCGACCTCGTCTCCATCATCCCGTTCGACTACATCTCGCAGTCGTTTACGTCGACGACGTTGACGGGAGTCCACCTGACGCGGCTGCCGCGCCTCTTGCGCATGTTCCGCCTCACCAAGATTCTCAAAGTTGTGGTACGTGGACGACGCACGATGTCGGACCTTTGTTCGTGCCCCCCCCCCTCTCCGACGTGAAGTCGACATCACGATGCTCATCCTGTCGGCCCAGAACGCAAGCCGCATCTTCCAGCGCTACGAGTCGTACATTTCAATCAAGTATGGCTACCTCCGCCTGATGAAGTTTTCGCTGGCGATTGTCTTGATGATTCACGTACGTCCGCCTCGATCGCCGCGTCCTGATGCAATGCGATCAGTGGCTGGCATGCGCCGCGTTCCTCGCGGCTCTGTTTTCGCGGGAGCAAGACGACACGGTCAACACGTGGCTCGATCAACTCTACCGCAACTCGCTCATCACGGGGATCCCCGAGTCGTCGACTGTCGACGAGTACATTGCAAGCATCTACTGGGCCACGATGGTACGACGCGTCGTCGATGCCATGATGCCAACGCATGCCTAGACCATCACAACGATCGGGTACGGTGACATCACGGCGATGAACACGGTCGAGCGGGCGATCTTTATCCTCCTCATGCTGATCGGCGCCGGCATGTACGCTTACGTGGTCGGGACGATGTGCCAGTTGGTCGAGGGGCTCAACGTCGACTCGTTGGATTTTCAGCGGCAGATGGTACGCGCGCATGTCGTGGGGCGCGGCGTTGATCGGGTCGTCGGACGCAGGACCGCGTGAATGACTTTCTCGAAACCAACGACATTCCGTTCTCCCTCCGGCTCCGCATCCGCAAGTACCTCTTGTACAAGCGCGATGCGCACATCTCCAACATTTCCGAGCTCCTGTCGTCCGTGAGCCCGGCAATCCGGGACGAAGTCGCGCTGTTCAAGTTTGAGAAAATCCTCGGCTCCGTCGCGCAGTTCCGCGGCGCGCCGCCAGACTTTCTCGCCGCGCTAGCCCTCAAACTCACAATGAGTACTACGTGCATCGATGCCGACGACCACTAACACGAGCGATGTCGGTGGTGTAGTGGTATTTGCCCCCAACGAAATGATCACCGTGTTTGGGCGCGTCGGGACGTCCATGTACATCATCAATCGAGGCCGCGTCCAGATCGAGCGCATGGCGAGCGACGGTCGCATCGTGGTCGTGAGCGTACTCGAGGAGGGCAGCTACTTTGGCGAACGCGGGCTCTTGTTCTCGGCGAAGCGGCGCGCGTCCGTGCGGGCGCTGTGCTTTGTCGAAGCGAGCTGCCTCACGCGGCAAGATCTCGAAAACGTCACAAACGACTTCCCGAACGTCCGACGGGTGATTCGAAAAAGCATGGTGAAGGACGTAATCGCGCGCAGCTTGCAGACTGGCGAGATGGTCGCCCTCGCACAGGACAAGGACTTTGTGCGGAAGCAGCTCTTGATTCGAAGCAAGGTCCACAATCGACGGCCGAGCACACTCGACCCGGCCGACATGATTCGCGCGGCCACGGGCATGCGCCGATCGAATGTGTCCTGCTCTAGCGACGGCTCGGCTTCAGATGGAATCAACGAAAGAGACGAAGAGCTCGACACAGACGTCGCCCCCACTTCCCCCCGACTTGTGGTGATTCCGCCAGTCGCGCCAGCCCAAGTCCTCCCCGTGCAACAAGCTGCGGGCAGTATGACCGGCTCGTTGGTGGCTCCGCCCATGGCTGACGCGCCGCCGTTGGCAACCGAACGAAAGTTATCGTCGGCAACGAAGCTGTCCTTGACTCCAACGACGCCACCACCCGTGGTCGAGATCACCCCCATCGCGGCAGTGCCTCCACCCGCTGCCCAAACAGCGTCGCCACCAGGCGCGACGCCACCTCCGATGCATGGGCTGCTGCAGGAACGGTCGACGCTGCGTGCGCTGTGGCGCGTGCGCACGAAAAGCTCGAAAAAGTTTGTCAAGTCCACCAAGAAATTGTTTCGTGTCGAGCCAGGGTGGGCCGACACGAGCGACGGATTACGCCGCCAAAGTCGCAGTCTGTCGCGTTTGCCGTGGATGAAGAACGGCCTTCGCCGACAGAGCCGCAGCCTCACGGACCTTGACGTCATGCGGCTAAAAGGTCCCGCCGTTGGTGGGCCGCACTTTTTGGACAGCCACGACGAAGCCGACTACTCGGCGGACGGCACTGACGACGAGGACGACGTTGGGGACGACGACGCTGTCTTTGCCCTGCTCGCCGACCACCACCACATGCTCGATTCCATAAACGACGCACTCCACGAGTTGAAGGCCACGTCGGACACGGCGCAGCTCACTTTGCAAGTCGTCATCGCGAAGCTCAACACGATTGAAGGGCTAGCGAAAGTAGCGCACGAGTTGCCTCCACAATAACGTTAGTTCAACTTGGCTACCGTCGGTTGCTGGCACTTGTCAGCACGTTGACGACCGGTCGTTTCCCGAAACGAACGTCGTTTCAAACCATGTCGGGCATTCGCGCGGCCGTGGTCGGCGACATTGGCGTCGGCAAGTCGTCGCTCGTCCGGGCTCTCGGTGGAGAGATCGTCTGCAGAGGCATGCCACCGCCCGACATCCATGCAGCGCGTGATGTTTAACACGTCTAGATGATGGGACGGGCGTGGTGTACCAGGTCGCGGCCGCCACGGGTCGGCCCATTTGCGTCGCCGAGTGCGCGTCCCTGGCGCACTGCACCACGTTGGCCCCTCAAGTGGTCCTGCTCGCATTTGACCTGTCCCAGCCAAGCACGTTTGCCACCGCGATTGCCAAGGTAGCGCGCGCCTCGTTCGTTCTCGATGGAACTTTTCGTGGCGTAGTGGGCCGCGTTTCGTGGAGTGCCCGAGGCGACGGTCGTTTTGGTGGGATGCAAGCGCGATCTCATGACGGATGTGCTCGTGTCGGCGACTGCCAGGGACTTTGCAGCGACCGAATTTGACGGGTACTTTGAGATCTCGGCTTCTGGCAGCAGCGCCGATGTCGCGTCTCTGCGCTCCGTGCTGTTTTCTCCTTTTACGAGCGCATTGCTGCCGCCTCCTCCGCCTCTCCACACCACTTCCACGAAAGACAACGTCTCGAGCGCTTCTAGTCATGCCTTGCTTCGTGACCACATTGTGGTCAACAAGACGGCTCGCGATATCTGGCTCTTCGACAAGAGGGCGTTCGCTCAGCAGAGCCGTAACTTTGACGCGACAAGCGCGTCGAAGGGGCGCGTATTCTCGACCGCCCTGGCTTTGGCGAAGCGCCGCGACGCCGCCGCCATCGAACGAGGCCATGCCATGGCTAGTCGTCTGGCTGTTCGTGGTCGGAGGGCGGCTGTCGAGGCGGTGACTGAGAGGTCCACAACGCCCACGAAATCCATTCGCTTGACCAACTCGGACGGATCCCCTCGGACGTATTCGTTCATGCACGCAACGCAAGCCAGCACCCACCGAGCTGACGCACGGACTCGAAAGAGCAACATAGAGAACGTCGACGACGAACGCGTCAAGTCAAATGCGCCCTGGGAACCAACTCGCCGTCGCAGGTCGTGTCGGAGGCGATCCTCGCCGCTCGCAGGCGACATCGCGGCCTGCCACGCAAAGGATGCGAGTACCTGCGCTGCCGAGACCACTCGGACGAGGCCCTGTGAAGCGCGACCGTCGACGAAACAAGTTGACGTCGACAACACGGGTGACGACGGGTGCTGCAAACACTTGAACGACTCGATGCGTCCCGCCAGCCCACGGACCATAGAGCTTCAGAACGATGTCGCTGCGAGCGAGATCACCGTCGTGCCGCCGCCTTTACCAGTGGATGAATCGGGCAACTATTGCTTCATCCAGGGTGGTTCCGATCGTAATTCCTCGACGCCCGGTAGCGACACTCCACCTCGCAACGACGATGCCGCCATCACTTTCGACGACGACGATGTGCTGGGGGCGCTAGAGTCGTTTCATCTGTCCATCTAACGCAATGGCTAAAGCATGTGCAAAGTGTTGAGTAGCGGCCATCGAACGAGGGTGGCCCTGAGCGACATGGCAGTCGAGCAGGAGGGCACACCCACGTCCCGTCGCGCGTTCGTAGATGGTCGTTGCTGCCGCTTCTTTGGAATCCACCCCGCGCGATTGCAACGTGGTGAGCGCTACTCGTCGTCGCGATCGAGACTGCGCAGCTGCACTTGGATCGACAGATGCGCTCACGGTGTTTCTGGTCCGTTTCATAGCGTAGTGGGCAACCGTGGTCTGTAGCTGCTCGTTCGAGTCATTTGAGCGGCGCATCCTCTTTGCCTTCGACACATGCGAGCCGCGTCTTCGACGAGCCCCTCGGTGCCGTGCGTGTCTAGAACTGGCACAGCCGACTTGCGCAACCAATTTTCCAGCCCATTGGACAGTAACCGATGGGAAACGTAGTAGCACGTGCCGGGGCATGGCCGAGTTGGCGCGCCATCCATCACGCAAGCACAGGACGGCGGGCGGTGGATGCGGTCCCGAGCCCCATTCCCAAGTACAAAGTGCTTATCGTCGGAGGTGCGAGCGTCGGCAAGTCGACCATCTTTCGCTGTCTTTTGCATGTCGTCACGAATGGCGACATGAATGCCGCGTCCCCTCTTGCCGTTGGTGGTGCGACAGGTCCGAGCCCGTCGTCTTTGCCGCTGCTGACTTTGTGCAATAGTGAACATTGGGGTCAAGGTTGTCGACATGGAATGCTACGGGCCGATGGTAGTCGAGGTATCTGAGCGCCGGCACGATGTCCGATTCATCCCGTCGTCTGCTAGCTGTGGGATGTGCCGGCAACGCACGACAAATCGAGTCAAAAGCAGCTCTACTTTGGCGACCTCGACGGCGTGCTTTTCGTCCACAGCGCCGTGAATGCCTCGAGCTTCATCCACGTCCAATTGTACCATGCAATGCTCATCGAGCCGTCGCAACTTTCCGCTCTGCCGGCTATGCTCGTGCTTCAAAACAAATCTGACGACTCGATCAACGCGCCAGCCGCGGTGTCTCAAGCTCAGTGGCTCGCGGACCACAACCTGGCGCAGGTGAACGTGTCGGCCAAGCTGAATCTGGGGTTGCTGGCCGCCCTGCGACGATTGCTCGGAGACATCGCTGCTGCACACTCGTCGACACGAACCGCGACCAACCGACCAAACGACAGCATTACGTGATAAATTCTTCGTCTATGTCGTCAAAGTCGTTGCCATGATTGGCAATCGAGTGCTGCCTGTTGGTTCCTTCGGGAACAACAGGCGCTGGGGATGGAATGGATGGCGTCGCGATGCCAAGCGGTGCATCGTGGTCCGTTCGGCCAAATACGAAAGCATCGTCGCTGGATCGACGCGTGAAGGGACCTCTCGCGTCATTCACTTCGTAGCGGTCGCGCCGAATGCACCCGGACGCCGCGCCAAACTTCATTCGTGACGAGAACGCGGGGGACGTGATTGTCGTCGCCTCTGCGTCCTGCACGTGGCCACTGCTCTGGGGCATATTTTGAATCGGCGCAACCACGTCGTCTGCGCTCGACGATACGATGCGACTGCTCTCATCGACCTTTTCCATGATGTTTTCCACGGACGATGTCGTCGGGACTTCGTCAATGTGGTTGAGTTGGGGGTACGGATTCACGGACGCATCCAACGAAGCAGACATGGACAAAAGTTGCGTGCCCGAGTCGAGTGGCGTCGTGGCGGGAAGCGGGCGAACGTGGACGGCGTTATCCGTGGATGTGCTTTGGGTGGTCGTGATGTCGGGCGCCGACGCAGCGACAAGATCTTCCCCGTGTTCGGGAGCCACGTCTTCGTTTTCGAGTGGCATCTTTGGTTCCTCGACGGCCGGTGCGTCGAATCGCATCGTGGTGTGTTCTGGGGAAGATGGAACTGGTGCAACAATCGTTGGTGGAGCACAGTCCAGCGCTGCGCTTTCGGTGGAAGGGCGACCGCCATGACGGTTCGACATGGACGCCAAGGTTGCTGCACACACCTCACGTGCGCCGTCGGCATCGACGTCGATGGCGGTAGGTACAGGCACTACGATACTGTCGTCGCTCGTCCCTCCGACCACCATGATACGGTTCCGGGTCGTGAATTCGACCGATACGTCGTGGCGATTTCGAGATGGTATGACCAAAGACGAGCTGTCCCCTTGGTCCAACTCGATGGATCGATTACCACCATCCCTGTCATGGCCAAGTGGTAAAATCGGTTCTGGTTTTTCATGGAGAGCGTCATGTCTTTGCTGCGCTGCTTGTGGCCGCGACGCGTCATCGACAATCACTCGCTCGAAGCGACTTGTAGGCGGCTGAGGGGACGAGGGAGGCGTCGCCTGGTCGTCTGGCTCCTTCTGAGCCCTGGCGCGGTGGTCTTTTCGTGTCCCAGAGATCATCGCATGACACTGTGTTTGGTTTGCCGTAGCGACTGGTGTCGATGGTGTGGAGAGAGTTTCTGGGAATGAAACAAATTGGGTTCCTGCTACTTGTGGACTCGTCTTTGCAGGTTGTTCACAAAGTGGTGAAGCTTCAGCACCCAGTGGAGGTGTTGTGATTGTTGTTAGTTTTGATGCAAGTGGAGCACGTGACTGCGCGAGTGTGCTGGCAGGGTCGCTGGAGGGGCCGGTGGGCTTGGTACGCGTGTCAGTGGTGTGTTTGTGCTTCAAAATGCGTGATATCCATTCGTTTTGAAGCCCTTCCCGTCGTTCAATACGTGCTTGGATGGATTGCAACATATTGCTGCGGTGCTGTTCCGACGGAACCCACTGAGCCTCCAACAGCGCTTGGACTTTGCCATCCATGTCGACCATGCGCTCGAGCACAGCCTACAGATCCCAAACACCCTCGCACGTCACGAATGAGTTTTCATGCGCCATGAAGGCATACCACGGGCAACACGTGCAAATGGCTCGTGTACGCCGAAATCGCCGCATCATGCTGGGTATCCGTCAGAGAAGTAGAGTGACCTTGACCACTGAATCGCGCCGTGGCGTCATGGAGCTTCTTGAGATGGGCCGTGATTGCGTCGTTCACGGAGGCGTCGTCGTGGGGCCAGACACTGGTCAAGAATGGCCGCCGAGCAAGTGGCACTGCTGCTGACACCCGAGTGCCGCGAGGACTTGCACATGCTCTGGTGAATGAAGTCAGCAAGGTGTGTTGGTGTGCCCAAAGGAATGCGTTGATGTACCTCTCTGCTCTCTGGAATATCAAGTCGATCGCATCCTCGATAAACGTTTCGACCAGTTCCGCCGGTACGTGTGCGGGTTTGGAGATAGGGGCTGGCTCCTCGAGTTGGACTGCCACGGCGGTGTGTCTATAGTCTCTGGTGGGTTCGGCTTGCACAACAACCGCAGGAACTGGACCAGCACGAGCCAAAGTCACTTCGTGTGGAGGTAGAGCAAAGGCAGGATCGATGAAAGGCGGCAACGTCATTGGTTGAGGGTCTGTCTCCACGGCTGCGTCTCTTTTGGAAGGTGCCACCACAAGCGTTGACGTGGGGAGGGGAGCTGGTTCCATCATTGCCTCCGTTTGGGATGCTGCATGAACTCGTTCAGGCGCTGGTGGCGCAGAGATTTGTACAACATCTGCGATCAACGGGCTCCCTTGTAAGGCCGCAATCATCAGTTCTGCCTCACACGCGGCGCTATGGGTGGTGACGGGTGATTCGTTCTTTGTTTGAGTACCCACGTCGTTCATAGCGGGCTTAGCATGGTTCACGGGCACTGTGCTGGTGGTAGTGGCAATGTCGTGCTTGATTCGTTCGTGTGCGACGAGCAACGCTGTATACTGGTCGTGCTGAGCCTTCATATCTGCCCTCGCGATGGCTAGCGCTTCCTTTGCATGCTCTAGCGCCACCTCGAGCCGCTGGATGGTTCGTATCGTGGCTGGGTCATCCGTCGTCGGTGGCCCTGCAGTTGTTCGAACCATCTCGAGCTGGTGGCACTTGGTTTCTAATTGATAGACTTGATCTTGCAATAGCTTTACTCGATTCTGCACAGTGCGACAGGATATGTGAACCAGGTTGGTTGACTGCACAGGTGGTATTGGTACGTACAATGGCCTCGTCCCTTTCAGTTCGACATGCCACCACCTGTCGCTGTGTCTCTTCGACTCTACACACCACGACGACTACCATGAACGAGGAGCTATACACTGAGTAACTTGCCGCCATTGTAAGTCTGATCGCGCAAGCTTGAGTTCGTTCGCCACACCCCGCTCGACGGCCAGCTCGTTTTGAAGCACTTTGAAAGTGTCTGCGTTTTCGACAACAACTTGCTTCATGTGCACTTCGTGTTGCGCAAGAAGTAGTTCAAGCTTCGTCACCAAACCAGTCTCGGCTGCTTGGTAGTTCGAGCGCTGGGGACTTGACTTTGTCGGATCACCTCCCTGGGAAGATAGTCCGTCGGAATTAAAGGGTTGAATAATGGTCGTAGAAATGTGTGTTCAATGGTACCTCTGGCAAGTTGGCATGGCGTCTGTCAATATGCTTGAGCAAGTAGTCCTGGGTCCCAAATGCTTTGCCGCAAAAGGCACAGAGATGTGCGACCTTGGGCATTGTCGTGTCAGATGGATGGGACGTCAGCTTGGCCTCTGAGGCTGCGAACATGGCTTCGACTGCAGCGATGGTATGTGGAGAACACCCCTGGGCATGTAAAACTTGGCTGCAGCTTTTGAGCAGCGTTGTGCAGCGTGCGAGCTGGGCCTTGACTGCCTTCATCTCTGACTTGGTTTCCTTGAGTTTTGTCCGAAACGTATCACGTTCGTTCGAGATGGTAATCAAGTCCTCTTGCAGCACGTGCATGTCGTACGCATCTCCTTTTCTGCACTCGATGAAAGTCTCCACCACCAACTGCAAGATACGAATGAGTTTGCACGATAAATGTGGCGAGGTGCACGCTGCCTCCGTCACCAGCGCATACGTCAACGACGGCACCATCTCCTGGAGCAATGCTGTGTCAATTTCGTTCAAGTTGAATGCTTCGACGAGACGCCAGTCCATGTCGAGCATACGCCGCTCAAACGCGAAGCCCGGACGCATGTCCCCAAGATTCGCGCTGCGCTCCCAACGTCGTCGTCCTTTTTTGAATTGGTAGTTATCCGGATACAATCTTTATCCGGGATCATCCGGATAAAGTGGTTATCCGGCCTTTGGGGATGAAGGACACTGATTGGCCAGTCTTTAATCCGGATTGACCGATTTCCAATCAGGTCGCCGCCGCGCTTGTCCAACTGGCGGGATGGCGACAGTCGTCGTGGATGCGGCAAACGTAGCGACGGTCTCGGGTGGGAACCTCCGCGTACAAAGACTGGAAGCTGCGCTAGACTACTTTCAACGGCGCAACGTACGCTGTATTGCGTTCGCGCCCCGGTACTGGATCGACGGCAACACAGTGTTCAACGACGAAGAGAGCAAGAAAGTGCTGCAAAGCCTCGTCAACAACGACACACTTGTCCTCACACCTCCTCAAGCGCACGACGACTTTTATGTCATTGACTACGCCACCAAGTATGACGGGTATGTCGTCTCAAACGACATGTTTCGCGATCACGTCATGCACAAGGTGAGGGGAGTTGTTGCTATGTGTCAGAGTCATGCTCACAAGGAAATACTTGTAGCGCCGGTTCAACGGCCACACGCTCACGGTCGACTGGGTGAAGGCTCGGTGCATCGATTTTACGTTTGTAGGTCTTGAGTTCCTCCCGAATTCGCAGCTCATGGACAAAGTGCTGCATCACGTGCCTCGTGCGATTGATCCCGCCATTGCATCGTCCACATCGATCAGTCCATCGGCACATTCCCAAAACTCGTCCATTCAAGTTGTGCCATCTTCGTACGATGTCATGATCCTGCCTTGTGTCTGATTGTTTTCGGTCCATCAGATCTATGGGTCGTTTGGCCGACATGGCGACCGAAGATGGTGACGTTGACATGGGCGGAGGCCATCACGACGTCTGTTTCAACGCTAAACGAGTAGTTGACATGTCGGAAGCCGTCTACATCGACGTCCCGATGCCGATTGTGACCCTCCTCCACGACAACGACGATGCAGGTTTGAAATACTTCCAGGTCGGTGGCATTTTCGTTTCAGTGCATCGAGTGTTGATGGCAGTTGCGCGCAGGAGCTTTCTGGAACATACATGCAACTCCCACGGGCCGTGCCTCTCGGGAAAGACACCACGAAGCTCAGTATCCACGGGTGCGTTTTCCATCCGCCGCCCTCTTTTTTCATGGTGTGTGGTTGGCAGAAGTCGAGAAGCGTGTGAGCGAGCGATGCACGCTGTCCATTCATTTCTGCTTGAATACTTCCACCAACACAACCACGTGCAGCAACCCACTGCGCAAGTGCCGCTACAACCATCGAGTCAACCAACCTGCCCGCCACAGCTCCCCCACCAGCATCCATACTACACGATGAAATAACAAGTTCGTTTGATGCGATGCCCGTGTCATTTCCAGCTCTTCTTGTACTCGTTTCCGTCGACCACGCCATGCTTCTTGGGCTCTTTTTTCTCCTCGCGCTGCCACCCGACGTTCTTCGGCAACGTCTTGACCTTCTTGTTCGGATCCGACTGGACGCCAAGCCAGTTGGCCATGCGCTTGTCGCGGCGTTCAGCCTGGGACCACTCCTTGTCGTGGAGGTACGCTGCTTTTTCCTACCGCCATCGCACGATTCCCTGTCAGACTCTACCGACGCCCTTCAGCCAAAGCAGTCAAACACGTCACCTTTTCCTTCTCGGCCTCCTCCTGTTCGACTTCGCGACGGCGCTGCTTGAGCTCGCGCGCCTCGACGTTCCGCCGACGGTTTTCGCTGTCCGCAAACGCCTTGAGCACGGCCTTCTCGTTCAGGTCGTTGATGTCGGGCAGTTGGTCGACGCGAAACTTTTTCAGTTTTTGCTTGCGCTCGACCGCCACCGCCTCGATCGCGTTCTCGATCATGCGCATACAAGTCTTTCGACGGTCTTCGTTGGTCATTTGGTCATGCGCTTTTTTGATCTCTAGTACGCGGCGATGAGCGTCGACGGACTCCGTCGAGATAACCAAGCCATCGTCGTACCTTCGAACGCTTCTCGCGCGCGCGGATCGGGGTTTTTATCTGGATGGACCATCGCCGACAGCTAGTAGGGATTCGCGGGTGAGAAGGCGGTGCAGAAGCATCGGAGCACTTGAAGATACCTTTCTATAATGCTGCTTGATCTCTTCGTCTGTCGCGTCCGTGTCGAGCATGAGCACGCGGAAGGGATTCAAATTGATCCATTCAAAGTGCGGCTGCAAGAGCCGAATGATCTGACCCTCCGGCGTTCCTGTGAATAGGAAACGTGAGAGCCATTGCGGCGACGAGAGACTGAAACGAATGACAAGGTCAAGCAGATACATGCAGAAGACATTTTGAGGATGTGATACCGAAGTCCGTACCAAAGTCCACGGGAGGTTTGATGCGCTCGACTGGTTCGGGTTTCTTGACTGTGTTCGCTTGGTCTTCGAGCGCTTCGACTTCGTCCATGAACGACGCCAAGAGCGCTTCTTCGTCGGCCTTTGCTTTCGCCTCAGCCTCGTGTGCCTGTCGAATTGCCTCCTTTTCAGCGTTTTCCTTCTTTAGCTGCAACGAGTATGCTTCGTGCGCGACTTGCACGGCTTCGATGGCTTCTTGCAGCGACGTGTTGCCAGGATCCTTTTCCAGCCCGCGGAAGTACGTTTGCTTGGCCATGTCAAATCGATTCAACGCGTGTTCGGCCGCCCCCTTACGCATGTATCCCTTCCACCAATTCGGTTTGCTTTCGATGCAAGCTTCGGCATCTCGCAGCGCTTTCGTCTTGGAGTCGTTGCTCAAGTGCGCGGCACTGCGGTTGCTCAGGTAAATCGCGTTCGTAGGGTCCAGGTCCAGCGCACACGTGTACAAACGAATCGCTTCGGCGTAGTTCTTCTCCTTCAGGGCCGCATTCCCGTCGTTCTTGAACTGCTCGGCCTGCGCCAGTGCCGCGCGAAGTGCGTCGTCTTCCGTTTGGTCCATGGCGTGTTATGGAGTGTTAGCTTCGAATTTGAATAGGGATATCGAAGTTCGAAGGAAATGTCGAATTTCATACCAGCCAATCAAAACGTGGAATGAATATTCAAAGGTTGCCACCATACAAACATGTCGGGTACGCCAAGCAAATCTGCTCCGGCGCCAGCGGGAGGTCGCGGCAGCGGGCCTCAAGTCAAGGTGGAAGGAGGTGCCACCCGTCTAACGTAAGCGATAGGCATGCTTCCTCGTTTTGCCATATCTCAGACTCTGATGTTCCGCGTAGGTCGCTGCGCTCGACAGACGCGACAGCGTCTGGAGCGGCGCGCAAACCAAAGGTAAACTGGTCGTGGCCCGAGGGACGCAATTCGTTCGTTCAAGCACACGTGTGATAGTTTATTCCGCGAGTTCAAAAACGGTCCCAGCCAGGCGACAGCGAGTCCGCAGCGGCGAAACCTGCAAAGCCAACATTTCAACCGCGAGGGTCGACTTCAGGTGAATTTGGAAGCCGCGGGGAGCGCGGAGATCGTGGTGGGCGCGGTGGACGAGGTGGGCGTGGATTCGATGGCCGAGGTCGTGCAGGAGGCCGCGGTTCCAATCGTAGCGTCAATTTGCCCGCGCCCAAGGTCCGTCCACCAACTGCATCACTGTTCCATGATCAACTCATGCTACATTAGGTTGCATTTGTTGGCTCCATGGCTGCCGGGTCGTCGGTGAGCTCTGGCGGGAACGTTGCCAAGGCGAAGAAGCCACAGTCGACCGAAGTGGGCATTAGTCTGTTGGAAGACGGCATGGAAGCGGTTCAAGTCGAGGAACTTGACGAGCCCACGCAGGTAGGACACTCTCCGCCGCTACGACGGCGCTGCTCTCGCGCCACTGGCAAAACTTCTCTCATTTCCTGGGGAGTAGTGGCCTCCGGTTGTCGAGTCTCCCATGCAACCCATGGAACTACCGTTCGGTCGTCCGCACCGACACAATGGCGATGCTGGAGGCGATGTCTTTTGCGATGACGTACGTTGCCACATGCACGGGTGTATGATCTCACCCGTGCTATCTTCAGACTGGAGCGTTCGTCGCTGCAAACGACACGTTGTTTTTTGTGCAATTGCCCACGACGTTGCCATATGCCTCCCCCGCGGCGGCACCTGCGGATGGCAAGGACGGAGCAACAGAAATCAAGGCGCCGAATCACGGGTATGTTTGGTCCGCCAAGCGTGCACAGGACGAGATGGCGGCTCGCACCATCGACATCCACGTGCCAGTTGAACATACGGCATGTTTGTAGAGCGGACGATCTGTTTGACAAGTCGCTGTTGTCGATGCCTGGGGGGTATTTGGGCAAGGTACGATCGTTTGTACCACGTGCTAGCCACCGCTCGTGCATCGCTGACCTGGCTGTGCATGCCAGATCAACATCCACAAGTCGGGCAAGGCCGTGTTGGTTTTGGGGGACAAGACGTTCGAGTTGGCCGCGGGGCAGCCGCCGGCGTGTTACGAGGAAGTGGTGTCGATCGATGTGAAGGACAAGCTCTTCTCGATGCTCGGGCCCATCGCGACGCACCTCGTGGTCACCCCCGACTTTGAATCATTATTGCAATAATATGAAACCGTCCGTGGAAACCGATTACACGAGTGTAACTGTCGAGGTCGTTTCCCACATAAGTGGATCCGCGGCGAGACGAGGTCACGTTGAGATGGCAGCGCCACCCGGCAGTGGACCGCCGCCTGGTAAGACAATCCCGTGCATCCACATCGCATGCTCGTGATGGAGCAACAGTTCGCTTCATTCGCATATTCTGACGCGACGTGGCTCTGCATGTCCAGGTCTCCCTCCAGCGCGCGGCCCGCCGCCAGGTACGATGCACCACACTCCTTTATCATCCACGTGCAGCGGTTAAGCTCTCTTCAGGTAGTGGATTCGCAGGCACGGCGCCACCCGGTGAGAAATTACAACCTATCAATCGACTAAACCGGTACTCATAGGACTTGGAGGGCCTCCTCCTGTTGGCCGAGGACCACCTCCCGGACCACCGCGAGGGACGGGACCACCCGGAAGCTTTCCAGGAGGAACTCCGCCACCAGGACCACCTGGACGAGGACCGCCTCCGGGAGCCCCACCTGGTCGAGGGCCGCCACCGGGAGCGCCGCCTGGACGAGGACCGCCGCCCGGAGCCCCACCTGGACGAGGACCGCCGCCCGGAGCTCCACCTGGACGAGGTCCTCCACCAGGTGCTCCTCCTGGTCGAGGGCCGCCACCGGGAGCGCCCCCAGGACGAGGTCCACCGCCTGGAGCCCCACCTGGACGAGGACCTCCACCTGGTGCACCCCCTGGAGGCCCTCCGGGCGGACCACCGCGAGGACCTCCGCCTGGTGCACCCCCTGGAGGCCCTCCGGGTGGACCACCGCGAGGTCCACCGCCTGGGGCTCCTCCTGGAGGTGTTCCAGGAGGGCCACCCCGAGGTCCGCCACCAGGTGGCCCGCCGGGAGGACCACCGCGAGGACCACCGTCTGGCGGACCGCCCGGTGCCCCGCCACGAGGCCCCCCTCCAGGTACTTTTGAAGTGCCTGATATTTGCAGTATGTTTGAGTGACCCAAATAGGGATGCCCCCCGGAGGTCCACCCGGCGCTCCCCCACGAGGCCCGCCGCCAGGTTGATTTGGAATGGACCTGGTGCAATGCAGAGATTTACGCGAATTCGTAGGAATGCCACCCGGCGGCCCACCTGGTGGCCCACCCAGAGGTAACTATGCATCTGGTCCAACAAGGCGATTGAGTGAAGATTTGGGCAGGTCCGCCAGGCGCTCCACCTCCTGGAATGCCGCCAGGTACCTACGCTACTCGTTTAAGCTCACGATACAGTGCTGAATTGTCCGCTTGTTACGATGCGCAGGCCGAGGCCCTCCCGGCATGCCCCCTGGTGCGTTATCTATCCTTTGCGGTTCGAAGCCTCACAAATATTCTAATCACAGGCGGCCCCCCACGAGGCCCCCCAGGCATGCCTCCGAGAGGCCCACCAGGTAAACTGCCCCCTTCGTCAAAACCTGAGCTGTGTTGCAGGTGCCCCGCCCCCAGGAATACCGCCCCGTGGACCGCCAGGTAAAGTTCGGTTGATGTGAATATGGCAGGGATGAGTTTCTAACCGTTGTCAAAGGGATGCCTCCTGGCATGATGCCGAGAGGGCCACCAGGAATGCCGCCTCGAGGGCCGCCTGGCATGAGGCCTCCAGGGATGCCCGGAGGTGGTCCACCCGGTGCGTTCACTTGCATGTCCCAAGAGCGGAGGTGTTCATTTCCGTGCTTAGGAGGGGTCCCACCTGGCGCAGTGCCGCGGTTTGGGAAGCTTTCCGTCAAGTTGCTCAAGGGGTTGGAGCTCAAGAGCTTGGGCACGTTGCAAACCGCCGACCCGTATTGTAAGGTCACAGTCGGCACCCAGACCTTCCAGACCAAGGTAAGCAACCTCAAGCGGTGCCGCCATGCGCTGAACGCTGTCGTTCGTGATGGTGCAGGTGCACGAGAAGGGCGGGAAGACCCCAACGTGGAACGAAACGTTTGAGTTTAGCATCTCGACCGAGAAGGAGCTGATCATGGAGGTGTACGACAAGGAGCAAAATGGCAATGACCGGTTCATGGGCCAAACCCGCGTACGACATGGATATCGTGTGTGGGAGCGTCATGGTGGCATGGCAGGTCGACTTGATTGCGTGGATTGCAAAAGGCGGATTCGAAGGCGACATATCCATAAAAGACGAGCAAAACCAAGACGCGGGGAAGGTCGCCGCCGTCGTCAAGTTCACAAAGCCCGTCGTGGGGCCCGCGGGTGCGTCGCGTTCTTCAACGTGGTCATGGCGCACTGGGCGAAAAACATCGCTTGCCCGTAGGTCCCGTCAAAGCGCCCCCGCAAATCATTCCAGGGGCGGTTGCTCCGCCGCAAGGGGCGGGGGCACCCCCCGCCGCCCCCGCAGAGCCTCCTCGCGACCCGAACGGCAAATTCAGCGACAGCGAAATCCTCGAAGTAGGCCCAGCTATCCCCCACCGATTCGACGAGCATGTGCACTGACGCAAACGCCATGGCCCCACTAGGCGTTCAAGGCATTCGACCTGGACCACAACAATTACGTTGGGGCGGCCGAGATTCGCCACGTTCTGATTAACATTGGCGAAAGCCCGACGGACGAAGAAGTCGACGAAATGATCCGCATGGTCGACATCGACGGCGATGGGCAAGTCTCGTTCGATGAATTCTACAAAATGGTCACGGGGGGCAAGGAACCCCCGGCAGGGTTGTTCTCGCCGGCGGCCGGGGACGACCCCGCGGCGACGTCGGCCGTCTCGGGTGCCGCCTCGTCGATCCAACTCCGTAACGAGCGCAAGAACACGCTGGAAGAGTTCTCCCAGGACAACAACATCAAGCCCGAATCGGTCAAGAAAGCTTTCAAGCGGTTCCAAGCCACCGACAAGGATGGGTCGGGCCAAATCGACTACACCGAGTTTTGCGAGATCATGCTGGTGGACCCGTCGCCGCAGTGCGAGAAGCTGTTTGGGCTGTTCGACAACGACAAGGTTGGGCGCATCGACGTGCGCGAGGTACGGTCGTTCGACTTCTCCTGGCCACTCGTTTATGCGCGCGCGACATCCTGTCTAGTTTTTGATTGCGCTGTCCAACTTTTGCGGCGCCGAGAAGGAGGAGAAGCTCAAGTTTGCGTTCATGGTGTTCGATGACGACGGAAACGGCGTCCTGTCCAAGATGGAGCTCATGAAGATCCTCAAGGCCAACCACATGGCATCCAACGAATCCGAGGTGTCCCGAAAAGCCGACACGATCATGTCCCAAGGCGACAAGGACGGCGACGGCGTCATTACGTTCGATGAATTCGCCGTCGTGAGCAAGAAGTTCCCCAACATCCTTTTCCCCGCGTACACGTTGACCCAGCAAGCGGATCCAAAATAAGATGTGACTGTGTGTGCATCTCGTTGTTGTAGTCTCATGAGGTCGTGCATGCCGGCGCAATACGGAGGGAGGCTCTGCGGCGAGCCGTCAAACACTGCCGTCGTCTGTGTCCCGTTGACGAAGTTGCGGCACTAGCTTGTAGCTCGTGGTGGAGACGACAGGAGCTGCTTTGTGGGACTGTCTTTATTTGTGAGCACGTCGGTTGGCTTGTGGACGTTGTCGACTTGGACCTCGATGTCGTGGTGGACTCGTCTCGTGATGTGGCTTGCCAGCATCGTGCGCGGCACAGGGTGGCCAGTTTCACACAACTGAAATGTCTCAACCTCCATAAATTGATACGATTTTCCCTGTGTATGTGAATGTTTCGTTTCAGTGGTGGCATCGACGAAAAGTGCAAACTCGTCATGATGCTGGTCCCAGCCACGCGGATGCGCCTTTGTTTGGGACATGCCGCAGCGGTGATCGCCCCAACGTCTTGGAAAAGCGAGCTCCTAAACTCTCTTCCGACCGTGCAATCGTGCTGCAGGCTTTTCAGCCAGAACGCCCAGGATGGCGGCCTCGTCCGGCTAAGCAAGCTGATGTCCGAACAAGGTGTGTGTGTTTCGGCACTGCATACTGTTTCCACACGAGTGCGATGTGTGATTGCAGGGATTTGTTCACGCCGCGAAGCCGACAGCTACATTCAGAATGGAGGCGTTCGCGTGAATGGCCGCTTCGTACGTTGTCAAACGATGCATGCCCGACCTCAATGTCGTCATTCGAGTGCTTCATGTACAGGTGACGGAACTCGGTACAAAAGTGCATCCGTCGTCGAGGATCGAGCTCACGCGGGACGCAAAACAGCACCTAACTGGAAAAGTCACTGTGATTTTGAACAAACCGCTCAACTGTGTGTCTTCCCAGCCAGAGGATGGCCACGAGCCCGCCATCAAGCTCCTAGTTCCTGCCAACGAGTGCAAGGAGCTCAGCCTTCGCCAGCCAACGAATCTCGAGCCTAAAGTCGCCAAGTACGGTCCTCTGTCTCTGCCGAAGATGGCTGTGTGTGGCCGGTTGGACGTCAACTCGACCGGGCTGTTGCTCTTTACACAAGACGGCGCGCTGGCCAAGCAGATCTTGGACCCGAACGGGAACGTAGAGAAGGAGTACCTCGTTCGAGTGAACTTGGTCTTGGACGAATCCAATCGAGCGACGAAAACCATGGTATGAAGGCCGTTGAACCAGCGTGTCATCTCACACGTGCATGGCGCGCGTGCAGATTCAGCGGCTGCGCGACGGCATCACGATCGACAACGTGTTGTTCCAGGCCAAGTCAGTCGAAGTCATCAACGAAAATCAAATGCGCATCGTGCTCACGGAAGGAAAGCACCGACAGATCCGTCGCATGTGCGAGCAAGTTGGACTCAAAGTCGTCGCCCTCAAACGCGTCCGAATCGGCAACATCAAGCTGCGCAGTCTCCCCATGGGCCAGTGGCGGTACCTTCAGCCGTTTGACAAGTTAATCTAGCTTTCCAGCCATCACGCGCGGCGCTTGCCAGTAGATGGTCAGGAGCGAGTCCCGACTACGCACCGAACATACCGTCGCAGCAGCCATGGGACCAACCGCAGGATGCACCCAAGGGCATCTTGCAACCATCCTTTGGTCGACCGGACGTGGAGCCAACTCGCGAGGATGCCGTCCGCCAGTGCCTTCCAAACGTGCGAACGTGTGGTCCTTTCATGCAAATACAGGCGTCGTGCACCATTCCATTTGGGCGAACTCTTTGAGATTGCTCACTCGACCAAGTCGTTGTTGAAGTAGTAGTCTTCGATGTCCCGCTGCGCCAAATCATTCAAGTCGAAGGAGGCGTTCGCGTCGATCTCGTCGTACTTGACGAACCCGACGTCCATCCCTTGCATGAAGCGCTGGCACATGACGTCCACCAAGTGCGCGCGCCGCTCGTCGATCGTCATCTCGTCTTCGTCCTCGGCGCTCTCGTCGTTGTCCTCTTCATCCGAGGAGTCGACTTCTTCTTCGAATGCGCTTTCGTCGTCTTCATCGGTGACATTGTCTTTGGCAATCCGCTTCCGTCGGAATGAGCTACAATTGGCTCCAGCGAGGACTGGACTACCAGGAGAGGTGGGAAGGGTGGACTCACCTTCCCCACAAATCTTCTTCCTGGGCCTTCCGCTCTTCCAAATCACGCTTCTGAATCGATGCAAGCAAGAACTCGGACAGTTTCTACGATGCACAAGGTGAGAAGAACTCGTCAATGACCGAAAAGTGGGCATGTCACACCGATTGATCGGCCGTCGGGCGTGAGGATTCTGCTTGCGCTGGGAGGTAGTTGCCCAAGAGGAGATGGAAGAGCCCAGGGTTTCGTAGCTCCATGTTTTCATCCGAAAAGTAGTCGGACTTGTGGAGGAGCTCTTGCAACTTCTGGTAACGCCGATTCTTTGTCAGTCTTGCGTTGGGCGGGATTTGGCGACGTGGACGGGGAAGTTCTCGCGGGAATGTCACTGCAAGGTTGCCGGGTGTTTCAATGGTCTTCATGTAGGCGTCGAGGGGGTCGTCGTCGTCATCATCCACGATTCGCATGCTGTGTGTTTCGACCTCCAGGAGCACAGCATCCTCGTCATGATCGTCGATGCGACTTTGAAACTCCATGTTGCGCTCTTTCGCTTTTGCCCTGAGCAATTTTATCCGGGACAGTATCCGGATACGCATCATTTTGGAGGGAAACAACTTGCGCCAGAATTCAAAACGAGGGCAACATGGCCGCCGACACAGCCATGATGATGCCTGCCGCCGTGAAGAAGGCACTGACGTCGTTCGGCCAGCAACTGCGATGTCCTATATGCTTGGAGTCTGTGACGGTGCCCTACTCGTTGCCGTGCAACCACATCTTCTGTGAACCGTGCATTGGAGTCGCTTTGACCTACGCGCCAAAATGTCCGGTTTGTAAAGCGCCAGCGAAGAAGCGCCATTTACGACTCGATGAGTCGATCCAACGTATCCAGAATGCGTTACAAGGGTTGCTCGCGGGAGTTGCTGTGAAAGGAGACGACGACGATGACACTGTCGCGACGAGGAGACAGTCAGATTCGTGCGCGGCCAAGTCGCACGAAAGGTCAGCTCCGTCTCTCCACCAATTTCAAAACCATGCAACACAACCGTCTCGCGCGGAAACCACAAGCATTCGACCTCCGATTCCACCCATTGTCACACCGTTGCGACTTCAGCCCACTCCCATCAAGGGCGACCTTCCTCGCTACAAAGGTCGCATCCTCCAACGTCGCCTCTCTCAAAAAGAAAACGAACCCACAAACATGAGCGAGGTTCCGCCCCAAGCAGACAATCCTGCGTGTCCCAGCGATGATCCAGTGACTCCGACTAAAGCACTGCAGCCGGTCAGATCTCCCAGCTCGAAAGCCGACTTGCACTCGCGGACCTACTCGGACTCGATCGTGCCATGCACACAAGAGAGCTGTTCGACTCTCTTGGACTTGACATCGTCGATCGATGCAACGACTCGTCTGTCGACGGACGAATCGAAGAACGCCGCGCGCCCGACCTCAAATCCTTCTCAACCAGCTCCATTCAAGCCAGGGGACGTCGTGCAGGTGATGGCGCGCACATGGCCTGGCATCAACAAGTTAGGAGGCACGGCGTGGATCTCGACTTTTAATCCAGGTAGTGCCGTCCTCCTTCCCCCAAACGACGTCGTCGTCATCCAACGCTGCAGAGGACTACACGTACAACGTCCGGTATGTTCTCGGCGGCCGAGAAAACCGTGTGCATTCGAAGTACATTTCGATCTTTCAGGACTTGGCGGATGAAGCGATGCCCGTGCGAGGCACCAAGCGAAGGGTGTCGTCACCGCATGCACCGACCTCACCTTTCTCGTCACCGGGTTGTGATGACGAAGACGAGAGAGTCCACTTTGACCACCCCCACAACGCCCCGTCGCGGAAGAAAACGAAAAAACGTACCGACGACAGACGCGCGCCAGACCTGGTTCGGCGGACATTGGATGAACCCATGGTGCTCCTGTGCTCTGGGTTGTCCCACGAAGACAAGCTTGCCGTGGAGGAGTGTGCATCGCACGTGCTGCATGCGACCATCGCGCACGAATGGGTCCCGCAGGTCACCCATATCATCGTGCAATGCCAGCATCTTTCTGCATCGAAACTCAAGCTCATGATGCCACCAAGTCCGTCCGTCCCTGCGGCGACGACCGCCGTGTCGAAACCCATCAAGCGATGGGCCAAGATTCGATCGCTCAAGTTTTTGAAGGCGCTGGTAAGCGGCCGATGGATCGTTGGGCCAGCGTGGATCAAAGGTACAACGTGGCAAGCTGCCTCAATTGGATGCGTCATGCTTCTGCAGATTGCTTGCAGCAACGGAAACACGTCGACGAAGAAGTGTACGAAGTGCATGGCCTCGTGAAGTCGCATCATGTGCTCGACGTGGCGAAGAAAGCACGACTGTTGAGGGAATCCTTCATGGCTGTGCGAGGGGTGAGCTCGACCTGACTTGCACTTGCTGCAACTATTGCCTTTCTTCTCACCGACGACTCGTGCGTAGGGAGAGAGCGCGTCGTCTATCGGCACGGGGCTTTTTTCTCGTTTCATCTGCTACGTACACGGTCAATTCGCATCCCCGCTGCCTCCAAAGGCTGAAATTTGTGCGCTCATTCGCCTTGGCAGCGGCAAAGTGTCCACATCGTGGACCGAGGTGGAGGCAATGGCAGCAAAGGACCCGTCGCTCCCGATCGTCGTCGTCATGGAGCACGCCACGGATGCCGCGTCGTTCGTTCATCCAGCCACGTCTTCAGTCACAGCATCGTCCTCCATCGCTTGCGTCGGCTACGACTGGGTCCTGGACTGCATTAGCGAATGCCGCATCCGTCCCGCTGTGCCGCGATAAATTTGAAGTTGGATTTATAAAACATTTTATTATTATTCTGTGTCGAAAAATCCCCCGTTGGATGGAGAAGTCGTGGGGAGAGGTCGCGAGGGTGCTGGGAGCGTCGCCGCGGCGCGGAGACCGTCGGCAGGACGATGCTCGCATGGAAGCGTACTTGGCGCTCAATGAGCTCGTGGAAGAGCCTGACACAACTTCTCGAATGGATGCTATCACGCGCGTGTTGCCACGCCTCGTGCGTGGGTTTCACATGGACCTCGTCGATCCGTCCGCGGACGTCGTGCCCATGTGTCTTCGTGCGCTATCTTACTTCATGTACCACGAACACATTTCGTCGCTCTTCTCCTTGGAGATGGTGCAGTCGACGATCGATGCAATCATCCACGTCGTGCACAACACCACAGATCAGGTATTCCATCGTGTACCCCATGCTCAATATCCTTCCAAATTCGACAAATGATGGGAGGTTGCGCAGTAGACTGTGTACTTGCTATGCGTGTGGTGCTTAACCAAGCAAAACTTTGACGAGCACACGCATCAGCTCGTCCCGCGCATCGTCGACGTGTTTTGCCTGGCGTGCATGAACGAGTTGCAATCGCAAAAGAGTACGTCCGCTGCACACCGAATGGTCGGACTCATGACAACGTAGTTCACTTGCATGGACTCTTCGGCCTCCACACGATCCTCGTCAAGCATGCCACGGCACTTGTGTCGCGAAATATGGTCACGAAATGGTGTCATGTCGCGGCCAAGGCACTCTGCAGCAGCGACAAAGACACTCGCGACGCGTCGAGAAGAATATTCGACGAATTGTCCATGCTACAGCTCAACGACGGGGCCGCCGATGACGTTGTGGCACGGTGCATAGAGGTACACCAGAGTGCCGGCTTTGCTCTTGTTGAATCGTGGCTGTGATCGTGCAGACGTTCGCGGTGCCTGCGATGCACCAACACATGGTCAGCGATCGGCCGCTGGAAGCCATTCACGTGTGGGGTTTTGTGGTCGTTCTCCTCCGCGCAAAGCTAGCGCACGACGACGACCTGCTCAACGCGACGTTTAAAGTTCCCGAAGTGACTCTGCGTCATCCAGACAGTCGGGTGCGCGTCGCGAGTTTGCAGCACTGGCGCTCGGTCGTTGGCATCTTCCGCACGTCGCCACAAGCTCCGAGCAGCACACCGAACGGTCTCGCCGCCGACACCGTGGCGCTGTGGCTTCTTCGCAACGCCATCGTCGACGTCGTGATGCGGCCCCTGGTCGTGTGTTTCCGGGACGAAGCGCTTGCAACGGTCCTCTCGGCGGCGTGCGACACGTGGCACAACTTGATTGCCGTCGCGGTCGCTGATTTCAATGCGTACTGCCGCGCGGTCGCGCCGCTCACGATCGAGACGTGCAAAATCGTGATGCGAAACTCGTGGAAGCTGTGGTGGGAAGACATGGTCACGCAGGTGCTAGTTGTCCTTGCCCGCAGGATACACCAGACGGGTGACGCCATCTACGTTGTGCTTCGGGATCGCACGCATGGGCTCGTTCGCCGCATGTGGCACGTCGACCAGCACGATGCCGCCGACGCATCCGAAACGTGCGACGACAACGAGCGAGACGATGCGAGCGCCATGGGCAAGAGCATCGAGTCGCTGAGTCTGACCAACTCGCCGCTTCCTCGTGCGATGGTGACGGCCGTCGAAACGCTGGTGTACCAGGAGCAATCGATCGCGATGCTCGTGATGTTCCAAAGCACGGTGCACTGCATCTCGACGCTTCGAAGCATCGATCCAAGCGATGCCAACAGGAGCGTGGTGCTAGCGCTGTGGCACGGCATGGTCCGTCGGCTCGAGACCGCGCTGATGGTGCACGGGCCCATCGTGGGCGAAGCGGCCGAAGTTCGGAAGCTCTTCCGTCGGCTCTTGACCAAGTGTTGTGCATTCATGTTCGGGTGTACGCAATTCCAAGCCAAGTCAGCGGCGTCGCTGCGGGACCCCGAGACTGCCGCGTTGGTCGGGGCGGACGTGGCCTTGCGCCACCGCATGGACCTCCTCGAGCTTGTGGTGGAGAAGCTGGACGTCCGCTGCTTTCAGTACGTCCTCACCGAATCGAGCGGACAACTGCAGCAAGCGCTGGAGCACAAAGCAGCGGCTGTCTTGGAGGAGCTTCGTCGGGCGGCGCATGCAGACGAGGCCAACGGGGGACCGACAAAGGTCGAACAAGGCGACGACGCACTCCAGTGGCTCCGAAACGAATTCGTTTCAGATGGCCGGGTGACCAGTGTGCTGGAGCTCGTGGGGTACACGATGATCTTGGACCTGCTCATGAGCATGCCCCGAGGACGACAGCCATCGCATGCATCCACGGGGTGCATCGTTGCGGTCAACATGCCAGCCTTGGCCATGGCGATGGCGACCATTTTCGACAAATTCTGTGCGTTTGAGATCGTGCCGCCTGCGTCAAGACACGTTTTCACGACCGCGAGCCACGTATTGCAGTCGATGGCGCAGGCACTCGAGAGGCATCCCTACATGGACGACACACTCGGTCGAATGGCGCCAAGCATTGCGTCGTTTGCGAGCGAATTCCGGTCGAAATGGACGGCGTACATGCGTCGTTGCGACGCGCCGATCAAGGCAGACACAGCGGACAGCATGTCGTCCATGGGGAGCTTGCCATCGCCGTGCTTGCTACAAAAACGAGCGAGTGTGGCCAGCGATGGCCACCGAAAACGCCACGTGTCATCCGTTGGCGACCATGAAGGTCGACTGCCCAGCACGACGCCACCGGTGGAGCCACGTCGAAGAAGTGACGCGATTCGACCGGACCTGGTAGAGTGCAAGGAGCCGTTCGCGCTCATCAAGCACCATTTCCCTCCATCGTTTCGCCAACTCGCTGGCTTTTTCAACATCCACACGATCGGCGACTTGTGCGCCAAGACCGAGGCCGACGTCGCGGCCATGTCCCTCCACGACCCCGTCAACACGGTGCACAAAGCGCTCGATGAATTCGTCGGCCGGCGCGAGAGACTCAACACCCTCGCCAACAAAAGCCCCATGAAACGAAAGCTGCCCGTGGCGCCTTTTCGCGCGGCGGCGCCACAAGGCGTCGACCGGCCATCCAGGAGCCCCAAGCGACGACTCAAAAGTACAATCCGCAGTTTAGCGGAAGACGTGATGCTGTCGGACGACGGTCAAACTGCTAGTGCAAAAGTCGCCGACGTCGTCACGTTTTCCGTGCTCGGACCCGACGGAAGCGTTCGAGTCATCCGACCGGGAGAGGACTCGCAGTCGATGGAACTCGATGCGACAAAGGGCTCCCCACCGGAGCGATCTCCGGACGTTCCGCAACCCTGCGACGTCATGGGCTCGGACTCCAAGTTGATCGCGCTCGCGGCCAAGGTCGTGTCCCACCTCGAGCGATGCGATGCATATGTTGAGAAAATCAAGGCACAAATTCTCCTCGGCCGCCGCACGTCGCACCAACCGACCGCTTGCTGGACCATCGACGCGCGCACAACGATCGGCGCGGCGCTGGTGGAGGCCAATGGCATCATGGCGAAAATGGCACGAGATATCGGGACGTTGATGGAGCCGTCGGCGCAGTCCTCTTCGTCGTTCGAGATGAGCGGGGCGAGTTAGACCGAGCACGGTGGCCGTTGAGATGGACGCCAAAGACAAGGTGCGCACCATGGAAGGTGTGCCAAAGGAGGTTGTAGTTAACAGTACATGTGGGATCGACCACCGCGTGAAACTATAGATAAAAGAGCGCTGGCTGCCTCGGTTTAGGCCTTTTGCTCGTGCAGCTTTTCCCATTCGTCGGCACCGTAGATGGCGCCGGCAGAGAGACCAGCCGCGCCAATCGCGTTGACAACACCACGCACTTTGCCACCTACGCGAGCGGTTAGCGCGGTGGGGGCCACTTCAGCTAGTCGACATACGGAGGAGGAGCGTTGGGAGACCGACGATGAAGGCGGCCCCGCCGACGACGACAGCAGGGTACGCCTTGCGGAATGTGTTGAACTTGTTCGCGTCTGTGAACACAAGCGTCAGGATCCATGGTCAGCATGACAGGAGTCTCGACGAACTGTCTTGGACGACCGCCATGGCTTCCTTGACGGGTACGAGGTTCTTTTCCAAGGACGTTTCCGCGTCCTTGACCGTGGTCTATAAACGATCACACGATGAGACTCCGCCATCAAATCCTCCGTGGGAAGATTGGCTACCTCGACAGACACAAGCGTGTTGCTGGCCGCCACTCGAACGTCTGCAATCGACTTGCGCAAGGGAGTTCCTGTCGCCGGTGAGTTGGCATTGCGGATCATTTGCACCACTTCCGTCAAGGGCTGCTTGACCGTAGTCCACACTGCGGTGCCCGCTTTGAAGATGTTGTGGCGGGCGGCCGCGGTCAAGTTGCTCGCGGAGTCCAATTGTTCATGGACAACCGACTTGATCGAGTCTGCGGAGAACGAAACATGCTCCGTCGGGGCAGGCTTGGTAGCTTCTTCAGCGACGTTGTTGCCGGCAGGGCGTTGCATTGTATCGATGTCGTTCGGGGATGCCATCGCCTCTTGGCCTCGGGGAAGCGCTGGTTGCCTCAAAATGACCACACGACTCGTCGACGACGACAGAGGCACGCGAAGAATCCGGATACCGAGGGCACCAATTCGCCGGATAATCAATTCCACGACGTGGGGTATCCGAATGCTCCGATGGAAGAGTTGCCGTTTATCCGGATGGCCTCCAGGGGTTGTTCAAATTGACAACCAGCGACCCGCGCGCCACGGAAAAGATCCGCCGATGTTGCCGACAGCCGCAAGCACCACGGCGTCGTGTATCACGGAGGACGAAAGGGTGTTTGTACCGCAGTCTGTCTATGGAGGCTATGACCCCAACCGGTACAGCGCGCATGTGGCTATTCCCCGACGACGCCGACGTCCCAACCCATCGTCGTGTACCGCGTTCCTCACGCTGACGCCTCGAACAACGCTCCAACTGGTGTGGTTTCAAGTCCTCCATGCCGCGTTTGTTACCGTGGCGTTCGTCGCCGCATGGTTCATCGCAGCTGTGTGTATGTTGCTGGCTACCCTGTCGACGGTGTGCACTCCATCGATGCCGCCCTGGTTGTGCTGGACCATCGTCCTCGTGGCCAACATCGATATTCACCTATACAACTCAATTTCTCGACAAGGCGAGCACATCTTTGTGACGTTGTCCACAGCCCGGGACTTTGGAGCTATGGTCTTGTACTTTGCCTTTGTGAAGCCATTTGTAGCCGTCGTGACCACTGGAGCTCCGCTCTATGCCTTGGTCATGTCCATTCGCTGGACAGTCGCATTGGCAATCACGTCCTTTACGTCGTCAAGCGCCACGGTGGCCCAATTCGCTCCATCGACGTGCTGGCCATTTCTCTACGTTGTCATCCAAGTAGGCTGTGTGTACCTGACGATGTGTTTATGCCAAGCCTTGGCCAAGGGGACGTGCCATGCCACCAGGTATATCTGCTGCGACCATCTCGCCATCTACGGGTACGTGTATGGGATGCCGATACCCATGGCGTGCCGAACGCCGTCCCACATGATGGGAGTGTTTGGGGCTGGCCGCATTGTGTAGCTTCATCCCACGACGTCCAAGTTCAGGCGCTCTCGTCACAAAGACCTTTAAACTCGACGAGCTCATAGTAGCATAGCGTGTGATTTGAATCAAACAACATGCCAGCGAGGCCGGCTTCGCCAAGGACAAACGATGGCTGCGACGTAGGTGTGTGGCACGACGGGTATTTTCGTGCGGCCAGAAGTGACGCAAAGCTTCACGATGTGGGATGGACGCATAATATTAGGTGGGACCGCGCGAGCGGCAGCTGCAACCACACGCGGGCGGACTTGATGGGGCTAGTAACTAACACGCGCGCGACGAGTGAAGACTAAAATGGTGGAGGCTCATGCTGGTGGGTCGAACGAGTTCGATCGGGTCAGCGCCGTAGTCGTCGTACGTTAAGTCGCAGATCGGCATGACGCTGTCGGTGCGAGTATCTCGGACCAAAGATGGCGCTTTTCCTGTAATGGCCGCTCGAAGGTGCCGTAACCAGCTATTCATTTCGTACTCGGTCGCTGCAGACAAAACGATTCGGCGCTGGGGGGTATTCAGGGCGAACCGCCAGATCGTTGCTTGCTTGCCATTCGGCACAGAGTCTTTCGGCATAACTTCGACGCTTTTTTCAGTGCACCCGGCGAGGGACAGGAGGCCCAAGAGCTTTTCGCCGCTGGGGTTGTAGTACTTGAGATACTGCGTGCATAAAACAAAATGACTCGACGTCCATCGCTCCATCCAGCCGATCTTGCCGCGGCGTCGTCGATGGAGCACCCCCGTCGTAATGACCCCTCTCTGCATCCGCGTGATTTCGTACGACATGGTTTGGCGCTCGGGCTCTTCAAGCATTGGTATCACTGCGGAGAAGGACGTTCGTGGCGCGCTTCGCTCGTACAAACTCTGCGTCCCATCATCGACACTTCGAAGGACCTGCATGGTGCTTCTCGCCTTGATCTGCGGCGTCGTGTATCGCTCTTCGTATCCATACGAGGACGACGACATGCTGTCAGACCGAAACGACATGCTTGGAGAGAGCTTCGTGTGGTCGTTCGAGAGAAGGTACATCTGCCTGTCGATTTCCTCAGGAGTACGCATGGTATGGAGGTCTTCGTCCACGGCCGCGGGCGGCGGCAGTCTCGACGCCACCGACGGGAGCATTGGCGGCGAGATTACACACTGAAGCGCTGAAACATTACGTCGAATTTTATTTTCGCCCGATCACTTCAACATTGTATACAGTTTAAATTGAACGGCCCATTAATTTCGGTGTCGGCACACACAGGTGGAATATTTCGCGAGGTGGGACAAATTGTTTCTCCCACTCGGGTGATTTGAAAACCATACCGTTTTCACGAACATCAGGCGAAATTCGAGGATATTGGTGCTTTTTTCACCAATTTCGTCGATGAGAGGGGGAAAAACCAATCTTGTCCAAACCTCGAAACTGCCCCTATCGCGTCGACATGAGAATGCCGTCGCAACATGCATGAGTTGCGTGGCATCAGCGCGACGCGGGGCGACACCTCCGACGTCCTTGTTATTTCTGCATGGCGAAGGACGAGGAGCAGGCACAAATGGACAGGAGTCTGCGAACTCGGTCGATCGCTGAGCTCATACGACGACGTCGCTACATTGTCCAGCAATGCAGCCTCGTACCTCCATGTATTGTTATCGTATTCTACGTCGTCAGCACTCTCATCTACTTGTCAGATTTCTCTGTGTCGTTGCTGTCGGCATCTGACGGCGGTGGCTTTTGGATCGTGACATCGACGCGGTGCCACGCATTGTTGAGTACACCGCGCATGTTCCAGATCGGCCCGATCGAGTCGGGCTGGACGTTGTACGACGAGTCGACTGCCTTGCACACAAGGTTCACGTGGGTCGTGGCATCGTCGATGTCGACGTCCAGCGTCCAGGGAGTCCATGCCCATGCGCGATTGTACTTCTGGCGCATCCCCATCGGATCGAGCGTCGCTTCTCGCCACGTCTGGCCACCGTCGAGCGACACATCCACGCGGATGATGTTGCGTCCGCCGCCGCTCCACGCATACCTAGTTGCACACGCACCCATGAGTTAACTACTAGTCTGTGGCATCATGTGGGTAGCTGACCCCTTGATCGTCATGACGTCCACCTCCTCCGAGCCCTCTGGAGGCCACACCCCCGACGGCTTGGGCTCCGTGATGGCCGATTGCACAGGCAGCTCTTGAATGCTCGGACCGGCGAACGCGCCAAAGTCTGGCGTCGAGTAATCCACCATGGGCGAGAACCCCCGGTAGTCCTTTTGCTGCCAGAAACCCTGGTACTCTTCGTGGGCGAGTACGACGCGGCCAAGGAACTTGACGTTGCGCGCTCCGACTGTGCCGGGCACAATCGCACGAAGCGGGAAGCCGTGGTCGCGCGGGATAGGTTCCTACAAGCACAGGCACGCGTTGAATCGAAGCCGTCGAGCTGGCTCGTTTTAAAACAACTCTCGCTTTGGTAAAGACCACGTACGCCATTCATGCTGTACGCCAGCAGCACATCCTTGCGCGGGTCCAAGGCGGTCGATATCGGGATGGACGCGCCATAGCACTGGCCCGTCGGGTCTTTATCCAGCCCTTCCAAATGACAATGCTCGATGGTCGTCGGGCAGTCCGCCGTGGAGCGACCGTTGGGGTCGAGAGGGAGGTTGGAGCAGGTAGGGCACGCGGTCGGGAAGGCGCGGCAGTGCTGGGCTTCCGACACCCCGACATACGCCAGCACATCCGAGAGCAACACGCCAGTCCACGTCGCGGTCGAGACGGCTGTGGTGTCCCTATGCCATCCATGAAAACCATCCAGCACACGGTCCGGGAAGACATTTGTCGTACCAGCTCAGCCCTTTCACAGGCTTGATGGCGGACATTTCGGCGCGACGGTTCCCCGCGCATTGAATCGTCGTCACGATGGTGTGCTGCTTGAAGTTGTTCTTGAGCTCGTCCAGCGTGAACGACACCGTGTTGGGTTGGTCGGGGTTGCCTACAGGTACAACCATACCGGTCAGGCATCGCGCGGGTCGACGATGGAGCGCCGATTCCAGTTACCCGATCGAATCCCGAGGCCGGAGATGTCCAACTTGAACGTAGACGGATCGATGTCGGGCACGGGAAGATGGTTGCGCACAAAAAAGAGATCGTTGGGCGTGATGAACGACTCTGTGAGGAGCTCTGCGGGAGGTTCGGCGTTGAAAGGTTGACTCGCGTTAATCTTGAACAGTGGGTTGCGCTCGGGGTCGTTTGCATACGGCCCGTCGCCAAACTTCTTCAGTTGCTCTTCCTCGAGAGCTTTGACATCGTCCTGGTCCAAGTTTCCGACCCGCAGACCTTCGAGAATCGCGTGCACGTCGGTGTGGTTGTGAGCAGCGTAAATTTGCCAGAACGGCTCGATGGACTTCCCCGCGGCAAGGAGGATTTTCGTTCCGCCGGGATGCTTGCCGATGAACTTGGACACATCATACACGCCGTTCTTGTACACGACCCACACCCCGCCGTCGCGGATGCTCGCATGCGACGCCACTTCGGCGAGTTTGTACGTAGGCAGTTCTGGTTTGAATGCACCGGGCACGATAGTTTCGAGTTCGTCCATGCCTTCCTTCAGTGGTAGGTCCGCTGCAGCATGCATTCCTTCCATATGGGCTGCGGATAACGAAACCAAAGCCGCACCGAGTCCAAGCGCGGCCATTGCCACAGTCACACGACGGGATGACGTGCGCCAGTCGTGCTTGTCCAGACAGGATGCAACAGCGGCTTTTTGACTGTGAAGATGACGGCATGCCATTGTTGGCAGCGAAGTGCGCGCGACCTTTGTGGCGTGGCCATCCGGCAACGCGCGGCAGGCAGCCGCCGCTAGACGCACGTTCTTGATGCGCCACATGAATTCACGAAATGGGTGCGCAGACGGTGGGAGGGATAAAAAAATATTTTCGTGTTTTTTACATGTTGAACGCATGTAATACAATAATCATGGCTGTATATACGGATACGATATCCGGTCATCCATGGAACTTTGTCATCGTCACGGAGGCACACGCCGCTTCGCGTAGGCGGCGTGATGGAAGACCTGGAGGAAGAGCCCTCTCTTCACGCCAACGAGAATGGAATGATCAACCTGAGTCATGGCACATGGGCGCGGCTGGACGACGTGATCTGGTCTCAAGGAGATCGCCTCTTGCACCTGAACGTGGAGGCCAACCAGTTGGTGGAACTTCCGCCGGCAGTCGGCAACCTCGCGCTCCTGCGGATCCTGAATGTCGCGCACAACAAGATCAAGACGATCCCGGAGGAGATTGGGCAATGTGCGCAGCTCCTTGAGCTCAATGCGCAACACAACTTTATCAAAGCTGTGCCACGAGGTGATGATGACGTCCTAGTCGGTCCGTCCCATGCCGTCGTCCGTAGGCATCCAAGGCTGTGTCAGGATAGAAAAGCTCATTCTGAGCTACAACAACCTCAAGACTCTCCCAAAGGAAATGCACAAGCTGCAAGATATGCACACGATTGATGTCCGCTTCAATCAGCTCACCTCGCTTCCCCATACGCTCAGCGAATGCCCCATGCTCACCACGCTCGCGTGCGAAGGCAACTCCGAGTTGGCCCAAATCCCAGAATCCCTACGCGACAATTCACGGCTTGTGCTGTGGATCCTGCAGCGCCTTCGCGGTATGTTGTTTGACCGTCGACGTGCGCTCGTGTCATGCCGGCCGGTGCGCGTAGAGCATGCCGCCGAGATCAAATACATTACCGACATCAACAACAACTTGGAGGAAGCCGCACGGCTCGCAGACGAAGAGAAACTCAAGCTCAAGGACGAGATCCTCCGGCTAGAGCGCGACAAGCAGGTGCTGTGGGACGAGCGCCCCGTGCATTACTTGAAATTGAAGCGCCACATCAAGCATGCCGCGGCCACGACCATGAAAACCACGAGCGAAGTGTGTGCTGTCATGTAGCGCACGAGACCGCCGAGTTTGTTGCGTCGAGAAGCAAGCCGTGGGCCGGGCACAGCATCTCGTTGACTGGTTTTACACGCATCATCATCCACACTAGTCTACTTCTGTCGATGCCGCTCTCCCGTTTTCAACCACCGCCCACGACGCCGCAGAACCGACCGACAGCTCCGTGGGTGTTCGCACAGGTCGGTGCTAGGGCCCGCTGTCGCCATGCCGTCGCCATTCCTCCCGTGCTCGGCGACGCAGCGGCAGTCAACAATCGTCCCGTGGTGGCCGTGATGCCTGCAAATGCACGGTTCGCACACGGTAATCTTAACGCCCACTGCGGTAGCCACGGCCGCCAGCCCGGCCGCCTCGCGTCGCTGCCTGGGGCCCAACGCCAACGATCGACGTCTTCTTCATCTCGAGGAACGATTCCAGCGTCCCCCACGTCGCCCCGCGCCCTGTCGGGTTGGCCACAATGTACGAGCTCGTGTTGTTGGGTTCGCGGTGGCGCGTCGGTTTGATGTAATGCCGACTCGTGTGGTTGGACTGAAGCGATGCGCTTGTCGGTGGCGGCGACAGTGCGCCGTCTTCGTCTTCGTAGTTCATTTCATCGCGCTCGACGTTGAGGAGGACGAGGCGCTTGAGCTCCGACTGTTCCTTCTTGCCCGCGTCTTCCTGGCGCTGGCTGTGCTGCGCCAGCGACGTCGCTTGCGGCACGAGGATCTCCCGCGCCTCGAGCTTGCCCTTGTTCCCGCGCTTCAACACGCGAAACACCATCGACGCCGCCGTCGGTTCGTCCGCGACGTGGTGGGTTGTCTTGACGACTGTCGGGATCGCCATCTTGTCTGCATTCACGCGGGGAATGTGCTTGCGCGACTCGACGCTGCTTTGCATCATCGCCTTGAACGCCTTGTCGAACTCGTCGTCTTCTTCGATCTTGGCGTCGTGCTTGACGATAATATGTTCCTCCTCTTCAACATCGTCTTCGTCGTCTTCGTCGTCGTCCTCGTCTTCATCTTCGTCGTCTTCCTCGTCCTCATCTTCGCTAGACGTGGCGCCGCCGCCGGCGCGCTCATTGTCATCGCTGGACGAATTGTCATCGTCGTCGTTGTCGCCGGCATCGTCGTCGTCGTCGTATTCTTCCGGGATGGGGAGGACTGTTGTCGACGCGGCGCTGCTGCCAGGGATCGACGCCGCCTTGGCCTTGGCGACGCGCTTTTCGGCTTGCTGGAGCTCGACGGCCCAAATCGCATGCGCTGCCGCATCCACTTGTTCCCACGAGTCGTACCGCGCGACTTTGTCTGGGGGCACATCCACACCAAGTCAAGCGACGACCGTTCGTTGTTGCACAAACAGGACGAATACCTTTGGTCGAGAGCAAATCAAACGTGTCGAGCACGACAAACTCTGTTTCGAGCGGCACGTCTGCCTTGGCCAGCAAGTATCGCTGAAAAAACACGAGAAATCGATCGAGCTTGCGCTTGGTGATGCCCCGATCAAAGCTCGCCCCGCACGTCTCGAGCAGCGCACAGATCAGCCGCACTCGAAACACGTTGCGGTCGCTGTCGACATCGGACGGCACGCGCGGGTCAAACCTACGCCAGAACGTCATCGGGTGGTGGCGCATCATCATGCGACGATCGTACTTCATGTCGGGCACAAGCGCCATGCGTCGAACGAACTCGTCCGGGAGCGTCGCCGCCGCCATGTCGTGCGAGTGGTTTAGGAACCCGTACAAGATGTCAAACACAACGACCGACGTGACTAGCTGGTGGTTGTACAGCTCGCCCAGGAGCTTGACCAAGCCCAGGTTGCGCTGGTGGTACTTGTAATGGTTGAGCGTCAAGTGCAACTGAATCGCTTCGATCACAGTGTCGACAATGTACACACTCAGTTCCTCGTGATATCTACGACGACGCCCGCATGACGAGACTGCATCCTCCATGCGACTGCATCCTCCACGTACCGGGATAAGCCCGCCACAACGTCGCAGACGGCCGCCATGTGAAGGACTTGCGCCGTTGTGACTTTGAGCACCGCTTTGATGAACCATCGAGTTGTGTCGGCATGATCCCAGTCAAACTTGCGGCAGATGCGAACGACTTTGCCGACGCTCTCGGGCGTGAGCTCCGAGTAGAGCAAGTGGAGCATGAAGAGGTAGATCGGGTCGCGTGGGGCTTTGACGCGGGCGACGACTTCGGGGGGCTTGCACATGTAGAACGCGTTCTGGACGAGCGTGTCGGCGAGCGGGTCGAGGTGTTTGGCGGCCTTGAGGCGCATCATGATGTCGAGGCACTGCGCCGTGCGAACGTGGGTGTACTTGGAGCAGTAGAGAAACCTAGCATCGGTCATCGTCGTCGTCGTTTGTGTGTGCGATCGCGCACGTACCGGCCACACGTTTCGAGAAACGTGGTTGCAATCACAACGTTGTGGCCCTGAAAATCGCTAAAGCACCGGCGGAGGCATCGAAACCCGACCATCGGCGGCGCCACTTTGAACTTGGTCAGTTCCGCAAGAAAGCGAATGTTCTTGACCTTGGATTCGAGTCGATACTGGTTCTTTTTCTTTTGAAAGTAGTTGAATTCGTGGACGAGCAAATCGACGAGCGCGCCGCCAACGTCCTCTTTCAGGACCCTCGCCAGCGCCGCCAGGAGCCGACTGTAGTACGGAAGCAGCTCCAAATGTGTCCGAGGGACGCTATACAACGTGTTGACGAGCCTGCCACACACACACGATGCTTCAGTGCCCATGCCTGCTCATCTCGCTCCTGGTCACTACAACGTACCTCGTTCGCGCCGCCTTGGTGTTGCGGTAACAAAAGTCGACGGCTGCCTTGTCGCACCGATCGCGATTCACCATGTCTTCCAACGAAGCGAAGAACGCATCCATTTGGTGATGGTATGACGTGGTTTGGGCGGCGCTTGCAGTTGCTTTGTCGTCATCAGTGTCGAGAACGGTGTCGTTGGGCGCCGCTGGGGCCTCCGAATCGGCCGCCCCACTGTCGGCATCGTCTCCAACGAGTGGCGGCGCCAGGTCGTCGATTGCGCCGTCATCGTCGTGTGCTGCTGCTGCCGCCGCTTCGGCCTCGGCCTCGGCGGAACTCGCCTCTTTCTTCATCTTGAGCTCTGCCACTTCGGTCTCCGTTAAGCCGAGGACGACCGCCGGCACGAGCTCCAGCAGGTCGGGCAAGTCCTCATAGAACGAACGAGTGTCTTCGTCGTCGAACGGGCCATCCGCATGAAGTTCCGCGCGGCCTTCGCCGCCGTCCCACAAAAGGAGCTGCGCCAGTCGCGCGTCGTCCGAGTTGTCCACGGGCAGCGCCGGCATGGGCCGTTGCAGTGCCTCCGACAGCGTCGTGATGCTACCCGTGAGCTTTTCACAGAGAAGAGTCGCGGCCGCCAAGTCCGCAACATGCTCCTCGCTCAACTCGCCGCGGTTCACTTCCTCCTTCATGTTTCGCTTCTCGAGTTTGCGAACAGTCTGGTGCTGGTTCACGTACATCGTTGCAATCATGTCGAAGGCCTGGTCGAACAACGCGCGAAGCTGCGCCTGGATGACCGCGGGAACCGTGATGGACGCGCCGCAGAGGCCGCGGGACCCTCCATCCGCGGAGGTAGACTCGGTCGACACCGTGCCCAAGAAATCCGGACCAGCGTACTTGGCAAAACTCACAAGTAATGGGACATCGAGCGGCGGTTGCTTGCTACTTTGAGATGACGATTGCTTCTTGGAAGGCTTCGCATGGAGCTCTTCACGCGTGACGACGGTGTGAAGAATGTTATGGATGACCGATGCGTCCGTCAGCACGCCCACAAAGAACAGCTCGGTGAGGATGCGCAGAGTAACCAGACGGCGCTTCAGTTGACGTTGCTTGGCGGCAACATCCACGGGGGTGCCAGGTGGAGCGACAGCAGGTGGAGCGAACGCCGCAGCGCAGTACGACTGCACGAGCGGTTCCGTGATGTCTGTCACTCCGTATCGTTGGTGCAGCGCACTGATGAGATGGACATGAGATGACACTTCGCTTGGCTTTAACGCGCCTGCAGCCTCCACGAGAGATACCACACACTCGCTGAGGTACCGCGTCAAGTTGAGCTCGCTGACATCTTTCAAGCACGCTTGCAGATTCGAGTCACCAAGAACCTTGAGCTTCTTCACCAACGCGCTGGACTTCTTCAGGTCGCTCTTGAGCTTTACCTTCCCAGTCGAGATGGCTTTTTGCATCTCCGCGCACGCTTCGCGGCTATTTTGTTGCCGAAGAGTCTCGCGCAAGGAATCTTGCATGTTGCTTCGATGGCTGGTGTTTCGATTGCCGAAGGCGGTGAATTTTATTTCGTTTGGCAAAATTCCATACAAAACACGCATGAATGTACAATATTTTAAAAGCGACCAAACATCGGCCCTTTCAGCTGGAATTTGGTCGGCACGGAGGCGGGCGGCACGATTGCTCACGATACGTGGGGGTGAAGGCATCTCATAGGAGCTCGGCAACGAGAGTGCGCTCATTGATAGTGTTGGCATGCAGCCACCTGACGTCGTATGCGCCAAACGACCGACCGAGCTCCACTTGCACGTCGCAGACGGCTTGCTGCACAGCGGTCTCTGTCGGACGTCGTCCGAGTTTCAACGTGAGGATCACCTTAGCACGGGCCGTGAGGAAGGGCAAGACGGAGCGAATCAACTTGGCCATCGAGCGGGGACGGACGTTGATGTCACACACGCACAAGTCGAACAGCTCCATCTCGCTTAACTGAGGAAGCGCTGCTTCGACCAACATGTTGAGATGGATAATGGACACGCCGTCCACGGGAATGGTGAGCATGCCAGGATCCACGGCCACCACGCACGACGCACCATTTCGTGACAGGAACGATGTCCAGCCACCCTACGGTAGTCAGCACACACGATCAGCGAGCATCCCCATCACGGCGCCGCCGTCGTCGTTACCGGTGAGGCGCCGATGTCGATTGCACGAAAACCATCCTGAGGTGGAAGCAGCTGCATTGAGCCACCGCGGCAAGCTTCTTGGAGTTTGAAGTACGCTCGACAGGGGATTGCTTCGACAACCGTGGAGCCCGCTTCCGATGGCGTTGGTGGGGCTTTCGAGACCACTGCCAACACGCCAAAGTAGAAATATGGCGCCGCTCGTGGTGCGGCCACCACATGCAGTTCATGCGTGTGTTTCGTCGGGTGGGTGGCATACCCGTGTTCGTGCAGCAGGTCGACGAGTTTGGTTTGGAGGTGGTTTGGATAGGCCACGACGCGAAAGACACTAGTGCGTTGAAGAGGGAGAAGGTCATGGCTGTGAGGCATCCACGATGGATCGAGGCACACGCTTGTGATGATGTACAGGCGATGGGCGGCGATCCGACCGCCGCCGCACATGTGTTCGACACGTGCCTGGGACTGCAATCCGTCGCATTGGACAAAGAGCAGTGGATTGTCCACTAAGACGACGCGGGTGCCGCCGCCGCTGGCAACTCCATCCTTGTCCAATTTCGATCGGAAGCGCTCGACTTGCGTAGCTTCCACATGCACGACGACCAACGGCTTGTCCCGTTGGAATGCGTGCATGGGTTGATGAGGGCGAAGGAAATTTGGCAATTTTTTAAAACGTTTTCACCTATTTTTCAGATATATTTCACAGGAGGTTTGATCAAAAAAGTGAGCAAAGTCGATTTTCTTGCAACACTTTCTAACACGGCGGCATGGAGGAAGCATGGACCGCCTCTGGCGTGGGAATGCGGGCGGTGCGCCCGACCAGACTCGGCGCTGGACGTTGTCATTTGAATAAGAACGATTGCCGTGGTCATGCTGCGCCATAAGCGAGTGCGGCTGAGTGCGCGTGACAAACAACGAAGACTTCCGAGGTGCGGATAGTGCGGACGTGGCGATTCTACGTCTTACTTCGAATTGGCTTTCGAACCTCGTCGTGGACGGTCATGCGTCGCTGGAGCTCGTCGCTGCATGCTTTGGCGCGGCACTCGAGCAGCGCTTCCAGCACGGCGACCTTTGCCTTGCCGTCGCGCTCGACCCGTGACCGACATATCAACTACAGTGGGTGTGATTAGAACGGAATGTGTCCAACAAGCGATGGCATCGTACGTCGATTTCTTCATCACGCTCTCGTCGCATGGCTGTCATGTGCGCGGCTAGAGCTTTCTCCAACCCGGCACACTTCTCTTCGAGATGACCGACCTATACTCCCAGCCGTGAGCTCACCATACACATGCATCAGTCCACGGTGCATCCATGACCATCGCCGCGTGCTTGAGCTTTTCATCTGCCAAGTCGTGTTGCAGTCGGGCCGTGTGGTCGCAGCGCATATTCTGGACCCGCTTGAGCTCTGCGCTGAGTTCGTGGAGCCTGGCCTCGTACGTGTCCTTCATCGTTTTCATTTCTTTCGCCAACGCGGCGGCAAACGAATCGCTTTCGATGGCATTGTCTGGTTGATGGAGCTTCTCGGCCACCGCCACGGCCCGCTGGCCCGCCGCAATCGCGTCTGAAAAGGGCGATTGCTTTAGGTTCGCTGGTCGCTTCGATGTAGACGGCGGAAGCCGCGCCGTTGCTGGCGCGTCGGTCATCTCGTCCAGCCTAGCCTTCATGTGAAGGAGCTGCCAGTCAGCGTCGTCGCACTTCTCTTGGACACGTTGCCACTGGGTTTGTGCGTGCGCCCACCCTTCCCGAGGCATCGTCGCAGAGTCGTGGGGGGTTTTCGCCAGCAACTCGAGCTGCAACTTGAGCCGGTCGTTCAAGCATTGCACGACTTGTTGCAGCAACTGCTTTTCCTCCATCATGGTCTGCGTGGCCATGTCCAGGTCGAGCTGTTGCTTTTGGACCATTCGTCTTTCCATGCCGAGGCGCTCGTTCAGCCGGGTTTCGTGCTGGAGGCGGCTCTCGCTACACCGAAGTCAAGTGAGGCCGTGAGCCCCAAGACCAGCAAACGTACGTCGCAGCCATCTCCATGAGCTGGCACTCTTCCTTCGCCTTGTGGAGCTGCCGCTCCAAGTCGGCCAGCGCACCACGCGCTATGCTGAGTTGGTGGCCCAAATCCACGTTGCTCGCTTCGAGCACCCGCACGGCAAGCTCGAGCTGCGCCTTGTCCTGATCGTGGGCCGCCGACGTCCGGCGTTCCAACTCGATCTTTTCCTGCCGTAAGCGCTGGACTTGATCGCTCAACGCTTGTACCTTTGCGACCAGCTCGTCATTGTGTTGATGCAGCTGCCGGATTTCCGCGTCCCAGTCCCGTTTGGACAACGATGGCTTTGTTTGGAGCGCTTCCCGGAGCTCGTCTGTGAGCCGAGCGATTGCATCCGATGCCCTCTTTTCTCGAGCTTCGTACGCCTCCTGGTCGATCTCGCGCTGGCGCTTCCGTTCCGCCAGGCACAGATTTGCCGTCTCGAGCTCGTCCGACACTGACTTGGCTTGGTCCACGACATGCTTGACGCGATCGCGCTCGGTTTGAAGCTCGAGGTGGAATTGTTCCCGCTCAGCGTCCAGCTTGGCGCGTGCCTGGGCGAGGGCGTGCTCCAGAGCGGCAATCTGCTGCAGCCACGTCGTTTCCATGTCATGGCGCAGGGAAATTTTTGTTTCAGACACGGCCAGTTTGAGCTGAAGGTTGGCTGCGTCGAGGTCGTGCACGTGGCGTTGGGCATTTTCTAGCTCCTTGGAGCTGGCGTCGAGTCGGGCGGTCCACTCGTTGGTCATCGTGTGGCTGCGAGCCTTTTCTGCCTCGAGGGCGTCCTGGACCCGCTGGAGCTGATCGACCGTGACGGTGATTTGACGCTGCGCCGCAACCCGTTCGGTCTCCCATGCCTTCCTCTCGGCATCGAAAGCTTCGCTTTGCGTTGTCAACGCCCGCGCATGCAACGACTCGACGGTGTGCAGCTGCATCTGCTGCGATTGCTCGACCTCCGCCAGCCGCGTTTCCCACGCATGTTGAAGTTGACAAAGATTTTGCCGCGCCGCGTCGGCGGCCTGGTCCAGCTGCGTCTTTGCTGCCGCTTGGACCTCGTTGATCTTACTCTTGACGTCTTGGCGCGCCGTGCACAGCTGCGCTTGGGCGGCCGCCAAGTCGCTTTCCAACATCACAAGTCGCACGGACCCTTGCTCCAGCTACAACGCGCAGGCAACGACGACAGCCGTGAGTTAGCCGACGATGCGTGCGCTCTTGGTAACCTGCGCTCGAAGCGACTGCACAGTGGCGGCGAACGTTTGGAGCTGCACGTCGTTCTGCGCTATCGTGTGCCGCAACTCGGCACACGCGGCCTGCTCTCGTTCCAGCTGGTCGAGGTCGTGAGCCATCCATCTTGGACTGCGAACATGTACCTCGTTTGTGGTTTGGAGCTGCGCTTCTGCAGCCACGGCACGTTCGCGGGTGAGCGCTGCGTGTGCAGACTGGAGGTCTGCATATTGCGCTTCGATCAAGGCACATTGTTGTTCCAGCGCTGCCGCTCGCTCGGCCAGACCTTTGTTCTTCTCCATCACGGCGTCATGGTCGACCGGGGAAGTTGCATCATGCAGCGATCCTCGTCTTCGAAGCACCTCCGATCGCAAACGTGCCCACGTCTCGGACGATGTCGGCCGCCCTCGGATCTACATCAACGAACGGAAACGTCGACGAAGTTCTGGTTGTGTGAGTACCTTGTCCAGCTCGTCCTTGAACAGCACAATGTCGTCGTGTGCGTCGGCGAGTTGGCGGTGCACGTCGTCCAATTGGGCTTGGACGCATGCTTTCTCGGCCTTTTCCGCCACGCACTTGTGTTTGAGGCGCTGACTCAGCGTCAGCCATGTGATTCGACGCCGCACGCACCTCGGCTCGGCGCGACAGACACAGAAAGTTGGACAAGTAAACTGTGCCGGCGTCGTCGCCGCCAAAGGCTTCAACTGGACGACACTCGAGCACGCTGTCGTCCGGGAGCGTGTTGGCGATGAGCGTCATTAAGCTATCTGACAGCATTTGCTCGAGCATGCGTTTTGCGTGGTCAAGAGCCTGCCGGTCGCTTGTATTTAGATGATTGCATCGCGCGAACGTCGCCCTAACGTCGGGGGGCAGTGGCGCGGACTCGTGGCGGCGGGCGGCGACGCTCGGCGTGGAAGGCAGAGGTGCGTTGGAGGGGGCCGATGCAGTGGAAGAAGCCTCCGACTGAGCCAACAGGGTATGGATCGTCTTGATGTCGTCCTTCAGTCGGTCGATGTAGCGCAAGTCATCGGGTCGTCCGCTAGACAAGTCCATGTCGGAGGAACTGGTCTCCGGTCGCTCTGTCCGGAGGGTGGTGCATGCTACATATCGTGATAACTCTATGCCAGAGCTAGTCGAAGACGTTTACGTGATGCATGGGGTTGGTTGGCATCGTTGTTGTTGCAGGAGCTGTGCGCGGTCAGAGGGGGCGGCTTGGTTGGAGCTGCGGTGCGCGGGCGCAGTTTCACCGGAGGCACTGCTTCTACTGCGACGCACGTCAAGAGTGCCACCACCAGTGCAGTTGCAAGCACCTCGGTGAATCGACGTGTCGGGGTCTGCCAAGACGACCTCGTGGTCGTCCGTTCGGTGATGGGACTTGGATTTGGCCGCCACCATGTACGTCAAACGGGTTGATTTGACGGCGGAGGCGGTGCTAGGGCGCACTTTATGCACGACCGCCACCATATTGTTCGGAAGCGCGTCGCGAGAAGTGGCCATGTCACCTTGCGGGGAGGATGCCTTCGGTGGTGTGTCGGTGCTGCGGTCTCCATGTGAGGCAGGGCAGTCGCCGTTGCACGCTGGTAGGCCGTACTGTTTGGAATCCATGCCAGTGGCCGCGGTGGGGGTCGATGGCCGTCGAAGGAGGTCGTTCGAATCGTTCGGCTTTGTTGGATGGAACCCCACGTGACGGGAGGGCGCTGTGGAAGGTGCGTTGTGTTTCGACGGTTTGCTGGTGGACGAGGCATGAGTTCCGACAACGACGCCGTGCGAGCAGGTCGTACCATGATGCAGGGTACAGGAAAGCGACGTGCGGTGGCGGGACAGCTGATGGCTTCCGTGCCGGGCGCCCATACTGCTCCATTGCCGCTTTTGTTGGCCGATGCGGCAGTTTGCCAGCGTGGTGTAACCGTTCGGGTCGTAGCAGATGGGAGTTACACGAAACTCGGACGACAACACCGCGTGCTTTCTCGCCGCTTCCCACGTGCCCACCGTCCCGCTTCTTGCTCTTTCATGCCACGGCGATGTTTCGAACGGACGTAGGTCGGCATCCCAGTCGAGACGTCTACACGTCCTGCTGCCGTCGACTGTCCCGTATCATCCGATCCTGCACGCATGTATCGAGAGGGTTTCCGGCAGTGTCCGCTCACGTTGCCGCATGGCCGCCAAGAGGATGCGCGCGCGCAATTCCAATGCACATTTCAAATTCCCACCAAGCAAGCATGCCAACGAACGGCGCCGGCACTTGTCACACCAACATCGTGCCGTCCCCCTTGGCCGTGCGAGACGATCGACTTTGTCGTGGGGAGACTCCGTGTGCAGGTCATGCGGGACCGTCCTCTTGGAGGGAAAGTGGTTGTGGCGACCGACAGTTCTTGACAGAGACCGTCATGGCAACGCGGAAGCGCTCATGGGATGGACAGGCAGCGACGTAAATCTCGTCGAATACCGGCCAGGGAAAAGGAATGAAGCAAACCAACACTTGTTGCGGCGGCATCCGCCGACGACGCAGCTGCCCTCGTCACTAGAATCTGTACAAAGATGGGACGGTGGTGCAGACGTGGAAAACCAAGACCCGCTGTACGTCGAAGAACTCCCATGACGAGCGATCATTTCCTTGGACGAGCCCCACGACGCACTGCCGAAGTTGTGTGCCAGGAGTCGGCGGCAATGCTTGCACACCAGTGTTTGGATGTCCGTTCCTTCAATCCTGCGCCGCCACTCTTCCCTCTCGCATGGAGCTGACGACGAGGTCCGTTGGTAGATGGTGTAGTCTGCATGCGTGAGGGAGTGCGCGCGATTCGTCGTTGGCTCGCCCACTTGGCCATGACACTTCCCTGTCGAGACAAGATCGAGAATTCATCGCAGCCGGCTGTCGACGAGACCAAAGGAAAAAAGTTTTCATTCTACTCTTAGCTTCCAAGCCATCAACTAAACTGCGAGCGACACGAGCGCGGCGATCGTAAAGGCAAACGTCAGGTACAAAAAGATCGTCGCAAAAAGCACCGAGCTGACAACCGGCAGCCCGTACGGCGTCATGGCGGCCAGGTCCGACTGGAACGCGCGCTGGTTGTACTTGATGCTAATCACTTGGAACCAGCTTGGAATGATGAGACCGAGCGCAAACCCAAAAAACCCGGCAAACGTAAAGATCGCGTCCAGTTTCTTGAACAACGTGGCGAGGATGAGCGGCGGGATGGCGGCAATCAAGCGCGACAGGTTGCGCGCGCGCGTCGCACCCAACGGCGCCGTCCACGCCTTGGGCAGCGACGTCAAGAGGTTGCCGCCGACCGTGAGCCCGACCATGGGATACGTGGACGTGACGTTTACGACAGGAAACATGAGGACCACGATGTGCACGATGGACCCGATCCAGGACGGCGACCCCGACGGACACTGCGACCACCCGTTGCCGCACCCAGTGAAATCGCTCCACATCAGACTGGCGAGGGGGTTGACTTGGTCGAACGCGATGGCACCAAGGATGCCCAAGAGCAGATAAAAGACCCCCGAAATCGTCATCGCGCCAAACGTGATCATGCGGGCTTTCGACTTGACCGACGTGTGCAGCGGCTGCATCGCGTCGGGCATGTTGTACTGGCAGTTGAGCGCGAGCAACGTCGGCCCAAATCCGACACTAAAGTTGCGCCAGTTAAATGCCCATGCGTCGCGAGCGGCGAGGCGGGCGGAAATCACGTCGATGCCTTCGTGCGACAGCTTGATGAGCAGCGTGACGAGCATCAAGAACAGCGCGACGATGCGGTAGACGGACAAGAACTTTTGGATCGTGGCTTGGTCCCCGAGATCCATCAGGACCATTGTAATCGCAATCACGGAAAAGACAAGCATGCTGATGTAGTACATGTTGACGCAACTTGCAGTCGCATCGACAGCATACGCATCGCATGAGTCGTTCCAGACGTACGTGAACACCATGGACGCAATCGAGGATGCAAAGATCGACGCGTAGGACCAGAGCGATCCAAGGCAGTACAGCACGAGCACCGACTGCACAACGCTGTAGCCCATGCTGCCGGCGAAAATGTCCCCAATCACGCTGAAATCGATCTTGCGGTACGTGAGGCGGTTGTCCGGCAACGTACCCTTTGTGTTGGACACGACGCCCTCGGCGCGCGCCATCGTTTCCAGAGTATAATTCATCGTGATGAGAGCTCCCACAAAGCCCAGAACCAAAAAGAACGACGTGAGACCCAAGCCGGCCGAAGCAAACGCGTACGGGAGGCCAAAGCATCCCGTGCCAATCATGTAGTTCAACGTCATGGCCAGTGCGACCATGGTGCCGTACGGACGAACGCTCATGGCGGCGGCGTCGAGAGGGTCCAGGGGCGGGTGGTCCGCCGATCGGCTGCGCTGCTTCACCAGAGGCGCTTCCATCGGGTGCGCGTCTGCCAGCTTGAACAAAAATGACCGATCGACACGATCGCGTGAATGTACCTCGTAAGTGCGGAATGGCGTCGCATAAACGAGGCCACATACACTTGTTTCTAGTATACGTGCCCTCGAATGATAGCACGCGTACTTAATGCAGTTCCCGTTGAAGCCCGGACTTAGAGGGAAGTTTCCACGGGGTTTCCTTGAACCGGGGAAGACGGGCACGAAGTGGTGGGCGAGTGCCGAAGATGCTCCTGCGGGGAATAACGCTGGCCTTGCGCGACGAAGGCCGGCGTGGCTCAGCTGCACGATACTGTGCGTGGTGAGGGAGGCGGCCCCATCCAGACCTTTCTATGTACCCGAGGCGTAGATGGATGGTGGCGCTCGACGCACTACACCCTTCCTACACTGTACACACATCAGATCACCGCGGTCTCTCGCGTGGATGGGAAGAGAAGCGTCAGCACAAAGCGCTGTGGGTAATGCTTCTAGCCACGACAGTCGATGGCACTTTCCACGAGCTGCGCCACTGGATGCTGCATCGCGTTGGGGCAATGCAGGCGTCGGTGCTCGTGTAGCGGCGGCGGCGGGCAGGGACATGCGCAACGTGGAACCAGCGCAGAGCAAACATTGCTGGGATGGACGATGGGGTGTCGGCGCTTTTGATTCTTTTGGGGGGTGGCAGCGATGTGCGAGCAGTGGTGGCCCCAGTCGCTGAAGAGTGCATTCGATTGCCTTTACCAACCGCTCCATTCTAGATGCCTTGTTCCAGAGCCAAACGAGGCCGTCGGTCGAGTTTTTTGTGTACGTGGGACGTTGGTCCATTACGGTCAATGGGCATGCTGATCGCGCTGTGTCTCGGCAGCGTGCAACGCGCAGCCGCCACAGAGTGGCGTTCTGGGCTGACCAAGTTGCATAGTTTGACTGCTTCAGAGACAAGTGGATGAGCGCTTCGTCACAGCGTCAGAAACCAAAGGTGGAAATAACGAGTTCGAACGCCTCGGCGACGAGGAGGACGGTGGTGGGGACCTGGCGCAGCCCTGCCGAAGTCACGGACGACGCGCCAGTAGGCTGATTTTCCAACTGAACCAACCACCGTACAAGGAGGTCCTGTGCCATGATGCAACGATAATGTCGGGAGCAATCGTGCCCAGTCGCGGCGGCAGGCTCGAAATTGACCCGCATGTCCACGAGCACTTCATCGTTGATTCAGTACATGCAGCTGCGTCGATATCACACGATAGCGCGATCATGACGAGCTTCCGGACGTCGAATGGGGCCTTGCCGCCGAATGCACAACAAGACAAACGAAGCGGCATGGTCTGGCCTCGCAAACGCACGGTGTAGGCTGCAGGACGGTCGCCCGATCGCATGGACGACGATCCATGCGCGAGTATCTCCAAGCAGAGATGTGATTTTGCAACGACGCTTTGCTTCGATTGTCTGGGGATGGAGGAGTCGTCTCGACAACACCAACACTGGATGCATGACGACCAAAAGCCAACGTTGCCGCCCACATGGACGTCTGCGCCGCACGAAGCCGACACACATGCGCTCGACGAATCATCTGTGGCAATGCAGTTGGGTCATGCGGCCAAGGTCGTCCGCTCTTGCGTTGGGGTCGCCAGCAATCAAATGAATCCGACGCGACAAGCAAAGGGGAGAGCAACCAAACGTATTCGATCTCCTCCGTGTGACGAAGATCCTTGTTACATGGAATGAGGCCGAACGAAACGACAAGAGCCTGCCCAAGGAGTTTCTCTTCAACTGAATCAAACCAACTAGCGGGCGAACGCGCCGTCGAGTTCCTACAAGTGTGGTATGTGGTCGTTGGCCATGCGTTCCGTCTCGGGGCGTCATACGCACAGCATCGACAAAGTCATGGTCTAGCCCATGAGAGAGGACTGACTTGCATGGATGGAATGCGCTGTCCCAGACGAGGACGTCCACATTGTGTCGCCAGGCATGTCTTGGCCTGCGCTGCTAGTTCACTGGTCGCGGTTCCGTCGTGATGTGTGTGGAGCAGTCTACTGCAGAGTAGCATAACGACGTTGAAGATGGTTGTGCTGGAGCAGGTCAGTAGTCGAAGGAAGTGCGTTGAAAAGCAAGTTGTCCAAGCGATGGAGCCTGCGCCTCGACAATTGCGTCGCATCCCATGGACCTTCACGGTCCACACACACGCCGATGCCATACTTGGCGCATTCATCGGCAACACGAAATGCCCTCAAGGCCCTCGGCAATCGACGATGACATGGGCATGGGTTGCTCGACGACGATGCGGTCTCGGTGATCTAGTCGAATGCAGGGAGTGCCAGTGCGTTGGTGGTTGTCCGAGAGACAGCTCCCCATGGCTTCAGCCGCGTTGCATTTGCATTGTGGTTCATGCCCACATCGTTGAGGTTGCCAACTCCATCGTCGATGGAGGGATCGACATGGGCACATTTTTAGCATTTTTCACTTGAATTCATAAAGGAGATGAAAACAAACACGACATTCTGATTGGATGATGGTTGGTAGAATTCGTTTTGATTGGTCAAAATATGATTCCACGAAAAAACACCGCACGTGAGTGTTCCACAAAGTCGGGCCGCGATCGACCGCGGCGGCTCGGCATGCTTGCGTCCACGTCGGCTAGCTGGTGCTGAGTGTGTGGCCGATAACATGAGCTGTTGCCAGGTCCTAGCTGCATTCCTGTCACTCTTGTCACGATCTCAAATTCGAACCACCAAGCACGGCAAGTGCTGATCACGCGGCCCTTGCAATCATAGTGCGGACGTTGTTATCGATACGAACGTTTACGTGTTTTACATGGCGGATTGCTTGAATTGCTGTAGCATTTGGCGCTTGCACCGCCATGTCTCGGCCTTTGTTTTGGCGAGCTCGTCGTGCAGCATCGTGACCTCTTGGCGGAGTTGCGCTGCCTCGCGGCTACCATCGCCCACAACGTGGTTCCCTCCCCTCCACCTTGCAAACGCTCGCATGACTTTGGTTCGCTACAGCACAATTCTTGAGATGGTGCCGTTTCATGAGCGTGACTTACCGCTCGCAAGTGCATGACATGGCGAAGCCGCTCGACGGCGACGATGCGGCTTAGCACCGAACTGTGAATCGACTGCCAGTGATGCAACTTCGTGTAGAGGTACCATCCTTGAAATCGTCGTCGAGCCGCTTGATGGCGCCGCTGCGCGAGCAGGGTGGCGATGCTGTGGCAACTGATCCGTTTTCGGGCATGGACGACGCCCCCGTGAACACTCCACCGCATCCAAGCCACGTGAAGCCGCGTTCGGGTCATGGAAATGCGAATGAGTCCCATCTTCTTGAGTGCATCCATGCGCCTAGTTCGAAGTGCATCTAGCTTCAATCGCACGATTGTGTCCGCATCCACCACATCCTCCCTTGGCGTTGACGGAGCAGTTGCGGCAGGCACGACCACCCTCTGGTGGATGCGCGTCGACTCGATGCTGTGCTTCATCTCGAGTCGGACGCTCGACCTGCTCGTGAGTGAGAACAACGCTTGCTTCGGACTGTATCAGGTGGACTTACTTGTCGGCTTCCATAGCTGCCTCGACCTCCTTCATACGACGGCTTTCCTCGTGACGCCATTCCGTCAGCTGAATCTCGTGATTCAGTCGAAGTTTGTCGATGGCGGCGGCGTGCTCGAGCGCGAGTCGCCGCATCGCGACGTCTAATGCTGCTGCGTGGCGCTCTTCCTGCTGCGCGAGGAGTAGGCGCGTTCTTTGATTGAGCAGCTCAAAGTCATGCTTTGCCTTCTGGATCCACTCCACCTCGACGTGGTCCTCGCCATTGGCGGCAACTTTCGTCGCCAACTCGCTGATTTTGAATACGGCTTGCTGCCGGCCGCGCTCGACTTCGTCTACCATGTCTTGGAGTCGACGGACGTGTTGGCGCAGTAGATTTACTTCCTTGGACTCGACCGATTCAGGATGAACTTGCACGGACGACGCCTCGTGCAGGCGCTCGGTTAATGCTGTCGCGTGCGCGCGTAACCGTGCCTCCCTTGCATAAGATTGAGTGAGCTCAGCAGCCAGCGCTTTATTCTCAAGCTCGAGAGCGTGCGCACGTGCATCGTTGGAGCCTTCGACCCCAGGGAGGTCAACTTGGACCGTCGAAGGAGCGTCGGGTGCAACCTTGACGACAGTCGACGACAAACCTTGACTGTTTGCAATGCCTCGTTTGACGCACAGCACGGATAGGTTCTCCGATGCCGTTGAATCAACCTCCAACTCGGCCAGGTCTTTTGGCGGCATCGCGACGTCGCTCGAGTCGTCTACGCGGCTGGCCATGGTCATTCACGGGTGAAGCGTCGCCAAGATATTGCAACGTTCTGCTCTTAACTTAATGCACTCTGAATATTATGAATGAATATAATTTCAGTTTCGTTAGAAGGTGTAGGTGATTGCTTTTTGTTAGCGTCCATCGGGCTTCTAGGTAACTGAACGGCAGGATGGAGGTGACGATGGCGATGTTCATGTCGCCGGTGGGGCAAGCTCTCGCGTTCGCATCCGTCGCGGGGTATCTCACGTATCATTACGTGGGTGATGTCGCCAACTGGACCGGTCAAGACGTACTCTTCGTGGTTGCTGTAGCCGCCGTCGTCCTCATGCATCGATATCGTGTCAAAGCCTATATTGAGCACGACCCGAAGCAGCGCATCTTGGACGACGTGGTGCCAGGTACGATGCGCGAGTCGCTGCGGCGGCAATATGTCATGTGTGTCCTTGTGTAGCGTATTCGCTGGAGGACGTCGAGTACGTCCAGGGTTCCCCCGTACACTTGGGCGAATCCCGCGTTGTTGCCGTTCTCTTCTTTGTCAGCGCATCTGGTCTCGACAGGTTCGCCTCATCTTGCAACGTCTTGTAGGCTACGTGGTGCAAGGGGTCCCGCGCTGCCTTGAACGAGTTTGAAAAGGTGTGCAGCACATACGGCCGTGACGGTGGGGTCGTCGTTGTTTCTGATGGATCTCACGGTGCTGCAGTCGCCTTCGTTGCCGTGACGCAAGAGTCCAAGGAAGAGTTGGCGGCGTACGAAGTCCACGGCCGACGTGCAACCAACTTCAAACCCTTGAGCGACTTTAGCTTTGCCATTGGGACGGAAAACGGCACGCTGACCAAGGAGTACGCTGACGTGACGTTGAATCCGTCGTGACGCTTGGTGGTTCGTAGGTACCAACTCAAGCACAAGATCAACACACTGCCCCATGTGTACTTGATCGGTCGCGATGACTCGATCTTTTGGCACGGCCATCCCGTCGGCCACTTCGACGTACGTATGTTGGTGATCTGTTCATCGTCGCATGACGCGACGGCTCGTAGGACGCCACGCGGCGCACCCTGGCGTACGATTTCTCCGCCGCATCAAATAAGATAGAATGAAATCGTTTCGCAGAGAAGCGAGACATGGCGGGAAGCGCCACGTGCTTGAAACGGACGGCGGCGCGCATGGGTAGCCACGAGCCAAATTTTCGACCGTGTGTGCACATCGACACCATCGAATGCAGGAGCATCACTCGGTGGCATGTTTTTGGGCAAGCGTAGGGTGAATCGTAGTAGGTTATGGCGCTGCTCCACGCTGCCGTCGAGTGGTGTTGGCGCGGCGGTGGACACGGGGGCGCCGCCACGTCAATTCACGGGACCGTGAGATTGGGGACGCGTTGCAGCCGCCGTCATGTTTGGTGGAACCAGAACGAGTTTTTGGTGGGCACGAGGTGGTGTGGCGAAGCAGAGGCCGTTTCGACGACAGAATCGTGGCACAAAGATTTTGGAACGAGACGATCTGTGTGGAATCGATCGAATCCATTAACTGTTACATGAGACTGAGTCGGTCGCAAGCCGTTTCCAAAGCAATCTGGCGCAGCACCTTTGGCACAAACACCAACGGGGGACAGCGCATGGCACTGTTGAATTTGCGATGGCACGCCCCGCACCCTCTGGACGCACGCTTGCCGCGCATGCCCCGGCAGCGTACGGCAGCGAGAACGAGGCATGCACCGTCATGTTTGCCAAGCCAATGCAGCCCCCCGTGCGTCATCGCCCGGGCTCCCCTTGGAAGCGTGGAGTCGCCTTGTTGTGTGGCATGGCGTTGGCCGGTGCTGCCATTGCCGGAACGTCAGGCACGACCAAGATGACGCCTGCGCTTGCGCGAGCTCAAATGTTCACCCACAACGCGTTGTTTGGTACGTTTTGAACACCGCCCCATGCGAAATGAACTCGGCCCTTGTGTCGTGTAGGCAGTGACGCGATGAATGCAACGTCGGTGGTCGCGCCGCCAGAATCGACCGCTGAGGTTGACACCCCCGAGCCAACGACGGCGGTCATCGCGGCAAGCACCCCCGTCCTTTCGACTGAAATGGCCAAGATTCCGCCCCCTTTGTTGACCCCAGCGGATGGTCATGATGGCGGCGCCGCGGCGGAATCCACAACGACAACGACACTGCCCCCAACTGGCACGCCACCCCCTCTCCAAGACTCGACTGTCGAGGCTACGACCATTATTCAAACGGACCCATCTACAGAGACGCCTGCTACAATTGCCGCTGTAGTGACTGCACCAAACGCGGAAGAAGGTCAAACAACGCAAAGGCCGATGCCGGACACCCCTGCAACGACCACTCGTCTAACCACGACCGTCGTCGAACCGAATCTGAACTCGCCATTCCCAGCAACCGAGATCCCCATGACCGCACCAGCGACGCCCATGACAACTGCGCCGACGCAAGTGTCGACGGAGCCATCGACAAACGCGCCAACTTGGACGGCGACAAGCGATATACCTGCACCCCCCACGGAAGGCGCCTCCGCTACGCCTTCACCTGCGATCACTGTGGCCGAACCTGCGCTTGAACCAACAACGGAGGCCCCCGTGCTCACTCAAACCACCGCCGTACTAACACGTGAACCGCTGTCACCAGCAATCGCTGGCCCGTCTGCGCCGACCGCTGGAGATGGAACGACCTCTTCTCCACCTCCCTCAGAGCCGACGGACGAGTCGACAACCCAGCCAGTCGTTGAAACGACAGCTCGTCCCACCACGACCATACCGACCGCCCCCGAGCCAACACCTTCACCAACTGAACCAACCACAAGTAGCCCTGTGACACGCTCGGAAAGTCCGTCGACCAAGCCATCGCAGATCGAGGCGGCACCTACATCCACCTCCGAACCCCCTGCATCCACCCCAGAGCAAACGGCTGAAGAACCAGAGGCGGCTCCAGCGTCAACCGTCGCAACTTCCCAGCCTTTGATTGAAACAACAATTGCACCCTTCCCAGTTCCGACGATCTCTCTACCGACGACTGGTCTTACACCAGAGCCAACGACGACAAGTCGTTCGTCGACGCAAGTTGCACCCCACTTTACAAATGCACCGACGGCGGAATCCGTGGCTCCAACAAGATCCGCTACATCCGAGGTAGCGAGTGCGACGACATCGGTAGCTCCACCTGCACCCACGGCCGACCCTATAACTGAGAGTCCTGCTCCAATCTCAGTGCCAACCCCACCAGAACAACCCACAACGACTACACCTCAACCAACTCCATCCATAGCCACTCCTGAACCCACAACAGAAGTCCCAACACCAATTGGGGCTACACTTGACCCCACGACTACAAGGAGAACGCCAACCTCAACACTTGAGCCAGCCACGGAGACTACTGCACCTGCCTCCGAACCAACAGCAGAGCCTGTTATCCCTGCAACTATCTCAACTCTTGCTACACCTCGTCCGACGGCGGAAATACCTGAGCCAACACCAGCGCCAATAGTAACTACATTTGAGCCAACGGCAGAAGCACAAATGCCAACTACAACGCCAGCCGCAACTACAACGGAGCCAACCGCAACTCCTGCTCAACTCCCAACCTCAGCTACACCCGAACCAACCACGGAAACCCCAGTCTCAACCGCACCGCTTGCTCAACTCCCAGCCTCAGCTACACCCGAACCAACCACGGAAACTCCATTCTCAACCACATCGCTTGCTCAACTCCCAGCCTCAGCTACACCCGAACCAACCACGGAAACTCCAGTCTCAACCGCGGCTGTTGATCACCTCCCAGCCTTAGCTACACACGCACCAACGATAGAAGTACCGGCTCCAATTGCAGCCCCTACGGTGACGGTTAACCTCATCACGGAAACACCAGTGGCAACTCCAGCGCCCACCGTAGCAACACCCGAACCAACTGTCACAACACCCAAGCCAACGATGCACGTTCGAGAACTTACTCCATCCCCAACGATGACTTCGTCTGGGGCAACAATGGCGACCACTGAAAGACCAACTACATCTGCCATACCACCCGAACCGGCGACGTCCTCTACTGTGCCAACGGTTTTGCCACCTTCTCCACCGACCGCCGCGCCCACAACAACACTAAGCCTGGTACCGCCGACGATTTCATCTGCCGCTGATTTTGTTGCCTTGATGGAGTCGATGGACACGGACGAGAACGGCTATGTCGACTTGGGAGAGGTCGTGGAGTACTACCGAGTGGAGAAAGAGACCAAGATTGCCCAAATCCGGCAGGCAGCGGACGAAGCCGTTGCCGCCGTCGACACGACATATGCTCGCGTCTTCGAGTGCGTCACACAAGGCTATAATGCGGTGCGTGGAATTCGCAAGATGCACATCCTCTGCGCCGCCACCGGCACTCACGTTGTTTCGTTTGGTTGTGCAGGTGGTCAAGTCGTCCCAAATCACGTCGGCAGCCGAGCTCGAGCGCGTCCTGCAGTGGGCGAACGCAGAGTGCACGATTGACACCGACGTTTACACACGCCAAGACGTTGTGCAAATCGTCTTTAACATCACGCGGTCCCAGCAGTACCTCTCGTGCACCGAAGCCATGCTGGACAAGGTAGGCCAGCGTTGACATTGAGATTCGTCACATGCCCATCACGTCCGTCGACTTGTAGTTCCCTGCTGGCTACAAGTTTTCGAAGAAAGACGTGGACAGCATTGCGGCGGCCGTCCAAGCGACGTGCTTTGCCACGACGACCGAGCCGACCCCGGCTCCAACGCGACCATCTCCGACAACGACGGAGATCCTGACGTATGCCAAGGCGGTGCTGGAGGTGCTCCAGAACGAAACAGAGCCCGTATCGCCTGGCCAGCTGCACGCTTTCGTGAAGGCGCACGCTGGCGTGATGCAGATGAAGATTACCAAAGTCTGGTACAACTCGGATCGCGACCGGCAGCTCGCGTTGGAGTTTGTCACGAAATTTTACACCCGCGTCGAGAAATGCCTGGACGCCGCCGTGGTTGTGGTACGAAGCCGATTGTCGCCAGCCCTTCCATCGAATGTCATTCGCTGTCGTCATTCGTAGTTTGGCGAGAATGGAACGATTCCCGTCGCGACGCTGCCGTCGGTGTACGTGTGGGCGAACGGAATATGCGTCAGCGATTCGAGTCAGGACTTTATTGCGGCCGATCTCAACAAGAACAACGTTGTGGACGAGTTCGAGATCGACCAAGTGGTTGCCACGGCTCGCAACCACCAGCTCGGTCAGCTCCAGAACAAGTCGTACGCCACGTCGAGAGCGTTCCTGCAAGCGTTCTTTTCCATCCGAGAAACGTACGACCGGACGTTGGAGTGCGCGCACGATGGCGTTACGCAGGTAGATCTCACGTGAAAGGAATCGAGTGGCATATCATGGCTGGTCGGGATCGCTAGATTGGGAATGCGGTCGACCGCACGCTGACCCGGGAAGAATTTTACGGCTACGAAGCGTGGATGGCCCGGCATTGCTCGAACGTCGCCCCAGACATCTCGTTGCATGGAGTTCCGAACGACGTCCCGATGAACTTGACCGAAGCGCATGTTGCCATGGGCCAACTCCAGGCCAAAGACCTCGAGGTCGCGCTTCAGGCCGGCACTGGTGCACTCCACACGCAGTACATTCAAGACCACTACGGGCTCCTTCGGACGTGTTTTGACGCATCCTTTGATCCGGTATACCCATGGGATCCTCAAACGAAATGCCGTGCACATCGTTCACTGACGTGGTGGCAATTTTAGACGGGGCGCACGCCTTACAGCACGATCTTGAATCGCACGCGGCTCTGCCTCGAAAACGCCGTGCCGTCCACGATGCCGATTCAAGTGATCTTGTCGCGAGCGGACTTTCACGCGTTGCTGGAGAAGCTGTTTGAGCCAGAGCTTACTCAACTCGACATCGAAATTGCAAAACAAGAGGCTATCGTGGAGACCCTTCGCGCCAAGAAAGCTGCTCTCGAGGCCTGCATCCGTCGAGCGGTTGATGTCGTTGCGACTGCGTCGCCTGCGCTCCGACATGCAGATCTAGAAAAGGCCGAAAGCTACACCAACGAATGCGTCACCGCGACTCCGCCGCAGTAGGCATCGTCGCCACACTCGTGTTTCGTAGTTGTTTGTGATGGACTATGCATTGTACGTTTTCTTGATGAGCCGTGTTTGGACCATGGTAGTCCAGCCCTTTCCTTTGACAAAACGCAATGGCTCGACGAGCCTTTGGTGCTGTGGTTCACCCAGAGCTCAAATGTGCCGTTGTGTGGGTCTGCCACCCTGCGTAAATGTGCCCGCAGCAGCGCTCGAGTTCGTTCGATCACATCGTGTGGAAGAGAGATGCATGGCGTGGTGTAGTTCGCATTATTACGTCAGCTCCTTCTGGCGCAGTTCTTCGTCGTGTTTTGCCTTGAGCGCACGGATCTGGGACAAGTGCAAGTTGCGGAGAACGGCAAGCGACTTTTGAACGTCGGCCATTGCAGCCGAGTTGTTGGCGACGCGGTGCTCGGCGTGCTTGTTCTGTAGCGCCTGAATCTCCTTGAATTGGTCTTGCATCAGGCGGTGCATGTGAAAAGATTGTTCGAGCTTGAGTTGGCTTGACGCAGGCAGCTTCATCTGCGTCGACATGGCGCCATCGGCGGACACGAGCGACTCGAGCGGCACGTGGTGCAGAGTGTTGTCAAACATCACGCCATACAGAAACTGGCCTTTTGCCGCAGGGACCGACACGACTGTGCCCTACAGCGACAGCTTTGAGAGCGAGATGGTGAGGTCGAGTACCTTACGGCCGCCCAAGTGGCCCAAGCCATACGCCGTCAATTTCTCGGTGTGCTAGGTCGAACATGATGTTGTACCTAATGGAATCGCTAAAGCCTTACATGCACAACGACGTCGCTTCCAACAGCTAAGATGCTCGGAGTGTCGCCGACGGGTTTGAGCTGCACGGGTTGAGGCGACGGCTGGGGCGTTGGGTTGGGTTTCACGAGTTTCGGAGCAAGTTGCTTGCTCATTGTGTCGTGCATGGGTAAGATATTTGGCTGCACCTTTGTAGGCACCACGGTCGTCTGTCCAGGTATGGGGGGTTTCAGCGCGGCTGAATGCATCTGCTCACGACGACGTGTTCATTGGGCGTTTGGACATCCAGGACACCGTACCGACATTGCTGACGGCATCAAACCAGAGTTCGACATGCTGTGATATGACGAGAACGACAACTGCGTTCGTTTCGACCGGTTCAACACGGCTTCGTAGCCGTCCGTTTGAATCAACGTGCGCCGCTTCCGTGCATACGATCTAAGGACAATGCACGCGAATGGGATGACATGCATTCGTAGCGATGCGAATCAAACCGTAGTTGCTCGATGGTAGAGTTGAAGCTCAAGCAGTCCGAGATGCTCTCGTAATACTGTGCCACCGACGCCGGCTCGTACTCCTTGCGCTTGGCCTCCATCGCGGCTGCGACTGCCGTGCCACAACAAATCTCCGGATATCACGGTCGATGTAGTATTACTAGTAGTAACGAGGCGAAGGCCGAGGTATCCGGATGGAGGGGCAAGTGACTAGAGGAGGTCATCGTTTGCTAGTCACCGCCCCCCACGATAACGCGACTGGAGATGGAAGGTACGAAGCTTGTGGGGATCATCGGAGATGAAGACACCGTGACTGGGTTCATCCTGGCCGGCGTGGGGCATCGCTCTCCCGAAGGAACCAACTTTCTTGTCGTCAAGCAGAGTACGTTGAACGCACGATCCCGTCCTGCTCACATCTGAATTGTCTGAAGATACGCCCGTCTCGGTGATTGAGGACGCATTCAAGCGACTCTCGACTCGCGACGACATTGCCATTATCTTGATCAACCAACATGTAAGTCGTCACTGTCGTGGATTTGATCGATCTAGCGACGCCACTTTGTCCCTCACCTTCGTCGTACCAGATCGCCGAAGAAATTCGCCACCTTTTGAACTCATACGAAAAGACGATCCCGACCATCTTGGAAATCCCGAGCAAGGACATGCCGTACGATCCTGCAAAAGACTACATCATGAAGCGCGTCAACATGATGCTCGGAGAAGGGCAATAGTGTATCGGAAGCATACCCACCATGTATTGAATGCTATGCTTTGCGCATCTTGTGTCGCGCACGGTGTCGATTCCGTCCCCCGCATGGTGTGGTTTCGCTTGCTCCAACGGCATGCGCTTGGACGGCGCGAGGAATCACTCGTCTTTACAAGCAGTAGGAGGCGGTATATTAGATCATCGTCCACATTGCATGCAAACTTAAAATATAAATGAATGCAAAACTAAGCTGGGAAGCAGCGCCACGAGAGGAATCGCTGCTTCGGCACAGTGCTGCCTACATTTACTTTCGCTTTTGGAGGGTGGCCGAGAGCCAGTCCAAACCTTCGTACAACCCGTCACCGGTCGTGGCACAGCACGCTTGGATAAACCATTGGCGGTGGCGAAGACCGTGCAAGCCCAACTTGTCGGTCATTTCCGCAGCACTCATGGCGTTGGGCAAATCTTGCTTGTTGGCAAACACGAGCAAGATCGAGTCTCGGAGTTCGTCTTCGTTCAACATGCGGTGCAATTCGTCACGAGCCGCGTCGACACGATCTCTGTCGTTCGAGTCGACCACGAAGATCAGGCCTTGTGTGTTTTGGTAATAGTGGCGCCACAACGGACGAATCTTGTCTTGTCCACCGACGTCCCACACTGTGAAGCTGATGTTCTTGTACTCGACCGTCTCGACGTTGAACCCAATCGTGGGGATGGTCGTCACGACTTCGCCCAACTTGAGTTTGTACAGGATGGTGGTTTTACCGGCGGCATCGAGTCCGACCATGAGAATACGCATCTCTTTCTTGCCAAAGAGGCGTTCAAACACGCGCGAGAATGCCATACCCATGATGGCCCAACGTTCTTTTGGCTGATCGGCTGACTGGAAAAAGAAAACTGAACGTGTGGAAACCCCCGGTCGCTTTTTTACCCGGTCGCTATAAAATCACTTGCTTAAAGTATACAATATTATTCCAAGGTTGGCCAGGGGGACCAATCACCGCGCAGTATTCCCGAATCCGCAAATCAAATCACGACAGCACATGGGTATACTTCGCTCGTCGAAAAATGAGGCGCCGGCCGTTTCGACGGAAGTTGAGGCTGGAAACGGGCCATGGGACGGTTCTCGCGTCGAAGAACTTGGGCCCGTGGGTACGTTTCAGAACGATCTAGGTCGATTGAGATCTCCATGGAGCGGTTGGGCAACCACCGCCACGCAGAGTGGAGGACGCCGAGACGGTGTTGGCCGGATCGGCCGCGCCGTGTACTTAGTGAGAACAACTTGACTATGGACGGCAAGCATGTGGCAGCCGACAGCACGAAAGGACTGGAGCACATGGACACATGCAAACACGATGTATAGCGTCATGCATCACGTCTGGAACTCCTACATATCCCAGTCCCAGTTGTCGCCACCCTTTGGCTTGGATGCGAGTTTGGACGCGCCGAGAGGTTCCTTCTTGGCCCTCTCAACTCTTCGTTCTTGGATAGTTTTGCGCACGGGCGGCTCGACAACGACAGGAGCAGGTGTTGCCAACGAAGTCGTGGTCGGTTTTGGTTTTGCCACTCCACCCAAACGCATGCCCGACACTGGTCGAGAGAGAGGTGCGGTGGCCGGTTGAGGAGACGTGGTGCCCCATTCATCAAAGAACGACGACTCCGCGGGGGTCTTTTGGGTTGAAAGCCCCATGGATAATGACGGTGTGGGTTGTTTCGCCGTTGGCAACCCCAGGGAAAGCGACGCAAACGACCCCGTATTTGGTTGTGTCATCGACGAAGCGATGCTGGGAGGGCTTGCGAGAGCATCCAAATCGTCATTCCCCCATCCATCCTCATCAAAATCATCGATGGCGTCATCAGCGGCATTGAACAGACCCGTGCTGCGAGGGACACTGGCAGTGGCGGGCAGAGCGGCCGGCTTGGTTTCTGTCGTTGCAGAAGTGACGGGGGGACCGTCGGAGACTTTGGCGAGTCGCTCCTTTTCCTGCTCGTCGTCTTTGGCTTTCATGCGGGCTGCCTCGTCTCGGATCTTGGCCATGTACTGTGTCATCGATGCCATCGCCTTGTGTTGTTCATGTCAGTTTTGCCACGTCTAATCAAGTTCACCTCATCGCGAACGCTCGGAGACACGTCGAGCATGAGAGGCGAGATGGACGGAATGATCGTCGACGCAATTTCTTGATGGGTAAAGTGCTCCTACGATATACACGTGAGATGCCGACGACTTTGAAAGAGCTCACGTCGCAAGCCACGAGCGTCCGCAAACCGGCCATTCGAGCATGCGGGAATGGATCCTTGAGGGCCCGGCAGAACGCTGGAAGCAGCACTTTGGTCCTCGTCGGCGTGTTCATGTAGGTGGCAACTTTGCCGAGGCAAATGGTCGTGTTGGTTCGAATCGCCGGCTCAGGGTCGACCTGATGTACGCGGTCTCGATGATCCCGTGCTGCAAGCGAGACAGTACCTGGAGTTTCGCGAAAAACTTCATCAGTTTTTGGTTCAAGTTGGAGTCGGAAAGCTTGTCGGCGATGTGGAGCATCGACTTCATGGTGAGTTCGCGGAGGAGTGGCATAGTGTCGTTGAAACCGGTGCAAATGTTGTCAAAGACAACGGCGCTGTTGACGAGCTTGGCGTCGAAATGAACGGCAAACAAGTCCATCATCTGAAGCAGCTGGACGCGCACAGCGCGATCGTTGCACCCAAAGAGCTTGACCAGGGTCGGCAACACTTGGTCTTTGAAATCTTCTGCCTATCGGCCGTGCCACATATCGTCATGGCCATGTCGAGTGGTCCGCGTGTGGTACCGGCAGATGCGAACCGATCTTGACCATAGCAGGAAGCATTTGACTTTCGCATGGGTCCAATTTGAACGTTGCGGCCTTGCCCCCCGCACCAGTGGCCACTCCGAAATCCACCACGGCCTTGAGTGCCGGTAGCACTTTGTACAGAGCCATATGCCTCGGCAACTTGTCCACATTCGCGACGAGCTCCTTGTAAAACTCCGACTTTTCATCCGACGATTTGACCGGGAGCTGCTCCAAAAATCCCATCTGACGAATGAAGTCCGACGCAAAATACGAGATTTGCAGGCCTTGGTCAGGCGTGAGGCGGCGACTCGGGGTGGGGTCCGTCGCGCGCTTGACGGCCGCGGTCAAGCCAGACGGAACGTTGCGCGTGTCGGTTGGCGTCGAGAAGGTGGGGTTGAAGATGTGGATGACAGTGCAGGCAAACGCGTACATGTCGATGGAATGGGGAGCGGATGACACGATGCTGCTCCAGTCTCCGCGAGAGAGCTCTACTCCGTTGCCATGCATGAGAAATGGAATGCTTCATGCTCACAATTCAAGAAGGACTCGGTACCTGGCGCCTTGTAGCGCATTTCTTGGTCCATGAGGGACTTCGGTCCAGACGACCTGTGGTGGACGACAAAGGGGTCGCCCATGGTCAGTTCACCTGTCAGTTGGAATCCAGCGAGCTTCCAATCCCCGCCCTACCGTGTGTGTGTGTGAGCTATACAATGCACGTGAAGCTACCCTACCTTTGTAACGAAAATGCTCTCCGGGTGCACTCGGCCATGCACCATCTTGCAGTCCATGTTGATAAACTTCAACGCAGACAAGATGGATCGTAATCCCCACGACACTGCCAGCGTTTCTTCTTCGCTAAGGAGGCCATTCCGCGCACGGATGTCGTCCAAGAACGTTCGCAAAGGCATCACTTCTTCAGTCACAATGAATATGTTTCCGTTGGGGACCTCTGTGCCGTCCTACGCGATGCCAAGTTAGAGTGGGTCGCGTGCGGGCGTTCTCACAGACAATGAACGCTAGCACATTCGGATGGCGCAATGTTTTGATGCGGCGCAAGCAATTCTGGGTCAGTGGGCACGGCGGACCTTGCGATTTGAACACAGACACCGCTGATCCATCTTGCTTGCTCTTAGCTTTGAGAAGAAGAAACTCAGGCAGCACTGGACTGTCGTCGCCCGCGGCGTCAATGACAGTAAAAGGTAGACTTCCTACGCCTCCGGAAGTGAACGCGGAGCCGAGGCCCATGACAGTATTCTTGAGGAAGTTCATAGCGGGTGTGCTGTTGCCACGCCGCTGTCCGGCGTTAGTGACTGAAAATTTGGTGTCAATTTGCACATTTTGAAACAGCGCTCGAAAATTGAGCATGAAATTGCGATTCTTGCACAAGAAATGACACAAATTTCTTGCACATAAATGCAAGAAATATGCTTGACACTCTGCAAGAATCGGTGTATCATTTTGATTCTTTCGAAGAAACCTGCCAAGTCTTCCAAAAAATAGTATGACGTTCACTATACGTTGTTTGGCCCGTTTCATATGGGTCGTTTGGAAGAGCGTCGTGTATCTTCCAGGTCGAAGCAATTTCGTCGCGTGGGCTCAAAGTGGCACTGCATGAAGGCTGTGGACGCGAACCATGGTCGCTCTAGCGACCAACGCAATGCCACACGCCGCTCTGGGACCTGTCTGGGTGATCCTGGTCCAGGAGCGGGCCCATCCACAGCGACTCCAGAGAGCCAAGCAGGCCGACGCGGCGAGACGGTGCTCGGCAAGCTAACGACGCATCTTGTTGACACGTACTTCAAGTGCGGCCTGCCATCCCACGAGCAGCCCAAAACGGCGCGAAGGATATTGACCAAGAACAGCCAGGTCGTTTCGAACAATGGGTGGGACAACTCGGACAATAACATTGTGCTGCGGGTCCGCGACCTCCTCGAAGTGCAGAGCAACACTGGGGTCACCAGGACATTTGTCGTGTTGGACCTTTTGGGGCAAGGCACATTTGGCCAAGTGTTTCGATGTCAAGACGTCGCAACCAAGGCAGTGATGGCGATCAAGATCATTCGGAACCATCCGTCGTACTACAAACAGGCGCTAGTCGAAGTCCAAGTGTCCCAATTGGTACGCAAAACCATGGAAACAACCGCATACGATTTACGCTGACGGTAGTTGACGTCCGCGGTGGGCATGGAAGGGCAAGACCACGTTGTCGAACTCCTCGATTACTTTATGTTTCAACACCACCTGTGCTTGGTGTTTGAGCTGCTGAGCGTGAACCTGTACGAGCTCCTGAGTCAAAACAGCGTGCGTGCAAGGGGTCGTTGGTGAAAGGGCGATGGCTGACAGTTGCGCGTAGTTTCGTGGGCTGCCGCTCACGATCGTCCGGGGCTTCTTGCATCAAATTCTGCGGTCCCTCGTCTTGCTCCACAACTCCTACGTCATCCATTGCGATTTGAAACCCGAGAACATCCTACTATCAGGGTACACTCGACAACATGCACTTGGACGATTCATTGCTCGAATAGGCACGACCGGCTGTTCACGGTGCCGTCGCTACATGCACACGACGAAGACGTCAAGCAGGTCGTGCCAGGCATCAAGTTGGTCGACTTTGGATCGGCGTGCTATGAGAACGAAACCGTGTTCTCGTACATTCAGTCGCGCTTCTATCGCTCTCCTGAAGTCCTGCTGGGTCTTCCGTACTGCGGCGCCATCGACATGTGGTCGTTGGGCTGCGTCAGGTAAGCAACAACGTCCGTTCCATCGCCACATGCGAAAGCATTTCATTGACATGACAGCGCCGAGATGTACTTGGGCTTGCCCCTTTTCCCAGGGGCATCCGACCACGATCAGCTTCAAATTATCATCGACACTGTCGGGTGGGTAGGCAAACACTGCCTTGGACAAAACGTCTGATGGGGGCCGAGCAGGTATCCGCCTCTGCACATGGTCCAGAACGGGACCAACTTGCGCAAGTTTTTCAAAGTCACCAAGCACAACGAGGTGCGTGCGTTGTTGTGCGGAGTGAAGTCGTGTGGTAAAATTCAATCCAGATCGCCCTCAAGACACCGGATGAATATGCTCGGGACACCAACACCCGTGCTGTGTCGTCCAAGCGGTACTTCAAGCACTCGGCGCTACGCGACATCATCGATGCGTATCCGTTTCGAAAAGGAGCGTCCGACGAGGAAGTGGCAAAGGAGCGCAACCATCGAGCGGCCTTTTCCGACTTCGTGCGCGGTCTCCTCGCTCTGGACCCGCGCGACCGATGGACGCCCCAGCAAGCCATGCACCATCCGTTCATCACAGGCGTGCCATTCACACATCCATACAAACCGAGAGCCCCACCGGCGCGTCGACTCGACGTGCGATTTCGAAGCCCCATGGTGCCCATGGAGTGCACGCCGCACTACGCGTTGAGCTCATCCGCGCCGCCCCCGGGCCCGCCACCCGATATCCCGTACTACCTGCGTTACCCGATGTACTCGCACTCGTGTCCATATTCCATTCAAAGAGAGTTGTTTCCGCCGATGGAGCAACTCTGTCGACCGACGTATGGGCACCACAACGGCACCCAACACGACGACTGCCATCGAGACTTTGGCCTCCCACCTGACCACTGGGACCCGTTCTTTACGCAAGGTTCGGATGAGTCCCTCGCGGCTCCACCGCTTCCACCGGAACACCGAAATCGTTCGCTCCACCACCCGTCCACGTTTTGTGGCTGCACAACGGTCTGCTCTTGTGGGAGAGCGCCCCACCAAGCGCACGATAGTCCAGTGTTTCATCGAAAGTGGCGACGGCGAAAACAGAGGGACAAGCAAATAAAGGCCAAACAATGACACGACCCCGTGCGAAAGCCCGTTCGATTTGCTGAATAAGCAAGTGCCATTACGTTGTCGGGCGAAAAGCGTGGCTCCATCGATCAGCCTCCAGGTTCAGCTCTTCCTTTCGCTGGGCATGCTTCGTGGTCGAGTCCCGCCCCGTGAATGTCATCGAGTCCAACTCGTCATGGCAACTCTGGACGACGCTCGTCGCGTCTTCCTTTGAGATCAGTCCCATTTCAAAGGCGAGGATGCCGGCCGCAGCATAGTTGTTGTAAAAGTGGACGCCATTTCTAAGCATGTAGGTGTGAATGATACAGTTGAAGCACCGAGGAAGCGGAAGGGTACTTTGAGTAGTCGGCTTTCAGCCCGCCGTCGCCAGTCAAGGGCGACGCCGGATCGATGTCGTGGATGAAAGTTGCGACCACCTGCATGAAATCGTCGTTAGGTGGCATGCCACGCAGGCCTCGCTTGCATACCTTATCAGGAAAGAGGGCCCGCATTTGAGATGCCAGCAACGCATCCCCTTGACCCGAATCTCCAAAAAACACAAACTTGTATTCGGGAAAGAGGGTCGTGTACCGCACAAAGTTGTCGAGCTTGAGTCTGGCCACAGATAGGCGTGAGCTGTGTCGATTCAAAATGAAGTGCACCCGGCAATTTTCTTGGCATTCACGCCAGTCCGCACGGAGCCATTGAGCACCGTCGGGTTGGCAAGTCCCATGCTGACGAGACGGTCGGCGGTCAGGTTGCGGCCAAAGCTGAACCACCCGCGAGGACGAGCCGTCAAGAAAGTCACAGACGGACCACGAGAGTTCACGCCACGAGAAATGCACTGAAAGAGCTTGGTCACGCCGGGATACAAAGTATGGCCAGGATATCGCGCGTCCACCCAGCTAAAAGTTAATTTCTTGTGAAGGTGGATGTGACGAATGCAGCAACATATACCCAGCAAACAAGGTGTCGTCGATGTCGCTCATGATCTTGATCAACGGGCGCTGGCTCGAAGAGGAGCCGACTTTCAGCGCCTCCACGGCAATGTGCTGCACGACGGACACCACCTGTGTCAGGTCTCGACAGCCGTAGATGAGCTGATGCAGATCGCCGCCCTTGAAGCCACCGAGGGAGGGGACAAAATCGGAGTTGATGTCTTCCTTCAAGAGTGTTAGGTCCGACCCGTACGTTCCTTTGAGCACGTTGAACGCAGCCTTTTGGAAATCGGCTTTCTGGCGGTTCCATGGAGACACAAGGTGCTGCTGCATGGCTCGAATGATGATACCGCGATTTGCCAAGCTACAAAAAGCGAGCGCGTTTACATTCGAGGATCATACATAGCTTGCCTGAGTACTTGACGTCAACCAAGCGTTCGTTCGTAATGATGTCGAGAACTTTGGCCCGAACCGTCGAGCTGCATGTGTGCAGCATGAAGCCAGTCATTGTCGAGCAAAAGCTGTCCGATCCCTTGGGAGACGTTGCGCCCAAAATTCCATTCAACACGTCTGGCGGAGCGTCGGCCAAAATGTTGTGGCAGTACTTTTCGTCAGTCAAGGGGACGTTGGTCGCCTACGGGTCGCTGTTACCATGGGGTGTAGCTGAGAGAGGTGGGTTCAAACTCTTAAGTACATTTCATCTTCTGTGTCTTCGCCATCCACTTGAAACACGACACTGTTTCGCTGCTGTCTGAACTTCCACGTCGTTCGCTTGGAGATGTATATCAGTGCGTGAACCCACGACGTGACACGAGCCTCACCTGCTTCATGCCAGCCCATTTCCTTTTGATTCTCCCAGCAGCGAACTTCCACGTAGATACGGACGCTCCTCTCATCGACATGGCCGTGGCGCGCGGAGTTAACCTCAGCATTGAAGTGGTGGTGGATTCGACGAGATCACCCCCCGGATACGTTCATACGGTATTCATATCCGGACAACTGGGAATCTTGAACTAGTAATACTATATGTACCGATAGTAGGTACTAGAGATATGCGCACGCGTTGAGAATACCACGAGATGGAACAAGGACCGAATGAGCGGAAGCGTTCGACGAAGACCTTAGTCGGCAACATGGTTGAAGAACGCATGAAGCTTCTTCGCACACGTCGCGCCAATCCATTTCTCCAGTTCTTGGACGGATTTCGAGCTTAAGTCGGCTAGGTTGCGGCAGCTCGCGACCAATTTGCGGTAGTTGTGGTCGTTCACGCCCGGAAGTTTCCTCAGGACATCGATCGCGTTTGAGTTGAGGCCAGCATTCGATGCAGTGCTCCCTGCGGCCATTGCGGCCTCCACACTTGGATCCTCTTGGCCTTTCTTGACGAGCTTGAAGAGCTCGACAGTTCCTTGCGGCGATCTCGACCAAAGCAATCGAAGCTGGGGGAAGTGGAGCACCAACAAACTCAGTTTCGAGCAAATGTTCGTGTGTTTGATATCACTTGTAATGTCCGATGGTTGCTAGAGACAACCTGATCAAGCAATTTATGCATGAACAAACTCGATACCTGAAGCGCAAACGGCTTTTCCGGAGAAAACTCGATAAGCAAGACGGGCACCTAACGCGATGTGTGGTGTCGACTTCATGAGCTGGAGAATTTTTACCTGGTAAAACCGAAGCATCATGTCGGCCTGGTTGAACAACCGGCCGTTCGCCAGGGACCCAAACAGGTCGCTGATGCTCTTGCGCTCGACACAAATGCGCGGTGACAAGATGTAATCGCCGACTTCGATCGTGACGGGGTAGAGGACAAGCCCTTCTTTGTGCAGCATGGACGGGAGAGCGCTTCGGAATTCTCGAACGTCAACTACGACTTGATTCGACTGCGTGTGGAGCTTAGCACGGCCGCCTGTGCGAGTGTCCAGGCTATACGCCACGGGTTTCTTCACTTTCAAGTGTGCGGGCAGGTCAAACACATTCAGCGGGATCACCATGTGCTCCTTTTGTTTGATTAGGCGGTCAAAGGCATCCTACAAAACTTGTCAAAGTGGCATAACAGCGTCGGCATCGCCACCTTTTCGCGCTTCACCTCGGTCAAGTATGCCTGCTGTTCAGCGCTGTTTTCGTACACCATAAAGTGCACTTGGATCGGGCTCGAACTCAACGCGCTGTACACTTCAAGCTCTCGAATGAAGCTTACGTCGGGGTCGTACAGGATAATGTGTGATGGGCGCAGATCGTCCAGGAGATTCGAGCACTTCTCGGCGTCAGCGTACGTGCACAGAACGAGTTGGTCCTGCGGGGGGAGGATACCCAGCTTGCCAGTCGGCTTTGGTCGTTTTGAGTCTTGTTGGGAGCTGGCCACTGTTGAGACGAGAATGTGATGTGAGGAGGGAGCTGTACCTGAGATGCACCAACTCATCCAACGGCATCCCGTATGAGGCTACCTCGCTGGCTGTAGAGAAGGACGGCGCTGCCGAGGTTGTGGCCTTCCGCTTTCCATTCGAATTTGCCGTGGTATCGTGCGAAGAGTTCTCATCGACCAACGTCGCCGACAGCGCGTGCAAGAGTTTCTGCTCGACACCAAACGATGACAGATTCGCCACGATGTTCTCGTTTTTGTGCTTGAGGTAGCGCCCAAATCGTCTCTGCATCATGGCCGTGCCGCCCATGTACACAATTTCTCGAAGTTGCGACGCAGTGCGGTTGTCTCGCACCATGACAAGCGTCGTGGCCCCGGCCAGTCGCATTGGGGTGTCTTCAAGTTCGGTCAAAACCTGCAGCAGCGACTCCCACTTGGGATTGAGCTCCAGCGTCACCTTGAGTTCGTAGTCGATTGCGCCTGTTTTCTTGTGCTTGACCTTTTTGAGTTCATACAGTCGTTTTTTCGCCGCTGTGAACAATCTGTCGGCAGCTTCGCTGAACAACCAAGGCGATGGGATGCGCTGTTGCCCGCTGAGCCGCTTCTGCGTAAGCAAGTAGCTGTAATACGTGATAGCATCGTAGCGGGGTAGATATGCCAGCAGCTACGTTGCTGTTAGAGCATGAGGAAGCCATTTGAATGCATACCTGGCGGAGTTGGGTAAGGTCAGCGCTGAGCTGCTTGGTCTTTGCAGGAAGTTGGTGCCAAATCGACGTCAACTACGCTCAAAAATTAGTTGAGCGAGATGAACCCAAGTGCCTCGGAGAGTACCTGTCGTTTTAAGAGCAAGTCGAGAGCTTTCGTGAGAGCATTCTGGATGGTGAGCTCGGTCTCATCCAGGTCCTTGCAGCTCCGCTTGAGCTCGTTCAAGGTTGCTTCTGTGGCAACGAGAAGTGCTTGCTGCATTTCCATCATCAATGGCGTCAGTGGAACTTCGACTTCAAACACGTCCGGTTCGTGTTGCTCGAGGCATGTGCCAATAGAGACGTGGAAGCGCGGGTAAAACAGCACTTTTCGAAGGTACAGTAGCTTCATCGCTTGCTCGACCTTGTTGAATCCAGACGAAAACGATATCGCGTCGTCCGAAAAGGCCTTCACAAACCCATTGCGGTTCACCTCTCGAAAGAGACGCAAGATAAAGGCCTCCACGGACGAGTCGGTCACTTTGTGTGCGTTGCATATCAAGAGCCCAGAGATCATCTACAAAACAACGTGAAGCATATCAAATGAACCTCGTGATACCTTACAGATATGTCGATCGCATGATTGAGCATATCAACCACAAGAATGCGCGATGTGATGATGATGCACCCGCCACTTTTGTACATGAGTTTTCTTTCTTGCGCGTTGCATTTGTTTGTGATCACCTGTCAAACATAACTATAATAGATCCACTCAATTTCTTCGTTCCGTACCTGCGGCATGCGCTCCTTGGACATGCCTTGAGCGTGCAGCGAATCGACAAATACCTCGGCGTCGTGTGACGCGTTCAAACACAACGTGAGGCTCGTCGGCTGGGCGTACAGCTCCATGAACTTTCCAACGATGGACTTTAGTCCCAAACCTCTGGCAAGGACAACCAAGATATCCCGCTCCATCAACATCGCCTCCATAATTTCCTTCTCGTAATCCAGCCACTTGCGCGCCATCTTGCATTTCTTGTAATTGCGCCACACCTGAAATCCTTCGCCTTGAAGTAGTAGTACTATACATCTAGTAGTACTAATGCTACTTGATGCCCACTTTTGGCAACAAAGGCCCAACACATCGGGGCAGGATGCGAAGCAGTCTCGCTGCACACAAGCGTGCCTTCAGGAAGAACCATGCATCGTCCAACGTAGAAGTGATTGAGTCAGCCTCATCCAAGGCGCCATTTCGTCAAGCGCGGAAGTCGGGTGTCCTGACGTTGCCGGCGAAGGGATTGACAACGTTTCCAGACGAGGCGCTGCGCTTGATGGACTTTCTCCAACCGGTATTCGACCCCCCAAGTCTTGCCGCATCCCATGCATGCTTACATCTCGTAGGACGAGAAAGGATGGGAGTGTGTGGACTTGATCAAGGTTGATCTCAGGTCGGTTGTGTTCCGACAACGTGGCAAGTTGGTTTACAAGAGTCGTAGTCACAACGAGATTGCATCGATTCCTGCAGACATTCAAGGTCTGTCGGGACTTCTTTCATTCAAGATATGCCAAAACAAGTTGGTCGAAGTGCCCCTCGAATTATTCTCGCTGACTTCGTTGGTATACCTCGACTTGAGCAAGTACAGTGAGCACACTTCCACTTGAAACGACTCGCCTGACGAAGTTTCCAGCAATTGTTTGCGAGGTCCTTTCCCTGATCCACTCGGCCGCCTGAACAACCTGAAGGAGCTTGTCTTGTCAGGCAACAAGTTGACGACCTTGCCGCCGTCAATGGGGGACCTGACCAAGTTGGAAGTTCTGCGACTAGAGGACAATTCGCTCACTGGGTTTCCCGACTCCTTCGGTGCGCTGGTCTATATTCTCACGGTCGTGTAGGCCCAACGTAATGGACAGGAGGGCTCCAAAAGCTTCAAACGTTGACGGCACAAAACAACAACATTGATAGGATTCCCCTGTCGTTCAAGGACCTCCGACAGATCGCGACGCTCGACTTGAGCAAAAATCAAATTACGAGCCTCATCGGGTGCTTGAAGAACAACGAAAGACTCAAGTTTTTGGATTTGCGCCAAAATCGACTCGGCACATTCCCAGAGCTCCCATATGAGTGCACGTTGGATACGCTCTTCCTCGGATTCAACCAGCTCACGACCATTAACGCCGAGTCTCTCGTGCGGGCGAAGGATCACTTGACTATTCTCGACATCCGCGACAACAAGCTGGCTGTATTGCCTGACGATATTTGTCAGCTCCATCGGCTCAAGACACTGGACGTGTCAAATAATGACCTCTCGGACCTCCCACCAGGTAACGTACGAGGTGTGCAATTCAAATTGTTATATTCTCCTAGGCTTGGGTTATTTGGTTCATCTGCACCATATCCTCACGGACGGCAACTCGATGCGGTAGCGTACACTACGCACACTTGTATTCGCTTAAATTGAATGCTCCCCAGGGCAATTCGACGAACAGTCCTATCGTCTGGGTGCGAGCCCCTCAAAAAGTACTTGCGCACGCGTGGAAAGCCCCCGGCTGGAGTAAACGCACTTGACGAAGAATTTGACGAGTTCCAGCAAGAGCCGGTGGTTACCGACGTCGAACTGGGTTACGTTTTGCGGGATGCGTCAGCGTCTGGGACGCTCGAGCTCTCTGACAAAAAGTACGCAACCACACTCCATGAGCCTTAACGAGCATTCGTTGCTTGAATAGGTTTTCCAAAGTACCGTTGGACTTTTGGCGACGAGACCCAATGGTGGAGAAGCTACAAGTACTCGACTTGTCCAAGAATGGCCTAGCCCTCGTTCTCTTTGATGTGGCTACATGCGTGAACTTGCACACGTTGGTTCTCGACGATAACGTGCTTGAGAGTGTTCCAGAATCGATCCGTCAGCTCGCCCACTTGCATACCCTGCGCCTCCGCAAGAACAACCTCGTGGAATCCACGGTCGATCCCATCCTCGGCCCCGGCACGCCGCTGTCGTTTCGTCTTAAAGTATGTACCAGCTCGTCGGACGAGGACTCTTGAATCCTTTGTAGGAACTCGACCTTCGCAACAACTCGCTGCGTTGTGTTCCCAGTGGCATCGCCAATCTCTCGGCTTTGCAAACCCTGCTGCTCTCGTTCAATCAGATCTCGACGCTGGACAATGTGGATTGGTCCCGCCTGGTGAATTTATTTCAACTGAGCGTCGCGGACAACAAGGTGACCAAATTCAGTTCGTTTTCTTCCTAACGTGATGGCATAGCTGGTGTCCCTGGGCAACTTGTACCACCTGCCAAAGCTAACGTCGCTGTCTATCGAAAACAACAGCTTGACCCAGGTATGTCCCGCATCCGAGTTGCGCCGTGTCCACCAAGTGTGATAGATCCCGGGGGAATTGGGGCTGATGAAACTCAAAACTCTCGCCATGAATGGCAATCCCCAGCGCACCGTTCGCATGGCGACATTGAACAAGGGCATCGACGACTTGCTACTCTTCCTGCGCAATAAACTGACCCCTGCAGAGATCGAAGCTTTTTCGGCGCCGCATGCCATCAGTGAACCCAGCCCCACTAAAATCCCGACAAAAAGCTCTCCCCCATTAGTGAAGCCCCCGGCACCGTCATGTGTCGTCGACGCGCCACCTCCTCGACCTGCTGAGGCACCAGAAGTGACCCAGCCAGCCCAACCCAGAGGCACGGATGACAAAGGCCAGGGTACTTCTGCGATCGATGCCCGCATTGCTACATTGTCCGAGCAGTTGGAAGACCACGGACTCTCAGCGGCCAAACGCTATGCTCTGAAGAAAGATTTGGCCAAAGCGCGGGCAGAAAAGATCCGCGAAAGTCGCAAAGGAATCAGCTAGAGTAAATGAAATATTCAGAGGGACTTAAACGATGCGGTTGCTTTGAAGGTTGGCGTTGAGACCGGCATTGATCTCGCTTCGCTTGGACCAATAGTTGCGCTTGTGTAAACAGCATTCGACGAAGAAGCCCGCAACAGCCACCACGCCGATAGCCACCCCGGCGTACACCACGCCAGGCAAACCAGCTTCCTTGCTCTTGCTGACGGGCAGAGTCACAACAGGGCCAGTAACGTTAAAGTTGGTGCTGTTTGAGTTGTCCACGATCGACGAGTTGACTTCGGCTGAGGCAACTACAAAAGCGCTTCAGCACAACGGCATGGAGGACTCCAACAGCTCAGCGTATACCAGATTGAATAGATACCATAATCACAGCAAACAGCAAGGAAGCGGCATAACTTGGCACCATGGCGGAAGGACTTGTTTGCGCCCGGCGTCCCCTGAAGCAGTGTAATTCCGGCTTTATGCATTCATTCCAGCATTGCTTGCTACTGAGAGCAGCTAGTATTACTAAATGCTTGTGATGCCTTAAAGCATGACAAGTTTTGTTAGTAGTACTTTTGACAAGTTAGTTTGTCATAATAGTCAAAACGATTAATTAAACTATTTTGACAGCTTCCGCGCACTAGAGGTGTGCTAAAAGGACCTGTCGTCGAGATGAGGCAACGCAACTGCTCCAGCGTCCGCGCGTCGATGGACTTCTCTGTGCGAATATGGCATTCTTTCATCCAGCTTCAATGCATTGTCTCACATAGCGCTAGGGTCCATTGAATGCCGTGTCCGTGTCGCACAGCCAAAAGGTACTTGCCATACACATCGGATGCCGTTGAGAACTCCATTGGAATCGTTTTTGCTCACGTAGTTGATTGCTGTGGGAGGGCGAGATGTCCTCAAGATTGTATCCCTGGAACCCACGGGATTCGTGGAGAAGAAGAACTTGCGATCGGCCAAGTCCAATTTGAATTTCAGCACGAACGACATCCGATGGCATCCACGTACACGAACCATGCATTTGCTCTGAAGGCTGACCGTGTTGGAGCTTGTAGAGTCGGACTCTGTGCTGGCAACTGCTGCCACAAATGGATTCCTTGTCTTATGGGACGTCCAGCACAAGCTGCAGAGTACCTTGTCCGTGCATGACGTAATAGTCAACGTTCTGTATCGTTAGAGCGCGAGTACAAAGCGCATGACCGTGCTGTCAATCGTATCTGCTGGCACCCCACCGACCCCAACTTGCTCTTGAGCGCTTCGCAGGATGGCTTGATCAAGCTTTGGGTAGCTCGTTGATGTGGCGGTGGTGGTGTAGTCACTTTTGGACTAGGACCAGCGCAACAAGGGGATTCCCACCACCGTATTCCACCAGCAAAAATCCGAGAGCGTTCGAGACGTGAAATTCCATGTGTTCGAAGACACGAAATTTGCGGCTGCTTTTGAGAACGGATCGGTCGAAGTATCGAGAGCTGCATACGCCGACAGTCAAGAGTTTGTTGATCGGATGACGGTGTGTGGTGTAGATTTGGGATCTGCGCAACCATAAGCAGCCCGAAACAAAGTTCACGGCGCACCAGGGGCACATTCTGTCACTAGACTGGCACCCTACCAAGGGCCGGGTGATCGCCACGGGGTCGCGCGACCGAAGCGTCAAGGTATGCCCACGCGCCACTTGTTGCCGAGATTCCTCAACCCCTGTGGCCTAGATTTGGGACCTGTCGGACGCTAGTAAACCCTTCACGAGTCAAACGATTGCGCTGATCGCAAATGCCGGGCGCATTCAGTGGCGTCCAGACTACGCAGGTAGGAAGCATCGACAATGGTGCGGCGTGCGTGCGGTTGACGAATGCTTAGATCACATTGCGACGAGCTCGTCCATCACTGACAGCAGGTACAACACAACAACGCGCTTCCGCAGCTGCATGCGCTACCGTTGTAGAATTAACGTGTGGGATGTCCAGCGGCCATTTGTGCCGCTGGCGTGTTTGCACGGCCACGCAGACATCGTATCGGATTTCCAGTGGTTCGATACGCCGCTGGGACCTCCTTCGTTTGGACCCTCTGACGCCGTCGGCGGTGGTGAGTCGCTTTGTAGATGGCATCGAGTTGAAACTTGCCTGACGACGCCATCGTTTTCAAGACTATGATGGATATCGCTACTGGCAGCACGTGCTCGCGTGCTCGAAAGACAAGACGCTCAAACTTCACTCGCTTGCGGACGCGATCAAACCCCATCAATCGATGCACTCGGTGGCGTTAGCGATGAACATCTCTGGCCACGTCGTGTCATCCCACGACGACATTGGTATGCTCGTCATGACCCTTTCTTCGTGACGTGATGCTAGATCGGTCGTGTGCGTCGTTGCTGATTCACCAGCACGAGAGCTCGTTGAACCCGCTGTTTAGCGTCTCGAATAAATCGTTGACGATGCAGCACCCTCCTCGTAAAGTCAAGTCTGCCGCCAACCTGGCGCCGTCGATTCCACGCATTCCGTCCTTCAAGGGGGTCGCCACGAAACGCAATGTGTCTTCTGGGTCGTTGCCGAACGCGAATTCGTATTCCGTGACGAGTGAAGCAAGTGCACTGTCGAGCGCGCATCCCGAGTCGTCCGCCGGCGTGCCGCAAGGTACGGTCTGCCTTTGCAGAGTCGCATTGACAATGGGGGTTTGTTTGCAGCATTGATCCACGCGTCGTCGTTTGAGAATTCAATGTCGGCCGAGCAATTGAAAAACATGCTCGACGATCCCACCACCACGTCGTCGTCGTTGTGTTTGGCTGGCGAAGAGATGCGACCGCAAACGTTTGGATTTAACCAGCAAGTGTTCACCTTCCTCGCTCAGACGTATGAGCTGCACGGACCGTCGTTCCACGCGATTTGCGCCCACAACGCCCGGGTACGTTGCTCTTTTCTGACGCCATCCTTGTACATCAATGACAACGTAGGCAGCAGCTGTCGCTGGGTGCATGCATCTCAGCAAGACATGGATCATCTTGGAGATATTGTACGAGAAACGAACGAATGCCACGAGCCATAAGGAGCTCGCGCCGCCATCCAACGGCACGACGGAGGCGCAGCAAGGCGGTCCGGCCCACGGCAACCAAACATCCACTCTGCTGGCCCAGCTGGACGAAGTGAACCCGATGCATGTAACGATGCCGCGTCATCCATTTCACGACGACGATGAGCGCCGACGTTTCTCGCCGTGTGTAGGGGGTTGAAGCATATCCGTACGACGAGGCAAAGGAGTTGATGGTGGCGTCGCCAAAGTCACAAACGTACGGGAAGAGCGCAGACGTGTCTCGCATCCAAGATATTCTCCTGAAAGAGCTCTTGGAGTACTATTCTGAAGCGGGCGACGTTCAATCTTGCACGACGATCTCGGCCGCCATGAGTTACGTCACGAGCATCGAGACGCTTATGGGCAAGGGGTGGCTGCAGCAAGTGTACATGCACTACATCGGTGCGCCACCGACTCTACATGGATCATCTGCGCTGTGTTGGCTAACCAGATGATACGATGCAGACCTCCTCCATCAATTGCAGCTCTACTCTGTCGCGAACGACATGGTCAAGAACTGCCCGGACGTTGGCATCAAGCAGATGAACATGGTATTGCTTCGTCTGCCTAAAGGAAGGGTAGTTGTTCATCTCGTGAAACAGAAAGCCACGACCATCTACACGTCGTGCTCCAAATGCACCAAAGCGATCGAAGCGCTGCCGCCCAAAATTGCCAAGGTCGCCAAGAAAGCTCTCTGTTCAAACTGTTTCAACGTGACGGTTTGTGCGCTGTGGTATGTGGCGTCTGTGTGCGATTTTCGCATCATCGCCTGCGTAGCGAACTGCCCGTGTCGGGGCTATATGCCTGGTGCCCCGTGTGCTCTCATGGCGGCCATCTCGACCACATGCACGATTGGTTTGCCACCGAGCAATTGTGTCCCACGGGATGCTCCCATGTGTGCGCGCCGTACATGTTTCTGCGGTCCTAGTGTTGACAGGAAGGTCCATCACAATGGAACGTAAAGAAAGAGAATTCCTGGGACCCGTGCGATTTGGTGCTGCGTCATGATGCGTTGAAGGCGTGTGCTTTTGAACATGTAGCTCTTGACGCGCTAGGCATCACCACTTTCTGCGTGACGGCGAAAGTCTTCGATGGCCGATATGGGTTCCGTTACATTGTATAGGTAACGGCGCCGCCGACGCGGCACTCGAGGAAGTCGAGGCCGGCGATGAGCGGACGGCACGTGATGGAGCAGGTCGTGCAGAAGGTGCGAAACGAACGAGATCGCCTTGACGCGCAAAAGGAAGCCGAAAAGATTGCCAGTCGTGACTACGCACGGAGTGTGATCAAGTTGGTTGCGTTGGAAAGCGCCGAAACGAAAGCGTTTGCAGCGTACACGGGCACGCACTTGTGTTCCTGACGCGATGACTCTGCTGACGACGTTGTGATTAGCAAAACAAGCCGTGATGGCAGAGTATTCGAACATCATGGATGCGCTCATGACGCTCGAGGAGGATTTCCAGCGGACGCGGTGCTCCGCTGGCCTCGTCAAGGACAAGTAAGGAAGGCTTGACTACATTCGGGGGTGACGATGGAGCTTTCGATCTAGACTGAAAAAGACCACGATGCTTCACGAAGCCAAAGCCAAGCGCGACGCGGCGAGTCGCCCGCTGAAAGATCGTCTCAAGGAACTCGTGCCGGAGGAGAAGATGGTCGTCGCACCACCACGAGTTCCCGGGAAGCAACTGTCGACTGCCGAGTACAAAGCGAACATGGACTCGATCCGTCGAATTTGGGGCAACAGGAAATCAATGCTGGATCCGCTCAGAGCCGACTTGGAGGTGCGCGATGTCCTCGACCTCACTCGTCCCATCCTGTTTCAGGTGGGAAAGCTGTGCCAAGCGATCGGGGAAGAAGCCAAAGCGGTCAAGCACTTCATGAAAGCTGTTGGGCCGTACGTAAAGAAGAAGAATCTGGTGGTGGAGCCGACGCAAGACGAGTGGCAGCAAATCAAGCACAGCGAACATGCCCGTGTATAGGCGACAGCACCTTCAGAGACGTCTTCATGCCGGATGTTCGTAGATGCGTGAAGCGCATTTCTTGCTGTTTCACATTTTCCTCAAGACAAAGGACAGGAAAGCCACCCATGGTTTGTCCTAAAAATGTCCTGCAGGGTGGCATTGAGGTTTGATCTGTGTAGCCCACATGAGCGCCTACCTCGACTTGTCTGACGGACATGAACGGATCAAGGCGCTCACGTACTTGGAACAGTGCGCCTGCCAAGAGCGATTCAAGTGCTGATGAGTCGTGTAGACTTCTAAGCAAGCACAGCGGTGTGGACGAGATCGAGCCACCCAAGAATCGCACCGTGTTCGAGTCGATTTTGGTGTCGCGCACCCTTGGCAGGTGGCGACACGAAAGTCATGCCGTGCTGGATTAACCCGAGTGATGCAGACTTCCAGATTTGCGACTGTCCATACTCCAAGAGCTCCACACACACTTCCCCAACGATTCATGTCATCCACCCGTTCTGCTCGTGGACTTTTAAACGTCACATTTTGTGTTGTGTAGACGTGCTCGAGTCACTGGGCCAACTTGGCGTTCGCCTTGGGGACTTTGGTGAAGCCAGGAAGACGATTGAAAAGTTTGTGGCGTTGCCGCACGTTGCAAAGATGCCTCTCTACGCCGACGTGTTGGAGTACACCCCACAGCCACACTTTCGATCGTCGTCGCAGGGCAAATTACGGTCGAATGTCGACAAATGATTTGCCAACGCTTGAATCGATCGAGACGCAACATCGCTGGAGCCGCCAGAGTTCTGGCCGGGGCGAATCGCCACATTGGAAATCAAGGCAAGGCGACCTCTTCATACGATAGCCAATGCTCGCCGTGGACAAGCAGCTTGGCAGTCCGAGGTGGCTTGGTGGGGAGGGTGTTGCCAGACTGAATCCCCTGGTGCCATCGCTGGGCAAATGCGTTCGGCAGACTTCGTCTAAACAGTTCGCATACATCAACGGTGCTTCCTCGGATGCAAATACGCACTCGGTCGGATGCCGGGACCAGCATCATCCGCAGAGCCGTCCTCTTCTGGCGCTGTCCGCGGAGGGCCGCAATGTTTCGTCAATTATATTTCAACGACAGCAAAAAGTTCACAAGAGACGAAATAGTTCAGTTTGGGAGAGTTAATTCGACCTGAATGGCCTTCGAGACCAATAAAATGAGCGTCTTGCATGAGGTGGCGCCACATGCGCTGTCCTTGGAGCAATGGCTGCACAAGTATGACGCATTCGACACTAGAATGCAGCTGAACTCGTGCCCTAGGTCGATCGGACACGAAGCATGGATGGAAGGAAATGCGAAGATGCAGTCGCTGCTCCAGCAAACGTTCGTGGCGCGCCGAGCCCACTTGAAAGCGCCCGATGCGGCCGTGGGCTACTCCCGAGACGTGACGATGACGCAGACTGACATCGTTGAGAGCGTCATCAGCACACTCTTGCAACGGAAGCGCTACGGCAAGGACAAGTCGACCAACTTGTTGGCGCTAGGGTACGGCGTCGCCAGCCCCGGGTCGAACAACCACTTTCTGAGGAATGACATGACGTGCTACCATCCGAACACACTCGTGGCGAAACTCAAATCAAACGAATGGGTGCAACTCCACAGCCACCTCGGTGCGTGTGTGCGTGCAATGGCGCTTGGAATCGATCTGACTGCTGCTGCTACTTCTCGCGCAGGAGACGACGTCATGAAAGACATCCTCCTCAACCACAACGTATTTGTACGGATGGAGAGCACGACAGATTGCTACATCCAGGTACAACGTCGAGCACTTGTGAAGGCTTGTACTGATGGCAAGCGGATTTAGCTAGCCGGCGACAACGTGCGGTTTGCAGTGCGGTCGCCCACAAGCGCAGACAGTTCCATCAACATTCGCCGGGTCATGTTTGCTCAAGGGCATGCGAAGCAAGTGTCATTCCAGTCGACGCACGTATTAGCACCGCCAGTGCCTTCCACTCTCGCAGCCAGACGAGTGGTGGCCAGTATATTGTGCTTGAAAAGCACCAAACGGTTGGACCGGCGATGCCAGAAGTTGGTGCCGATCGTTCTCGACATGATGGCAAGGTTCAAACAGTGCGACATTGGCGGGTCTGTTCGTCGACTGTGTCCCATCCCAAGCGAGTGTAAAGCGATTCTGTCCACGTGCCGTCGCGATCGCAGTACGACCGAACGACGCCCAGCACTGGAAACCCCCTGGACGACCAAAGACGTCGAGTTGGAGGACGAAGGGTTTGCCAGCCAAGATGACTGTAGCACGTCTGCCAACTCTCGAAAAAGAAAACGAAGCTTGGTCGCGGACAGTTCCAAGCCGGCCAAGTGCGCCAACCGATTGTCCTGTCAAGCCACCATTGCTGACCTGCTTCAGTTTTCAACGCCCAAGGACAACGTGCGTGAATGGGGCCGTGTTTTGTGGCGCGCCCTACTCCCATGCACTCTGTCTAGGTCTACGAGTGCGTCCGGTTCGTTTTGGATGCCGTGCTGCCCAAACAACTCTGGGGATGCTCGAAAAACCACACGTGTTTTCTCCAACTCGTGCGAACGTATCTGTTCTCGCACATGCACGATGTGCATGGGCTAAATGGGGTACGATATGGCTCTGCGCGCAGTGTTTGTGTGGAAGGGTCATGATATCCATCTCCATGTAGGCGGTGAACGCCATGGCCGTGACACGGATACCATGGATGCAGCTGCACGCACGCTCAAAGTGGTATCGAATCCGTCTTGCCCATGTTCTTACATGCTGACCCAAGTGGTTCGTGCAGCGTGCCAACGGAAGCAACGAAACGGAAGCGCATGCTGTTGCTGATTGTGTCCTGGGTACGCTGCCCGAGACATGATGAGCGCGTGCCGTTTTCACGAGATTGCAGATTTGGAGCGACCTGATCGACCCGATGCTTCGCAATTACTTTTACATGACCACGACCGAGGGTCATTTCAACCACGTCGTGTACTACCGCCATTCGGTGTGGACCGCCATCGCGTACGTGTATCCTGTGACCCGAAAACGCTGAGCACGTACGAGTTGTAGAGGTCTTGGCAAGGTCGAGTTGGCTCACGGCCACTTGCAGCCCGTCGCGACTGTGCCAAAGTCGAAAACGATCTCGACGATTCGATTTCAGCCAAAGCCACACGGTGTTCGACCGATTGTGAATCTATCTCGCAAACCGCACGGTGGTGTGTCTATCAATCGCACGTTGCGGCTCGTTCACCACGTGCTGCGGCACGAGTGCACCATGGCAACTCTCGGCGCGACGGTAGCCAACATGAACGACATTCGCGCAAAGTTGGACTTGTTTCGGGCGCGTTGGGCCGCTGCAAACAACCCGCCGCTGTATTTTGTCACGGTCGACATTGCCCGCTGCTTTGACACGATCCGTTCCCGCCGGCTGCTAAAGATGCTCCCTCGTTTACTCACGCAAGACCGGTACATGGTTCGGCGGCACTACCTGGTGCAGTCGACCAAAGCCGGGGTCCGCTACAAGGTAGAGCGCGCGACCCGGCGCTGCAATTGAAAGGCCTTGTATAGACTTGTACCGCGGTGTTGGTGCCGTCGGAGTTGACACGGTTCGAGCAACTCGCAGCGTCGGCAGCTTCCAAACATTCGGTACACGGCTCGCACGGTTCCTTTGCTTTCCACAGCGGTCATGCGGTAGGTGCACATTGATGGCGTCGTATACGACTACGTCCACCGGCGCGACCTGCTCAAGCTCGTGGAAGACCACTTGTGTGCCAACTACGTCTCAATCGAGTCGGACCTGTTTTTGCAAAAGGAGGCAAGCGGCGCGATGAAATGCACGGCCGCTGGATTTTTGGTTGCCACGTAGGGAATCCCTCAAGGGTCCGTGCTGTCATCGTTGCTGTGCAATATTTACTATGCCGACTTTGAGAAGAACGTGCTCCGTCCCCGCATTCCCGTCGTGGCTGGGCAAGACCTCTTGCTTCGATACACGGACGATTTTCTGCTGCTTACGTCCAACCGGCAGAACGCCATCAAGTTTGAAGCGATCATGCATCGAGGCACCAAGAAATACGGATGCCACGTCAACCCTCGCAAGACGCAAACCAACTTGCACGATGCGTCGCAGGTTCTCCACTGGTGCGGCCTCACGATAGACCCAGCGACCTTGGCCGTGCACTCCAACTATGCCAAGTACACGGCGTCCCCTGGGTACTGCTACTACTACGCGCTGCCCTCTCGACGTTCACTTGTGGTGATGATGGCAGGTCGCTCCGAAACACCATGTTTCTGGACACGATTCGTCCACTCCATGCCTGGTTGTTTCAACATTTGTTTGCAGCCGTTCAATTTCGATGCCACCCGATCCACTTTGCCGCGCAGTCGCCGCACACTTGCCAAGTACAGATATATGCGGTCGTGCATGTCTCGATGCACACGCATGTCGATGTAGGTGAATATGTACCACATCATGGCGGTGGTCGCGGCCAAGTTGGCGTACATCTTGCGCTGCCTTCCCAAGCGAAATCGTCGATGGAACGTGGAGTTTCTACATCGGGGACTGCTGCAGCTGTGGCGCAAACTGTTTGATCGCATTCGCCAAGCATGCCCGACTGCCATGACGTGGACCGAGGTGATGCGCGCGTCGATTTTCAACGCGTGGTTGACGTCGAATACTTGTTGATGGCAGGTCCGGGGCATGGGTCTGCACGCCGCCATCCATGCGTGGACGAAACAAAACACCATGGCCCCCCTCGTGGGTCGATTCACAAGCGACTGGACAGCCCTGCCACCTGCTGTCCGTGGCCTCACCGACGAGTTGGCGACGACTCCGATGAGTGCATTCATTCAAGAGTTGTAAATCGAGTCGTGATCTCTGGTGCTTTGGACAGGTCGCGGGGTTTGTCGCCTGCGTGGTTGCTGACACGTGCGAGCGACGGGTATGTCTTGACGAGCCACTCGACGCACTCGGCGCGACCGTATCGCACCGCTTCATGAAGGGGATTGTTTCCTTGAAAATCGCAGTCCCTCGTCCCGATCGGAAACAACTCGAGGATGCAGATATGGCCGTGGCGCGCTGCATACGCGGCGTACGTGCGCCCCATCCAATCCCGCAACGTGGCAAACGATGGGCACAACTGGATCAGTCGATCGACGACGACGGCATGGCCGCGCTCGGCGGCTCGGTGAATGGCGGTGGCATGGCCTGGTCCGTGCAACGTTATGGAAGCTGGACATGACTCGTACAGCGCCAGCAAGACCTGTTTGGAACGGGTGAATGGAAGAATCGCTCGTGTCCGAATGTCCTCACGTCAAGATGACCATACGTGGCCGCAAAGTACGCTGGATACCACCGCTTGGACGTCATGCGACTCGGATCTGCGCCAGCATCGAGCAAAAGGCGCGCCACACGAGCATGGCCGTAGCGGGCGGCCTGCACAAGTGCCGTGTACTCGTCGTCATCTTGCATGTCGACGTCGGCGACTGTCACCAGATACTCGACGACCCGCACTTGATTGTAGCCCGCTGCAAAGTATAGCGCCGTCTTGCCATGTTCGTCCGGCTCGTTGACGTTTCCGCCGCCCGAGACAAACGTCTCTAGCGACGCAATGTCGCCGAGCCAGGCCGCGCGCCAAATATCGAGCGGTTGCAGGTTCCGGCAATCTGTCCACGACAAGTTGCGCGAGGCGATTTGGTCGTGGATGGTCGGCAGTCGTGCCGGGGGAACGAGCGGAAGGACGACGCGATGGTTTTGCGCCGCAACACGTTTCTCGAGCACGACCAGACTGCGCGTCCATGCCGCCGCCTCGATCGAGTCGTCCATAAAGTGAACGCCGCACTCGATCACGTCTATGATGGAGACGTTGGTGCCACCGACCGCAGTCGTCAAGTACGACACCAGATTCGCCCTGTGGTTTGACGGGCCGCACACGAAAAACACCAGACGACCACCGGGGGCGACGTGGGGGCTCCATACGTGTACGAGCTCAGCTACAAACTGATCGTCGAACCTGCTCATCGCGTCGCCCGGCTCGTTGGTTCCAAACGTGCGAATGCCGTACGGCGGGTCGGACACGATAGCGTCGACCTGCCACGACTTTCTCCACATGGACCACCGGGCGTCGCACAAGGAAATCTCGGGCCAGGCAAACTGAAACGCGTCGAAATTGGCTTGAATGTTGCGCCCTGGCCCTTCGCCGCGCAGGGTGGGCTCCGACACGTCTTGGGCGAGGCCCAAGCCTACAGGATCGTGTATGGCATGGTCGTGGGACAAGCGGGAGCGCTTACCCATGCCAAAGTACGCGCACGCGAGCAGCACACCGCAAGATCCGGCAAACGGGTCCAATACGGTGTCCCCTTTCGTCGTGCGAGCTAGGTTGGCCATGACAAACGCGAGTTCCGGGTCCATCGTGGTGACCCCTGTGTACGGTCGCTGGTTCAGCGAAAACGTGGCTGCGATTCCTCCGCCGATCCGGCCACCGCGACCTCCGCTGGAAGGCGAGAGACCGCTGGCCACAAGGAAACCCAAACATGCCGACTTGTCACCGATCAACAAGGTTAGTGCAGTGCATTTGTCGACCTTCTTGGCTGCGAGGAACGCTGGGGTGTCCATGGCTGCAAACCGCCCGAGGGCAGTTGCTTTGTCCTTTGGGCTGCGCAATCTCTTTCGAACAGACTTGACAGCCACTTGGTTGGCGGTTGCACTGCTTTGGAAGCAGGCAGGGTATGCTGCCTCGAACCACTGCGCCAAGGCGGCAACTTGCGGGTGGAGTTGGTCGTCGACGACAGTATGGGCAGACTGGACGAGGACGCTTCTCGAGATAATGGACACGATGGCTTCCTACAACGCGACTGATCATCGTCGAGTGATGCTGGCATGGATGCACCGACTTTGCTGCGAAAACGCACGCGAAAGTATCGGTCGACCTGGACAGGGTCCTCCACGATCTCTACGCAACGAAGGGCGTCAGCGCGTTAGTTGGCATGCAACATCGCCACCGATGTGCTCTCCGTATATGGACGCGATCGACGTGAGCTCCAGCGACACGAGCTCCAGGTGCCGGCCGCCCGCTAGGCACATCACTTCCATCGTCGTCATTGGTGGTTGGTGTATGATGGAGAGGCACAAATCTCTCAAAACAGCGAAAATATCCATGACCAGCTAAAATGACCAAGTGCATCGCGGCCTCTCGGAAGCGTCAGGTTGGTTGATGATGATGGAGGAGGCCCGATCCCAATGTCGTGTGTGGAGTGGATTTGAAGCAGGCTGACCGCCACGGGTTCATTCCGTCGGTTGATTCAGCTGAGCGTCGTCGACACGAACGGTCGCTCGCTTCTGCGGTGCATCTGTTCGGCTTCGTCGCGCGTTCGGGATGTGCATTGGGTATTGTCATGGCTTGGTTTTCAACGATCGGCGACTCCAGATACATCGAACGAGCATGTCCTCGTCGGCACAGCCGTGACAAGGCTGTTTGAGTCCTGTTTGTGGCACCTGTTACATGTTGTTTGCACACTGCGCCAGAGGAGAAGATGAGCTACTTCGCCAAAATTCGACACGGCAAGAAGTAGTACTCCACATTTCTCACGGATTCACGTTGAATATGGAGGCAACGGAGGCGCATAACGCGAAAGGTCTTTGCAAGTTGGACTCCAGGCTCGTGCTCTCGCGGCAAGCATCAAAGATGCTGGTCGAGTCCATGGCATCATGGCGTATCCACATGTGTCTACCCCATCCACCGTTCGAATCGTTGATGGCATCGGATCGATGTGCGCCATGCAACGCGTCATTGTGGAGACTAGAGCTTGCAAGGATGGGCTTTGATTCAAAGATAAAAATGTTTTCACTTGCATGGCACACAACAGCATTGTGGCGTCGTGCTCCAACCGCTTGGTTTCACGGTGGAGAACTTTCAGCCACGGTGCAGGAGAAAGCGACGCTCAGGATTCAAGACGTCGATGCAAGCGCGCGTGACTGGACCGGGTCAGCAAATCCGTCTGGCCCGACACATCAAGTCTTTATTCGTCAAGCAGTCAAGAAAAATACTGTCTGCCACAACAAAACGATGGCATTGGAGCTGAATGAGCACGCGCGAGGGGAGCGTCGAAGCGGATGATCGTGGTCATCGTCGTCTGGGTTGCTTGGGGCTTCGTGGTTTAGCAGCGCTGGTCGAAGCGGAGGAAGTGCTCGAAGGAACGCCCGGTCGTTTCGGCGCCGTTTGCTCGAGGGGGCGCTTCAAGTTGTTACTTGTGCTCGATCGCGGAGCCATGTTGGATTGATTTGAACCGGGTTGACCGCCACTGCTCCATTGGGTCGGTCGATTTGGTGGAGCACCTTCGGCGCCAACGGACGCTCGCTTCATGGGCGCCCCGTTCGGTCGCGCGTTCAGGTTCATGTGGGCATTGCGGGCCCGCCCTACACGTAAAAGCGTTGAAACGACATCGCCATTGCATGTTGCCGACCATCGTCGTCGTCCTTGGTGCCGTCGACGGGGGACGTAGCCTTGGCTGGGTCTTCCAGGGGCTTAATTTTCTGCTTTTGGAAATGAATCGGTTCTTTATTGGGTTCGTCGAACGCATAATCTCGAGGATATGGCTCGCATTTGAAGTAGTCATGAGCCAATGCCTCCGACGCCGTGATGCGGTTCTCGGGATCTAAGATGACCAACGTGATGGTCTCTTCCTCGCCAAACAACGCGCTGTAACGTGGACGTACCATAGTAAAGCATGCGGCTGACTAAATCGCGAAGGAGAACGGACGACTGACCCGTGCCAAACTTGACGGCTTCGTGTAGTTTGGACGTCGTCGGGTACTCGCGCTCTTTCGTCATGTTCTGCACGTTCGAGTACTCGGGCAAGTGTTCCATGCCGCTCCACGTTTGCGGGGTCGGAAGGCCGAGAATTTTGAAAATCTTGTCGCACTGGTCCTTCTGGAATGGCGCGTTGTTCTCGTTCACCTCCTGACCGACAAAGAGTTCTCGCGTGTTCAAGATCTGCACAATTCACGCCATCAGTGCCGCGTTGTGGCCGAGATGGCAGAGGACCTCGGCAAAGATGCACCCCACGGCCCACATGTCGACTGCTTTTGTATAATGTTTGGCGCCGAGGAGCAGCTCGGGCGCGCGATACCACAACGTCACGACCACGCGCTCCACTTCAGTCAATGCCTTGATCGGGTCCTTGTAAATGCGAGCCAATCCAAAATCTATGCGTGTCTTAGTTTCATGGAAACGATAAAGCATACACCTGCAAGCTTTACTTGGCCACGACGGCGCCCATGGCCAACGACGAGGATGTTCTGCGGCTTCATGTCGCGATGCATGACCCAGTTGTCGTGCATGTACTTGACGCCCTTGAGAATCTGGTGCATAAACGATTTCTTTGTGTATTCCGTGAGTGGTTTCTGTCGGCTTTGCTTGATGATGTCGTGGAGGTCGTGGTCGGCATAGTCGAACACCAACGCCAACGACGTGGCTTTCGGGTCCACATGCACATCGTGAAGGTGGACGACGTTATCGTGGTGCATTTCTCGCAAAATCTTGATCTCTCGCACCGTTGCGATCGACAACACGACTTCATTCTTTCCCTCCTTTTGAGTCTTGATCACTTTGACAGCGAAACTTTGCTCCTCATCCTCCGGCGACCGCTCCCGACTGTTGAGTTCTCTGGACGAGGCGTTCAAGGGCTCTGCTTTGTACACGATACCATACGTGCCTTCGCCGATTTTACCCAGCAGCTTGTACTTGTCCGACAAATTCTGCCGCGTCTGGAGCAAGGACTGGCGCCGCATCGCAAGTTGCCGAGTTCACGAATTTTGAAGATAGTAATATTATAGTAGATACTACTATGAACCATATCTTGGCCGGAAAGTGCCATGGACGACGACGACCTGTTTGGGTATCGTGCTGCCCATAAGACGACCCTCGACAAGCACAACGCCGCCGCCGCCTCCAACGACAACCTGCTCACGTTTTACAGGTCCAGATGCGATGCATTTCACCAGGAACGGAAAGATCTCCTGGAACGCTTCCACGAGCTGGATGTGTCAAGGGAGGCGTGGCATCGAACACAGTGGCAGAATCAAGCGCACAAACAAGAAGTACGACGGATGGCCCCACCATGGATCGCGCCAGTGTTGTTACGTGTGCGTTAGATTGTGGACCTCAAGGTCGAGCTTGCTCGGGCGAAAGATCAACTCCATGCAGCCGAGGAGACGATTGCGACCCTTCGATCCGAGCAAGAATCGTTCAAGATTCAAGAGGCCGAAGACAGGAAGCGCATTCAGCACTTGCTTCACTTGACCCACCCAACTTCGGAGGAAATCACGTTTTACAAGGATTGTCGCCCAGGCCACTCGCTGCGGTCCCCAGTGTGTGACCCGCTGTCGTCAGGCGACACGTTACCATCGAACGTCAGCTTAGCCGCCGAGCCATGTTTCCGGACCATGAGCAAGCAAGACAAGCACATGAAACGAGTGGCTTCGAACGGCGCAGCCAACGGTGGAAACAAGGTTTGGGCTGTGCTACGTGGATGTGCGCGCTCGACTCTTGATGGTAGGGGCGCGTCATCCGCACAGTCTACTTGCCAAGCGAGCAGGCGGATTCACTCCTGCTTCGCGTGCAGCACCTCACGAAAGAGCTCGAGACGCACCAAACCCTGTCGAACAACCGCATTCAAGTACGACATCGCTTCATCTTGACGTCGTTGACGTGTGCCTAGGGTCTTCTCAACGATCTGGAAATGGTGACAGTCGAGTCCAAGCGACAGTGCGAGGCTCACAATCAAGAGCTGAAGAGCACACAGACAGACTTTACAAAGATGCAGCGTCTGCTCAACAAGGCGACGAAAGGTAGAGTCGACGTTGGCGTCTGCCTGTGGGCCACACAACGGGATAGATTACCTCGTCGCGCGGCATGATGCCTTGGCAGCGCAGCAAAACGCCGAGGAAGAAATGGCTCACTTGCATACGCTTCTCCAAGAAGCCAAGGCAGAAAAGGAAGCAGTGAAGCATCAAGCGATCGCTGAAACCCAAGTACGTCGTCGTTGTGGAATATGGTGGGACCGACTGACGGCGGCGACCAGGCCATCCGCGAAACCATCCGCGCCGAGGGCAACCTGTGTGCCGAAGAGTTTCGAAAACAAGCCGTGTCAAGGGAGCGCGATATTCACATCCTCAAGGTCCGTGCGACGCACGTCGCCTTCGGAGCTCACGGTGGAGGACAGGAGCAATATGCAGCCGTTCAAGAAAGTTACAGTGCCCGCATCTCGAATTTGCAAGCGCGCCTGACCAAGCTCCGATCCCGCTACAAAGCGTTGGAAAGCCGACGAAATCTCGACATGGAAGGGTTTTCCAGAGATATCACGACGCTAAAGCGCCACATCGTCAAGCTCGAAAATTTGTACTACGGCACAAAGCTCACGACCGACGAAATTCGGTTGCTCAGGATCGGTAACGACACCCATCCACGTGTGGTTCTCTATGGCCGTCGCCCTCGTGACGCTCGTGTAGACGAATCGAACACGCTGCATGGTCCCGACTTGGAGTTGGAAATCGGGCAACTGCAGGTACTTGACCAGGTGTTGGCGTGTGTGCAAGTGCTGAGTTGTTGTTGTTGTGGCGGGGGTTGTAGAGGCGATATACAGCGTTGGCTGCAGACATCATGAACGCATGAGAGAGCGCGCGCGCTGCCTATTCGGCTGCTTTATTCTTGTTCTTCTCTTGAATGTATCGAGACATAAACTCGGACGCGCGAAACTGGTTCGACCACAGCACTCGCCCGACCCAGTTGGTTTGCTGGCCACTCGACACAATGTTGAGCAAGTTTTGCTTTTGCGCGTTGAAATCATAGTGCGTCTGGCACAGTGTCTTTCCAAGGTCGTGCGCAGCTTTCCACGTCTCGGCATCGTTGTACAGATTGGCAACACGATCCGCAAATTCACGAGGGGTGTCTGCTACAGCACCTCCCCACTTGCCCGGCAAGTAGTTCATTCCTTCCGCTCCGACGGACGTCGACACCACTGGCGTCCCTGCCACCCAACTGTCAATGATCTTTCCCTTGATGCCTGCGCCAAACCGCAGCGGCGCGAGGCTCAATCGGTAACAGGCCAAAGTGTCGTGCACGTCGTTGCAAAATCCCATCACGCGAATGTTGTCATGACCGCGCTCGAGGGCTTTGGTGGCTTTGGCCGATGCATACGAGCCGTAGATGTGCAATTCTGTGTCAGGATGCACCGATTGTCGAATGGATGGCCACAGACTGTCCTTGAGCCAGTGCAGGCCGTCTACGTTAGGCGAGTGCTTGAAGCTTCCAACGACAGCAATGTGTCGGCGATCATGAAAATTCTACGAGCGGTGGAGACTCTCGTGGTCGACGATGTCGACGTACCGACGAGTACTGAAGCAGCTTGTCGGGACGCACGATGTAGTCCAGTTTTCGTAGGTGGTGCCGTGGTACGTCAAAGCGGTGGACGAGCAGTTCTATTTCAAAATCCGACACGTACACCGTCCAGTCGGAGCGAAGGATGCACGCAAGTTCTCGCAGCACCACCGACACGACGGGTTCGACATCGATCGATGGGTCGAGCGCCGTGCGAAAGTCTGCCTGTTGGCCACGTGCGCGTGAGCCCTTCACGGCGCCCCGTTGTTCGCCTACCTTTGTTGTGCACACGTGGAATTCGCGTGCTTTGCGCAAAAAGTGCACATCTTGCAAATCCAACACTCGAACGGCGTGGGGGCTGTGCTTGGCCACGTGCCACCCGTACATTTCTTCTGCGATGTATCGATCGAAGATTGCGACGTGGATGGGAAGCGATGCCATGACCGACGCGAACGTGTCCGTGTTGGGATCGACTTGAACGCACGTGGCTCCCATTTCTGTCAGCAAATTGGCGTGGCTATTCAGTCGACTGGGAGATATGCACACGACATTATATCCTTCGTCGAGCAGGATGCCAATCATGTCGGCCGTGCGAACACCAGCGGCGGACGACGTGCGCTCGGGCCAAACACTCCCGGCGACTAACACAGTCCACCCGTTCTTCTTGGTTCGTGGCGTCGCGGTTGACGGGGACGTTGTGGCTAGTGGGGGCGGTTGGTGGTGGGTTGGCTTTTTTTGCATCTCCAACGGCTGGAACCATGCTGGATCCATGTTGGCCGCAAGCCTGGCTTCCAAGTCGAACGGACCAGGAAGGCCGTCGGGAAAGTTCTCTTTGACCAGCTCGTGGAAATACGCGACAGGGTCGCGCCCTGTCGCCGCGCACAGATGCTTAAACCATTTCATCCCACAGGACACGTGGCCGCGCTCTTCGAATACGATTTGCGCTACAAACACGTCGTGAATGACGGGCTGAAAACAAAAGCGCTGTGTACCAACAACGTCTGCTGACACGGAATCGCCCATCGACTTCAGTTTGTGAACGAGTCGTGGTCCAGCATCCAGTCCGCGCGCTTCTTGCACCAGCGGGATCACGGCCAACCGAGACGCAAGGGAATTCTGAGTGTTGTTTGCATGGGATAACAGGGCTCGATGTGCAGGGAGCTGCCCGTAGAACGATCCGAGCTCTTCCAGGCGGCGACGAACCAGGTCAAAGTGTCGCGCTTCGTCGCAGGCAACGTTGACAAAGTCGTCGTAAAAGTCGCGTGGAAGGGTACACAAGCCATCGCATTGCGACGGTTCAAAGCGGACAACTGTGTCCCAGTAGTTGTCTACATGGCCATTCAGAAATGAAACAAGAGGAGCTACGCTACTGACCCACGGCGCCGAGCTCGATGTGCGCCAGGGCGTGCAAAATGGCGATCGGAATAGGAAACTCCTTCTCGCTCGGCATATCCTTTGGGTCATAGAGGCGAGGCAGAGGTGGGCGCGATGGAAAGTCCGGTGGAGTAGCGGACCACGTTTGGGTGTGCATTCTACACACACGACACCGCAGTCTGAGCTTGCACAACTCGACTACAATCGATACGTACAAGGGTAGGCTGGTAGTGCGCCACAGCGTTTGAACGTGGAAGCTTTGCACGACTTTCTTGTTGGGTGAGCTCTAGACAGCGATGCACTGATCTTGAGCTTGCCCAAGCAAGAACGGCCATGCCCTCACCTCTCGCAAAATCGCTTCACCTCCTTGTGCAAGAGACAGCGGACGGTGTAGCTCATGCGTCAGGTCAGTGCTGAGATGTCTTCGCCCAGCTGATGACCATGGATAGTTTTGCTGATGCTTGATGGCTTGGAAAGCGTGTCGTCGGATGCGATGCCGCACCGCGACGTGCTTCGAACCAACAATCATGACAGGTCTCCGTGTTGATGTGATTCGCGCATGTAAACCGTGCAACGTCATAATAATACAAAAATTATGTCAGACTCGATATTTTGACCAAGGTGCACGTGTGATCTGCCATGCAAGCAGTCGGCGTTCCTGTGTCACGTGAGGACGACGAGGACGTGCCCAAGCCGTTTGTACAGCGAACGGCTTACTTGACAATCTTCTGCCTCCCGCTGCGTGTCGCGTGTGGAACGGGCGGTCGTGCGGCGGTTCATGCTTTGAGCGAGTGGTGTGCAAAATAGTGGTCACAATAGTTAGGTAACCAACCACGGGCAGAAAAGGGACGGAAACCACTAACTTTTCAGCGACTCCGGCACCAGGATGGGAGTGACGAAAGAAATCTTGCGCGAAGGCAATGGCCAGAAACCCACCAAGGGCGCCCAGGTGACGGTCCACTGCACAGGTTACGGCAAAGACCGTGACTTGAGCAAGAAGTTTTGGAGCACCAAGGACCCTGGTCAGCAAGAGTTTGCGTTTCAAGTTGGGTTGGGGCAGGTGATCAAAGGGTGGGATGAAGGCGTTTTGTCCATGAGCTTGGGGGAGTCTGCCAAACTGACGTGCTCGCCTGACTACGCGTACGGGGCCCGCGGGTTTCCTGCGTGGGGCATCCAGCCCGACTCTGTCCTCGTTTTTGAGATCGAAGTCCTCAAGATCGAATAAGTCCACGACGAAGAACAGACGTAATTGAATCGTGTCCTGCTTCTTGTCTTGGCCCCGTCCGTGGCGTTTCAGTTGGTGTTCATGCATACAGCGAGTCGACTATCTTCCGCGCCACGTCGGGTCGGTACTCGGACAGCTTTTCCCGCAGGTGTTCGATGTCAAGTTTGAGGCGCCTGAGGGACACTCCTGCCTTGCTGCCTCGAGTCGTTTCGACATGGGAATTTTCGTACTTGCATAGCTCGCTAGTCAGCTTGGCCTATCGAGAACGTGATGATGCAACATGAAAAATGGGTCCCGCACTTTGATAGCGTCGAGCCTTTTCGCTTGGTAGTCGAGCCACTGCAACGTCAGCATGCTTGCCTGGGGTACGTTCGTGAGCACAACGCGTTGGAGGTGCTGCTACCTTGGTTAGCGTTGTGGACCGGCCCAAGATGGTGATTTTGGCGCCGACGTACAAGTCCCAAGCTTCGAGCGGCTTTTCGTTGCGCCCGTTGATGTGCGAGATCGTGTACACGGTGTCGAGGTTGCCCAGAACAAACTGTGCCCTCACGATGTGTAAACGGAACGACAAAAGCGACGGCATGTACCTGAAAGTGTTTGGTGCTGATGGAGAAATAGATATCCGCGTGGCGCTTCTCCGTGACGCTCATGCGGGTTTCGTTCCACGACGAGTGAAAGCACAAGATGTCGAGCTTGTCCAACCTACAAACGACGTGGAGGAGGCAGTTTGGTTGGCCCACGTACGATCGAATCTTGGGTTGTCTGTGGATGTCGGCGGCTCTAGTAAATACCTCCTTCGACGCTTCGTAGCTGGCCCCTGGCGTGCACAGCAGCCCGCACGATGGCAGGTCAGTCTGCTCCTTGTTGGTCGCAAAGTTGTAATAGTACTTGGCCCCATCGCGACGGAATTCCATCCATGCATTGTCGACGACGTCGGTCTCCGCGTGCTTCTCCCTGGCCTTTCGAACCTGCGCGATGAAGTAGGCGTCAGCGGGATGGCTCGATTGCTGCTCTTGAGTCTGTTCGTTGATGTATCGCGGACCGTGCACGGAACTGCTCAAGTCTTCGACCCAATTTGGGGGCAGTGGCGTTTCCACGGCCTGCTTCATGATGGGCAGCAAGAACGGCGCCGTTGTCAAGTCGACGTTGTAGTACTGCGCCATGTTGAGGATGTCATTTGGCTGGAGCTCCCGCATCCGGGCTCTGCAGCGCGTTCTTCGTAGAGTTGTGCCGGACAAATGTGTCGCTATTTCTGGAACTACCTGAAACGTTGGGCTGGAAACGGCGAAAGCAGTCGGGATGGAGACGACGATCAAGGCCACGAGCACGATGACGAAAGTCCTGTGATTGCATCTTATCGCAAATAAATAACATGACTTGGTCACAAGAACTGAGGCATGGAATCTTGTGGCGGCGCCACAATGGTCGTGGCAAGGGGGGGGTAGAAGAAGGAGGACGTGTCGTCTGGCGTCGAGACGAGTGGCATGTCGGGGTGTTGGATGCAATGCGATGATCCTGCGTGTGCCATCGGTGGTGGCAACGTGGCGGTGCCAAACGGTGGAGGAACGGGCAGAGGGGACGGTTGGCACAGGGGGTCGAGGCACTGGAACACGTCAACCGTTTTTTCGTTGGTCGTGGTGTACACTTGGCCGGGAAAGTTGGGCTGGTGCGACTGCATCGTGATCGATTGGGTCTGGGAGAATTGCACATATTGATGAGGATGCGACGCGGCACCTGGCGTCGTCCCCGCGACTTGCTGGCCGAACGAAAACGTGGCTTCAGTTGGAAACAAGTGCGTCGGAGCATGGTGATCATGCTTGCTGTTCCAAGCACCTCCGTGCATGTTGTTTGCGGCAACGAACAAAGGCCGCCCATGGTCATTGACGTGCGGCGGAAGGCTCGGGTTGAAGACGGTCGTTTGGGTGAAGCCATTTCCAATCGTCGAGCTGATCGACACGTGGTTCGTCTTCGAATCTTTGATGGAAAAGCTGTTCATGAGGTGCAGCGCTTGGGAAATCATCATATCTTCGAGCTCTTCCGAGCCCGACGAGACAAGTCGAAGCGCCGGGACTTCAGGGGGGCTGTCGTCTTGGGAGCTGTCGCTTGCAGAATTTGTGTCAGGGGTCCCGTGCTTGAAAACATTCACTTGATTTGCCGAGATTCGAATGGTTGCATTAGCAGCGGTCGGTTCCGACGAGACCACACAAGAGGTTTGCCCTCGAGGAGAGTCACATGCCCCCGGTACCTCGGGCGACGAGCCTTCCGATATCGATGGCCCTTGCGGTGAAATATGGATTTCTTTGTGGAAATGGGCAATGCGGGGGCTTCTATTTGAATCACTAAATCCTGAATGTTTGGGGGAGTGGACGGCCGGGGTTTGCATGTCCATGGACAGCTTCTTCCGATCGACACTTGACACGTCCCTTCTTTCAACTTCGCATTCAACTTGGTTGAGATCCGTGGCGTCCGTAGCGTTGCGAGCACCGGTAGGTACATGGGACAATTCTTTGGGTCGAGAATTGCGAATGTTTTCAAATTCTCGGAGGATCGAGTCGTTCTGCAGCACCATGTCTTCTAGAAGTCTTTGGTTCTCTGACGCTTGGTGCATCAGCTGGTCCAACAACCCTCCAGAAACCGTGATGTCCTTGGTCGCAACTTCGCATGGACTACGCTGTTTCAATCCGTCCCCATTGGCAACGGGCGTGGGTTCCACTGGAGGGAAATGAGCATATCGAGAAGGAAACTGAGCCACAGGCGACGCATCGACGGGATTGAGCCATTTGTCATGGGCGCCACCAACCGCACTAGGACGAGTAACTGGATGACCCATCAGTCGGTTGTCCTCCATCGCGAGAGTGTGTTGGGGCGAATACTGCACAGAAAAGTCGCAACTGACTGTGACACTCTCTGTAGAGATCTTAGCTTGTCGTCTTGTGTTGGGCAATATCGTAGCGCTGTCAAATACGGGCAGTTTGTCCGTTCTTCCAGACAGCGCGTAGTTGATGTGGGCTTGGGCATTATCGAACTGCTCCGTCCTCGGTGACGAAGGTAGCAAGTCAATGATTGTGAATCTGCCTTTTTGTTCCATCTTTCCCTGGCGGATTCGAACATGTTGTGGTCCATTCTGGCTCACCGACTGCAAGGGCTGCCCCGGGACCCCTACCAGCGCTTGCATCCCATGGGGTTCCACGTTTCTCGGGCTAAACAATGCTTCTGGCTCGTCAGGAGCGTCCGTCACGATGAATCGCGTTGGCTTCTTCTTCTCCACGGTGGTATTGCATAAGGGGTCACCGGTCGTCGAAGATGGCGCCAAGGGCACCACGTCATCCGACTCCTGTCGTCGCATGTCAACAGCCACTCCGACGAAGTTCAAATCAGGGAGAGGACTTCGGGCTACTTACTACTAGTAAGTACATCGCAACAACAGTACTACTACATAGTATGGTGGTGCTACTACGAGTAATTGTATAGTAGCATAACAGTGTGTTGATCCGCACGTTGGCATGGCTGGGGTGCAGCGCGTCCGCGTCGAGTTCGTGGAAGAGGTCGCGACCGATGTGATGGTTGAATGGGGGTTTTCCCGTGTGGTTGTTTCAATCGACGAGTCAATGAAGCATGTGAGTGATTTGCTCCATGGAATTGTCCGGCGGTTTGGGCTGTCGAATCGTGGGTACGACTTGCTCTTGGGAGATTTTGCCATCTTACCGAGTGAAAAGATTGAGCGCATTCTTCAAACCGACGACGTTCTGTCCCTTCGAGCGTCTTCTGCGCACCCAGCGAGGCTGCTTGTGACGTCGTCAAAGGTCGACAAAAAGCATGGTAAAAAGCAAAAGCGGCCACGAGAAAAGGTGAAAGTTGCTCCAGCAGTCGCTGCTCCCGCCAAGTCAAAGGTGAAACGCCACAACGAATGCGAATCGAAGCGAACAATCGAACTGCCAAAGGTCGCTGCGTCCAAGAAAACCGAAACTTCGAGAAGTGTCCATGCTAGTGGGGTCATCAAGAAGCGGACGTGTTCATCAGAGTCAAGTGGGCGAGAACGCAGGCGAAAGCGGTCGCGAAAAGTGGATACCGTCGAGATGGCGATTTCACCACCAGTGCAGCCACATATTGCCCCATCCGTTGCAACTCCTCCTCGTCAAATGCGGAAAGGTCATGTTCGATTCGACGAGGTGGAGTCCGCGCAGGAAAAACAAGTTAAGCCGACCAATGCGGTCACCACTTTCGAGGCGCCCATGACGCGAGGGTCGTCTACTGCCCCAACCGAAAAATCGACTTCATCTGTGTTGCGAGCAAGTCGTCCAAGAGCGATCCCTGTGAAGCTTCAGAAATATGGACCTCGGCAAGGAGCCACGCGACGAGGTTTTGCGCCAGCTCCGCCGCTTCCTGTTTCCGGTCGCATCGTTGATGAAAACGTGCGCTCGCAACCTGTTCAGCCTCCTGCCCCGTCAGCCAAGAACGGTCCTTCGTCCGTGGTTGACCCAGTGAAATTACCCAAACCGACGGTGCATTTGGATTCAAGCAATGAAGTGTGGAAGCGTCCGTACACAGTCATTGCGTCAGTCAAGCATGACGGTGGCTCAAGCAAAGCCAAGGACACGCACAAGGTATCTCTCCCACCGTCATGCCGTCGTCGTTCTCACAGCCGTACTATTAGGATTTCAACATGGACAGCTATCCTGTTAAGGATATGTCAGCCATTGTAGAGAACGACGTCATCGCATTCAAGACCATCACGTTGTGCCAAGTGCGTTTCGAGCCGATTGTGTCTGAGTGGAAGGTCGGGAAGGTGCTGAGCCACACAGCCAACGATGTGTCGGTTCAATTGTGCCGTCATGTCTACGTCGAGAGCGAGTATGTTGTCGCCACCGAGTCGTTTGTATTTATGTAATTTTGTGGCGCTAGTATCGCGTGGCAACCCGACGATGAAGTCTGTGCGTTCAACGTGGTGGATTTTGCTGAGATTCGAGTGATCAAGACATCCACTGCCAAGATCCCCGTCGACGTATCTGTTGGGGAACAAGTTGAGCCGGATGTTGAGGAAGACGATGCACAAGACTTATTGGAGGCGCTGCGCCGCCGCAAGGAAGAACTCTTGGTCAAAGCATCGCTGTGATCCGTCAACTCCGCGGTGTTTTCGCATGTTCATTCTCGACAACGAAGAACCGTGCAACTTCATTCTTGGCACCTCTGCACCCATTTGTTCCAGTTGCGTTCCAATCTTGACAATTGCCACGCATAGATTAAAAGACGGCTGCAGAGACTAGGATGGCCTGAAGGAGCTGGGACGCAATCTCTTGGATGAGGATTTGGTTGTTTTCTTGGGCCAAAGCGTGAATAATTGGGTGGATGTTGTACTCGACCAGAAACTGCACGGGTGACGTGTGGGATTCAAAAATGCATTTGAGCATCTTGAGCAGATTCTTGCGGACAAACGGTTTGGGGTAACTCAGGCGAAACAAAATTTCCATCACAAACAAGCTCGATCGGCCAAGCGCCTACACGATGTGAGGGGTTACATGGACGGAACATCCCTAGTCCATTTGCACCTGGTTCATCCGCACGGACCGCGACAGGATCTCGAGCAAAGACTCGAGCAGGTTTTCAAATTGGTGCTCGGCAGTTCGAAAGCACGAAATAATTTGCTGAATGTAGTGGGGTGCCAGCAGCACGTTTTCAATTTTCAACTAGAACAACAGCCGTGAGAAAGCGGCGACGACGACACACATGATGTACTGTGTCGTGGACGAGCCACGCAGCTAATGCCTTCATCGCGTCAATTTGCCAGAACTTATCACTGAGCAGCGTCAAGAAAAACGTCACACCGTCGCAAGCCCTGCGAGGATGTCAGAACAACAAACGCAGAACAAAAGGAACGTACCACAAATGCTCACGGGCGGTCGCAGAGGCCGACGCCAAATCGCACATGATGGGTAGCACAAACTGCTTTAGCGGGCTCCTCGTCTGGGTCACGCGTTGCAAAAATGGAATCAATCCCGCTTGCGCTGCCTAACGATCGCGCCGTGGGTCGTCAAATTTTTCTTCGGAAAAAGAATTTCGCTACATGTGTTTGGCGATTTCGGTTGATACGGCACAGGTAAAACATGGCATGTAGAACAATGTTTTGAACATCCTACAAGGACAAAATGAAATTGGTGGAACACGCATTGGTCAACTTTGATCTGGGGCGACGATTCGTGCTGCAACACATGGACTAACGTGGGAATCGTTCCAGCCCGGTCCAGATTTTCGAGCGTGTTGGGCTCCATGCTCATGTTTCGAATGCACTTGAGAACCTTCACCATTGCCGTCGCGTACTCGTCAACCTCTGTGATGATGTTCCCCGGGTTCAAAGAGTACAGCAACCCTACAGCAGACATGATAAACCAACCATTGGGTTGGAACTGGAAACCTTCAAGCACGACCAAGTCGCACATGTGCTCTTTTACAATCACGTCGCCTTGCGAAAACAGCAAAAAGATGTCGCATATTTGATGGAGCTCTTCCAGCAGGCTTTGCATGTCAGCCATGTCGTTTTGGTGCTTTACAATCGACAGCACCACTTGATTGTACACAGCAATGAGCTTCTTCAGCAAACCGAGTTTGACGAAAAGACGGCATGTGTCATTTTTTGGAATGGACTAGTCGGCAAGAAGTACATTACGAATGGAGTGGAGAGGTGGACGACATGAGTACCTGGATGGAAAAGATGCAGCCGATTCCAGTTAAGGAAATGCGGTGCAGCGTTTCATCAGTGGAGCTCAAAAAATTGATCAAAAGCGGTAATCCACCGCATGCAATGAACATTTGGAGAGTCCAAGAGCTCGACACACATGTCTGCTCGACAAACTTGGCGGCCTCGAGGCGAACGAGGCTTTGCATGTCTTGCTTGGACTGCTTCTACTTGGCAAATAATCAAAACGTGTTTTGTTGGAGGACGAATCGTGCACACACGTTTGCCTTTTCAGGTTGATCGACGACCAAAGCAACCACCAACGGCAGGAGCCCGACCAGCGCCAAGTTTTCCAGGAATTTCTTGTTGTCGAGTATCAGCTACGTTTGGAAAAGTTAGCTCATGCACGACACCTTCACAATGTTGCGCACCATGTTAACAACATTCATCACGGCGTGAAGGAGCTTGAGCTCTTTGAATTCCAGGGCCTCCATGAGGTTCGGAATGACGCCTGGTTGGGACGCGAGCTCTTGGCGAAGGGTCGCGTTGTTGCCGCAAAGGTCGTGCTGCGAACGAAATGTGACTTGAATCAATCTTTGCAAGATTTCACATAAGATAAAGCAGCCCTCACCAATTGCTGGCACGCGTCAAGAATCACGCGATCTTCCATGCTCGGATCCAATAAAGACAACAGCTCGACGACGCGAGCAGTCGCTTTGTTGGTCATTTCCCGCTGAGAGGTATCAAAAACTACAAGAAGCGACATGTGAGACAGCAGTCCACACAACGTCACGGTGACGTGTCCTTACAGGGTTCGCCAAACGATGTTTCGGCAAATCCATCGAGTCCGTCCTACAAATTGCGAGTCAATATCGCTTCCGTCAGGTTTGAACAGGAAGGTTACATCTTGCAGCGACGACGACAGACGAAATCTCAACGAATTTCCATTCTTGAGTACATCGTCGGCGTCAAAGTCCCCAATCAAGTCGTCGCCGTTGTCGTCCTCTCGAAAATGCTTGAGCTTTGAGCCTTCGCCGTGGACACCACTGGAGTTTCCCCAAGTTCCGAACGTCGCCGCATCCCGCAAAGGCGCAGGAACAGGATCATCGTCGTTCCAAAACGGATCGTTGGCATCGTCGTTGCTCAATTGGAACGTCGACTTGGGCAACTGATCGTCGAAGGTGGGACGGGGCGCTGGATCTGTCATTGGTTTTACAAGCTTTAATGGTGTCTGTGTTGTGGCTTCCAAGTCCATGTCCCAATTCTCGTCGTCATCGTCTTCCTTCATCGCTTCCAAATTTGAAATCGCCGAATCCCTCGTATACGAGTCGTACATGCGAATCGTGTTGAGCACCGCGGCGCGGTCGTCGGTGGACGTGACGTTTTCTTGAACTTCTTGGGTGCTCTAACGCCATGTCAGTTGGAGTTATCCCGTTCCAAGCACCTGCTCGACTTTGGTGCGAGGGATTTGGCTGATCCATGGGTGTTGTAGCAACTCATCGGCGGACAAACGCAGACGCGGCTCTTTCATAAAACATTTCATGATAAAATCATGCAGCGCCTGGAAGGGTTGTCCGAGTTATGGTGTGTTGGCTCAGCCGCCGCCACGTACGGGTGAAATAGACTTGGGCAAGGGGGGATGGTCGTCTTGAACAATTCGAAACAGCGCAGCCATGGGAGCCAAGTCAAAATATGGCGGTTTTTGAGTCAGCAGCTCAATGATGGTGCATCCAACACTCCTGGAATCCATGTGACCAGGTCGCAAGGAGATTGGGGTCGGTACCAGATATCCGAAGCTGACGACCACCCAGCCATTTCAATCACTTCGGGGGCCACTGCGGATAATGTGAGCTCACCACACTCGACGACTCATGGGCGCAGCATACTCCAGTAAGGCGAACCAACCACGGAATTGGACTTTTGAGCTTCGTTGAGCTTGATGGCAACGCCAAAATCGGCAATTTTCACAAGGCCGTCCTTCGTGGTCAAGATGTTTGCACCTTTGACGTCACGATGCAGCACTCCCTATCGTAATCAGTGCATGCTGAGACTACGCTTGGTTGAAGGGGCTTACCTGGGCATGCAAGTACGCTAGCCCACGCAGCACTTGGGTGATATACATTGCCACGAGCGTCTCGGAAAGTGTTCCAAACTTCTTCATGAATTGCGCCAAGGATCCGTTCTCCATGTACTCCAACACGATGTACAAATAATCTTCTTCTTTGATCGTGTTGTAGTACTTGACGATGTTTTCGTGGTGCAGCTTCTTGAGCAACTTGATTTCGCTCTCAATGGCGGCCAGCTCTTCCTTGGCCATGTCGATGAGGGAAACTTGCTTGATTGCCACCGACTTGCCATTGCGCAGGTCCAATGCACTAAAGACGGTTCCAAACCCACCCTTTCCAATTTCAAGGCCCAACTGGTAGTGGTTCCCCACAATTCGTTCCCGCCGAGTCATTGCCGCCGGCAGCAAGAGCGGCGGGCCGTTTGAAATCCGTGATGGTCAATCTAGACTGCAAAAGATCCAGGAGCTTTGTCGGTCGAAATAGACAGTTGCTCTTCATTTTTGTATTGCTAGGGATTTTGTGTTCCCAATCGTACGTCGACATTAGATAATATGAAAATTCCACGAACATGGTCACATCAAGACGAAAGCAACGCGATGGCGGTCTAGGGCGTGTCCAGACCAACTTCGCGTAAAGCCGCAGGGATGGCTCCATTTAAGTCTTGCAAGTGCGCAGAGAGAACAGAGATCTTCAAGATCCCGATGCAGGAAGGCGGTGGTGAAACCGTGTTTTTCCAAAAATACTCGACGCATTCGCAATGGTGCTGCCCATTTTTACGAACAAACTATGGTCGCGATGCACCCAGAAATTGAAAAGGTCGAAGTCGATGCATTATGCGAACTATTCCATGCCCTTGACGGTATCGAGGCACACCTTTGAGAATACTGATTGCTTCATAGGCCCTCAGTGGACAAGAAAGCATGGCTGGCTGCAGTGCGACAACACCCAAAATGAACAGGGTGGGTTGGCTTGGCACGGAACGAAGTGGAACAAGGGCCACGTCATTTCAATCGACTTACCAAGAAACAATTTGCGAGGTCCTTTACCAGACATATTTTCCCAGCTGAAAAAGTTGCAACACCTCAATCTTGGCGGCAATCCTTCATTGACCGGTATGGCGATAGGGCAATAATGCAACTTATGTGTCTACGGTCATGGTTAGGTCGAGTGCCACATTCGCTGATGAAGTTAAAGCACTTGCAGTACTGCTATCTTGATGGGACACAAGTGTTTGACATTGTATCGTCGGGCAACGCGCATGATTTCCACATCACAAAGTACATTTCAAGTTCCAAGGCTTCTGTCCGCCTTCGCATTGGTATTTCCTCACCTCCTTCTATGTCTTGGATGGAACGGATGGGATAGGGAAATCAACGTGGGTCGCTGACGTGACTGAACAAGAGATGTTCCTGGTTTCGACGAGCTTGCAGGCAGCTCGGGCGCCCCCAAGGCCGACAGTGATCAAAATGACTGCGCACAATGCAACTGGACCAGAAAGAGTTCGAGCTGCAAGGACATTGCAACGAATTTTCCGACGGTCGAGGGCACGACGCAAACTGCTCCACCTTGGAAAGGGGGGTGACAATGTCTCCGCATCTGACGAGGTGTGCTCGGTAGCATTGACTTTCATTCGCGTCAATCAGTCCTTCCCGTGTGTGGTTAGAACCTCCACAACGATGCAGCTACATTGGGACCTACAACTTCTTCACTGGTCCAAAAACAACTATTACGCCGGTACGGAAACGAACGCACGATGAGCAATCGCTACCGTTGTTTGATCAACGAGTACGACCAAGATCGCTCAGGATTTGTGCATTCACACGACGTACTATTGCTCTGTGGGGATTTGGGTATACCAATGGCACCTCAACAGTTTGAAAGCGCAATGCACGCGATGCACATCTCAACTCAAGGAAAGGTGGCAGTAGATGTTCTCCAAAGTTGGCTTGAAAATGCTTTGGATCGTTAATCGCAAATTCCCATGAAGGTCGGGTTGTATGATGATATGTGTAGTTTGGGTCGATTTACTGCAATTTTCTGGATTTTTCGTAAAACCGAGAACCCAAGAAAAAATTCGACCCCGACAAAAATACGACACCACTCTATTTTGATATGGCATCACTTGACAATAGAAGTACTGATTTCCCCCCTTCAACCGAACTTTATATATTTTGTAAATTTATAC